ATGTCCCCTCGATTGGTTCCCTGGATAGTGCTGCTATCTTGCGGAAATTTTTAAAACTAAACGCCGTTTTTAGTTTCCTTGATAGTGCTGACCTCTTTTAACGGTTTTTAGAACTAATATTTCATTTTATATGTGTATTGGATGGTGCTGCTCTCTTTTATTGGATTTTAAAACTATTATTCAAAATGTTTGTTCGACAGTGCTACTACCTTTATATAGTTATGATGGAAACTATTCAAAATTCGTTTAAATTTATAACTGATCACTAAAATTGTTGTTTTCGCATTGTTATATTGTTTAAATGTTTATTAATTTAATTCTTAACGCGGCAGGCCTCCAGAACTTTCCATAATATGTTAATAAAGTGAAATTGCGTGTTATAAATTCTATGAAATGTTTTCTTTCTGAAGTACATTGCCATAACTGTTAGTTTTGTCTGATTATTTCATGTCTTAAGTATTATATTATTCTATAATGTTTTGTTCATTAAAAATTACAGAATTTAATTCAATTATGTATTGCTAGTTTCTCAAAAGTGTATTTAGTGAGTGAAGTGAAGTTTTGAATGAATCTAGAGATATCAACAGTGAAACGTGTTCATAAATACTGATATGTAATAGTTGTATTATGTATTTTTAAATATATGCTAAAGCATAATCGAAGAAAACAAATAAATGTGTTTCTATAAAGTGTATGAAATGAATTAAATTGTGTTTTGAATGCATCTAATAATATCAACAGTGAACTGTATTTAGGGATATGAATATTGTGGATATGTTATAGTTTCTGTTATTTATTTTAAATATATGTTAAAACATGATGGAAGAAAACAATTAAATGTGTTTCTGTGAAGAGCTCTTTTTAATTCACCCCATTCTTTCTTCGCCAAAAAACATTAAGATTCTCATTGCTGTATATACTGTTAACTATAGATTTATATTACCAGGATTTATGTATATCTGATTCAAATTATAACAGTTTGCCTAAATTGTTTTCAAAGGTAATTAATTTTCTATGCATTAAATTATTCATGTACATAAGGAATGATTCATTCTTTGTTGTCTTGTTCAAAGTTGTTGTTTAAAATCTTAATATTTTTTTAATAATATCTGAAAACTACCTTTTTCTCATAGTTTATGATATAGAATATTTTTATTATAATCGGTAGTCTGTAATTTATATTGTGGGACAAATAATCAGGATTCGGTCATTATTTTATTACTAAATAGAACTTTTAATGTAAACTTTTGGGTCTCTATTAAGATAGAAATTAAATCAGATATGCAAGAGATATATGTGTATAGTATAGACATAAATAACTAAAAGAAAGAACATAATGAAAGTAAATTAAGAGCAAAGTAAGTAGTGAGAATATAAGTGATAATAGTGATACATATTACTTTATTTATATCTTCATCGCTCAATTTATCGTTATTATTCTTCTTTTTGTATCAAAGGAAAGGAAGGTAGAAAACAAACAGTCAGAAGTTCAAATTTTATTTTTTCTATGGAGTTTGGGTTGTAATGTATAAAACGTTTACACAAGTTTATTTATTATATATAATACAAACATTATTTAAAATAAATCAAAATAACTACTTATATTACACCACATGTTTCTCATTTATAATATATATTTACTACATAAAGAATACAAGTACATAAGTTAAATTCATATACTTTGAGTTCTATCAATGAGTAGTTTCTCTTCATGTTTTACATGTCACATTTACTTGTTGTATTTTTCATGTAGTAGAGATGTAAATTTCATTAAAATAACAAATTTATATACATAAAAACAAAATAATGAATAATATATATGGAATATATTGTACTATTGAGTCATAATGTTTAGTTAGTTGTTAGCCTTGTATTTAACAAGGTTGTATGTGTGATTCTCATTATAATAAATTATCAATTTTCAATTTATCTGTGTTTTCCCTGTTACATTATTAATTTCTTACTTTAAGGTGATTTATCATTAATTATAGGTTCAAAACCTAAAATTAACTATAATTATTCTTCCTTATTTGGAATATTTCATCAAAAACGTGTGTTTATTTGTATCAGTGCGATAATTTACTTAATATATTGTCAAATGCCTATATTCTGTCTACTATTAAATAAAAAAATATATAGAGGCTCCTCAAATAAATGAATTTCTTGTATTTTGATACAAAATAGGACATTTTAAGAGAAAATTAGCATTTTAGCTTTGTACAATCTGGATGGAGTTAATTTGTTCTTTTTTTTTTTTTTATGTTTCTTACTGTTTGGAAGGAATCTTACGACAAACCTCCATGAGATTTCACTGGACACGATAACACAAAACTTTCCAATCTACAGGCCCACCTCTTGACATAAAACACCTGATTTATTGGATTTCTTTACCACCAAAGGACTTAAAACTATACCACATGCTGAATTATTAAAACTGAAAAATAAATAAATAAAATCTGATATATTTTCTTCTACAAAGACCAGTAGTCTGTAAAGTGTGAATTATGGTCTGAAATTAGAGTTCAGCAAAAGTAATATTAATAAAATTGAGCTTTTTACGGTTTTGATTCCACTAAAAACCAGATCTTAACTATAAAATAAATTTTGTTTTTGTATTTATTTTTTAAAAATTTCCAAAGCGAATAACAGTTTTAAAAATCTCTTTTTTTTTTAAATGATAAATACTTTAATAGAGTATCAACAAACTGATTCTCACATACATTATGCAATATTTAAAAACAGGAAATAGTCATGAAAACTTACAAAACTGAATTTATATTACTCATAAAAGTTTTTATTAAGCATTTTGGAAATAAAGATTTTCCTTGTATCCTTTGCACATTATATTGTCTAGTCCATTGAGGAAGAGCAAGAACAAAAATTACATATCCGATTATTACACTGATGTACTGAATTCATAAGGAAAAAGTATGAAATATAAAATAATTTATTACAAAATACTTTCAAGTTAGCTACCAGAGATATTGGCTATTTTAAAATAGATCATTTTGAACTCCATCAATTACGTCAGGTGGTTACTCCTAGGGCACACCCAGCCTCTATAAAGTGGACTTCCTCTTAATTAAGAGGAACAACATAACAGTTGAGGACGTCCTCTATCGAATCTACATTTGGATTGGTGTCAAGGAAAAAAAAATCTCCAAATTGATAATACACTTTCTTTTTTTTTTTTAAGATACATTTCATTACACAGTAACAGACAAACAGACAACTAGTTTTATATTTCATTCGAAATAACAATGATAAGTTAACTTAGTTAAATATTTAAAGTAAATTAAATAGGTAACCAATCATCTACAAAATTTATTTACAGTTACAGTAACAAATTAACGACTACACATAACTATTTTACAAATAACAGTACAACAAAATTAAAAACAAAACAAAGCCTTAAAAATAAAAAATATTAACATAATAAAATCTAATCTAATTAAACTATATGACATAAATTAACACAGTTGTACTAAAAATAACAGAAAAAGATAACAATCATAAACATTTTGTCATAATATCAGGTAAATAATAGAATTTATTGCACAAATATATCAGTAATAAAAATCGTGACTATATTTATGAGCATTTTGAACACATTTTAGATTTTTAAATGCATACTTAAGTAATCTGACTTAAAACTATACATTATCCAATAAAAAAACTAGAAGACTCAATCTTTTGTTCCGAACAATATCCATATTTTTCAAATTATTATTTAAAAACTATTATAATTCAAGTGTTATATACACATCAGTTTCTTCAAATTTTTACCACGTTAACAGAATGTTAAAAAAAAAAAAAGCAAGCAAATTATAAATTTAATTCATTTTATTTTAATAGTTTTATAATCAATAAATGGACCAATAGAAATGTAAATGGTGCAAGTACGCAAATCACAAAAAAAGAAAAAATTATCTCCATCGAAGCTTCTCAATTTAGCTATTGTTTAGTAAAAAATAAAAGTAATGGAAGCCCCAAGCTAACTATAAATCAGTAATTTGAAATATATCTGACAAATACACATTTAAATGATCCAGCACAAATAACATTAACTTTTGTCTGGATATATTCATAAATAAATAAAGTCACTCATATATTAATTATGGACAATTACAATAAATTATATTGTTCGCATAATTGTAGTTTTAGAATTGATGTTGGCTTACCATGTATTCCATTCTTTAATAAAATGCTGGAGGCAGTTTTTATACAAATATTATTTATGTAGTCATTGACAGAACTTAAGACAAAAACTCATATTTTATACCTGATTTAATTTGTTATATGTTTTTACAAAATATTCAATTTACAAAATAATATTAAGTCAAAGATGCCTAAACTGTTCTTCCACATCAATTGACCTGAATGCTGTCGTCTGAAAAATTGTTAACATTAAATAGTAGGCATAATAATAATTGTATCCTTTAATATACTTTATTGATAAAACAATCAGTAAATTTAGAATGCCATTATAACAAAGTTAAGAGAATATTTTGATAAAAGATAGGCACTAAGGCTTTTTTTTCTTTGGACCCTTTGAGCACATTCGGTTTTGTACTTGAACACTATATTTGGCTTAAAAGTCTTATTTTTCTCATTAAGAAATAGTCTTTTTTTAAATAAAAAAAAAAAATCTTATTTCCTATAATATAAATTCTAATATGATTATTAATAAGAATTAACATGTTTCCAATAAATGCATGAATAAAAATCACAGAAAAGGCATGAAAAGTGTTTCTGCCGTGCCATGAGCCAATATTCCTATTTCGTAAGTGTTCCTTTTCTAATCTTGCTCCTTTAAAATGAAATCTCACTTTTGCCATTATTAAATGGCAACTAATTCTTAAATAAAAAAATCAATTTAGTAAACTTCCTTATGTTTTTAGAATTGTTCTAAATAATAATTGAATACAATTGAAATTGTAAATAAGTTATTTCAACTCCCAAATGGAAGAAATTATCTCTAATTAATTAATGTTTACTGATGTTTTATAAATACATTTTTACATGCGATATTAAAGACAAATTTTAATATCTCTCTACTGGCACTTCCTAAAAAATCCGTAATCGTAATTATTAGAAAATGCTCATTCCTGTAGTAGTTTTGATTAGGGTACAAAAATAAAACTATTCTATGTAAGGAGGTTTCTAGAAGGTCTTTTGTTGTATACACTGTTGATGTCTGAATCAATTTCGTCCAATGGTGGTGTATCGAGCAACACTGGATCATCAGGCGGTATGAATCTCGGACTGACAGCAGGCAATGTGTCATACCTAAACAGAAAATAAATTGTTAACTAAATAATAAAATAATACTTTATTTATTCTGGGACAGGTCCCTTTAGAATAATAAACAGAGATAAAAAAAAATTTAAAACAAGCTTATAATTTATATACATTTTTTATAACATAAATTTATAATTTTATGGGGACTCGAGGGATAGGAGATAATTGAATGGGGAGATTTAAAGGTGGAGAGGGTACTGGAGCAACGGATGCAGGGAGGGATAGAATTCCATAGGGATGAGGATCAGATAATGAAAGATCTGTCGAAGGCAGCAGTGGGCACTTATTTACAAATCTGAAGACCAGGACCAGGCTTTAGTGACATAAAAACAAAATTTGGAAACAGTTTACATAAATAGAAATGTAAATGTAAGTTTGCTCTAAAGTATTAATCTCCAAAAGTTGTTCACCGACTGCTTTGAAATTCTTATAAAACATTGTAATCAAATTCAGAATTTTTTTTTATACATTTCATTATCATCCGGCCTTTCATTTCAGAATGGTGGTCAAAAACATGTGTCGCTATATGTTATACCACCAAAAAGGCTGTAATGATTAAATGAAACTTGGATAAAGTATTTTCCGATAAGTCCTTTTAATTTGTGTATATAATATAATTTCCCAAAAAGAGGCTGAAAAAAGAGTAATGATGGATTTCAGAATTTTATTTGCAATAACTCAAAAATTACACAATTTTTGGTTCATTAAACATACCAGTATTTGAAAGCATACTGAATTCTGAATGAATTCAATGAAAAAAAAATGAAAAAAAAAATCATCAAAATCGAATAGAATCAAGTCCAATAAGATATTTTTATTGCATTATTTTTTTTTTTACATCTTTTTGGTTTATATTTTTTAGGAGAGTTCAATTATGGCAAATTTATAATTGTTATATTGCTATAGTATGAGTACAATGTTGAAATGACACTATTTGTACCGACCAAAGGAGCAAAGTGAATTCAAATATTTTTTTTGAAAAGTAATGATGGATTCATAATTTTACTTACGAATAACTCAAAAAGTACACAAATGGTACTACACTGTTTTTTATTGTAAGTACAAATAAAAGTGTCAGATCCACCTCTGAGCAGATGTTCTGTGTGCGAACCATTCTTGAAAGAGACCATGAGTATAAAACCAAAACTCACCATCTGTTCATCTATTTCAGGGCAGCGTATGACAGCATAATACGTGAAGAACTATATAGTGCTCTCAGATAATTTAACATACCTGAGAAACTTATACATTTGATAAAGCTTACCATGAAGGATGTGAGATGTATGGTTAGAATGAATGGTGACAGATTAGAAGAATTTCGCTCAGGTAAAGGACTTTGACAAGTGGATGCACTGGCCTGGATGTTGTTTAACCTAGCACTTGAAAAAGCCGTGAGAGATGCTGGTTTACACGAACGACAAGGAAACATTTTTACCAGATTGTCCAACTGTTGGCCTATCCAGATGATATAGACATTGTGGGACGCTACCTGGTGCTTTTCTGGCATTGACAGGCAGAGATGGGCAAATGTTACACTGAGTACTGATTGCCAAGTATTTTATTCAACTACTGACCTTTTTAAAGTACCAAAGAATTTAATTATTACTTCAGTTGACCTCAAAGGATTAACTGAAGTAGTGATTGAATTCCCGATAATGACTAAATTTGAGTAAAATACTTGGTACTCAGTACTTCAAGTTGTATTTGCCCATCTCTTCTGACAGGTCATGCCAGCAGACTTGGAATGGAACTTAATGAGTCCAAAACAAAATATATGTTTACAGAAGAAATCCACACACCAGAAGAGACAGTCACTATTGGGCCTCATAAATTTGAGAAGGTTTCGGAGTCACTTATCTGGGATCTGTAGTCACTCAGAATAATAACCCTGATTTGAGATAAGAAGAAGGATCTTAGCAGCCAACAAGTGCTACTTTGGATTGAGCAAGCAGCTAAGCAGGCGAGGATACTTTCCAGACACACCAAGCTCCTCTACAAGACATTGGTGCATACCGTAATTCTTTATGGATCGGAGTGTTGGACAGCTTCAAAGGCTACTGAAAAAGACCTCCTTATTTTTGAAAAAAATGTTCTCCCCCGTGTTTTCTTCCCCGAGTGAAAGTTGTGAAAGGGGAACCAGGAACTGCACAATGCTTTCGGAAAAGCTGACATGAAAGCAATGAAGTTGAAGCGTTCAAGATATGGAGGGTATATTGCCAGAATGGCGGATGGAGAAATGCCCAAAATATTGCTTGCACAGTCAATCTATGAAACAAAGAGAAGAGGGAGACCAAGGCTGAGATGGTCGGATAGTGTGGCAGGAGACGCCCGCAGCATGATGGGAGTTAGGAACTGGATGGTGTAGGTGCGAGACCGTGACAATTGGAGGAAACAGTTAGAGAAGGCCAAGACCTGTATATCGGGTCGTAGTGCCGTGAAATAATAATAACATATAAAAGTGTATGTACATCTTTATTGGAAGTGAGTAAAAAGGGTTTAATAAATTAATGTTTAACAATTAAAAGGCAAGCTAATCTAGTTCTACTAGTGCAGAGAAAAGAAAATGGCTGCTCTGTAGTTTCCCAAGAAGGAAAATCCCAAAGAGGAGAGGGACAAAGGTTTTTGTTTGGCGAGTAGTTGTTGTGTGACTGCAGTGAAGAGAGGTTAAGAGAAAATATCCTATACTGGCTTCAGTGGGTAAAATCCAGTAATAGTTTTACCATCTTAGAAGATCTTGTTTGGCAGGGAGAATAGTTGTTTGGAATTGCAAGAGAGAGGATTTCCCAGAGAGCTTGAGTTGAGTGGAAGAATAGCGTTACCATTTTGGGATATGTGTTTGGCAGAACATAAGAAAATGTGTGAAGACAAATGAGTTCAGTGCCATAAAGGAAGAAACATGGTATGTAGAAAAAAGGTTAGCTTGTCAATTCATACTTGACTTTATTTTAAAATCAATGTTTAATTTTAATATAAATAGTGTAAATAATAATAATAATAATAGTAAATAGTGTTTGTCAGAGTTGATCTGATTGTCAGTAACCCACACCCGAGATAAATAAATATATTAATACTGTTATAATTTTGTTTTTTATTTAACAACCTCTTATTTCTTTTGGAAGTATCCTGTGGGTATAAAGTGATCTTCTGAGGTTATATTATTATTATTTAAAATATAAGAGGGATGTACAAAATACATAAGAATAGAAAAAAAAAAGTGCCAGAAACATGCAAATTCACTTATGTTTTCCTCTAATTTTCAAGAATGATTATGGTCGAATTTTGACGACTGGGTGAACGCTACTTATATTAAATCTAAAAGATTTAATCTTCAAAAGTTCTATTACCTGCGGGAAACTTTAGTGAATTCTCTATTGGCATCAGACATTTTTGTGACTCTGGAAATTAGCTCGTAATCAGGACAAGAGACAGGCAGGCCAATAGCAGTGCATAGCGCATTACGAAGAGAATTCAACTGCGAAACGTAAAGATAAAAAGTAAATTTTTAAGTTCAAAAATAACTTCGAAAAAGTAATGGTTCAAACATCTCTGATATCAACTTACTGCGCTCTTGGCTCTGCTTGCCTCAGCCAATGAGTTCCTCAAAGACTCTACTTCGTCCCTCAATGCTTGGGCCACGCCTTCACCCATCGCACGCATTTCTTCAGCGCTTTCTCCAGTTACTCTCACCTAGAAAACCAAAAACAAATTTTGAAATGAGGTCGGCTTGAATGCCATAATAGTAAATTTAAATTAAACAGCCAAATGAAAAAATCCTAAATATATGTTTTATGATAAGTCAATAAGTATAAAACATTTTAAAGTAACTTTAAACAGACTTGCCTGATCTTTGAGAACATTCATTTTTCTTGAGCACCTTGTTCTTAGCATTTCCGATTCGGCCAATCTTTTTTGGAGTTCATCAATTTTTCTCCCTCTTTCTAATGCGGTCATCTAAAATAATAAAGTATACATATTATTACAAAGCAGATATATGAATCTATAATCAGTAAAGATGAAGAATGCCATAATAGTAAGTACTTACTTGTAGATTTTCTATCACAAAAATAAGTAATAAGTTAGTATATGAAAATTAATGATTTTTCATTGCATACATAATTTTATAATTGAGCACTAAGTCCCAATATTTTCAAGGGTACTAAAAATTAAATTTATCAATAATATATTCAAATTGAAATAGTATATTAGGAAGAGCATAAATTCATTTATTGATACTTAGATACTTATTTAATAGCGGGTAGCGTCTGACTGCTATCTGCTAATGTTTATAATCTTAACACTGATAAGCTCTTCCTATTCCTATTTAATAGATTTTAATAGAAATAGAAATAGAAAAATAACTTTATTCTGGGACACAGTCCCTTGAGAATAACAAATTAGAACAAAATTAAAATATTACATCTGGCCAAAACAAAATAAATCGAAAAAAAGAAATAATGTAAAAAAAATATAAGGTAAAAACTCTATATACAAAACAAACTAAACTATATACAAAACCATTAATACTATGACAAGAAACTTAAAGCTATTTAGACCAGTATACACTTTTCCGAAAAAAATAAAGAATTAAAAAATAAAAATATATCAAATTCTCTATTAAAATCCGCTCGAATGGTTAGCAAGTATCTGACTGTTTTTGTGATAGGAATTGGAATAGGAGGGATTTGAATGTGGATATGGAGGGGGAATGTCGAATTTTGATAGGGAGGGAATTCCAGAAATTGACAGAGCGAACAATAAAGGAATTTTGGAATGAGGCAGATCTGTGAGAAGGCATGTAAAGGTCAGAAGGTCGAGATCTTGTGGACAGGGAATGGACTGAGGATTTGAACTGGAGAAGGTTGTAGGCGTAAGAAGGACGATGGTTGTTGATGATTTGGTAGAGGAACGTACCTAGAAAGTATTGTCTTCGGAAGGAGGGGTAGAGCCACCTTAACTCAGTGTAGTGGTGAGAGACATGGGAGTACCTCGGGGCACCAATAACAAATCTTACGCAGCTATTCATTAATCTTTTCAGTCTATCACGGAGCTCCACCGAGAGGCCATCATACACCACACAGCTGTAGTCAAAGTGGGGGAAGATGAGAGAGGAAATTAGGAGTCTACGGATATGTTGAGGTAGGAGATGGCGGAAGCGATGAAATAGTTTAAGGGTAGAGATTGTCCGACGGGAAATGTGAGAAATATGGTTGGTCCAGGAGAGGGTTTGATCTATGAAAAATCCTAAATTTTTAACAGAGGAGTAGAAGGAAATTGGCTGGTCATTAAGGTGTAATATGGGAAAGTCAGTATGGGATCTAATGAGGGGCTTGGAACCAATGACGATGGCCTGAGTTTTGGCAGCATTCAACTTTAATCCATTTACATTTGCCCAGGCATTGATTCGATCAAGATCTTCTTGAATCTTGGCAAATGCCCCCAGTAACTCAGAGGGAGAAAAGGATAGGTAGATCTGGGAATCATCTGCATAAAGGTGATGGGAACAATGGAGAATTGATTTAGGTAGGTCGTTAATGTAGGAGCTGAAAAGGAGAGGAGATATGCTTGAACCCTGGGCAACTCCAGAGGATAAAGAAAGGAAAGCAGATAGTGGTTGGTTGGGTATGGAGACTGCTTGGGTGCGTTGGGAGAGGAAAGATTGGAACCAAGAGATGGAACTATTGGAGAAAGATAATGATTTTAGTTTGTTGAAGAGGATGGAATGGTTGATGGAATCGAAAGCTTTGGAGAAGTCTAGAAGAATAAGGACAGTTAATTTTCTATCATCTATTGCAGATTGAATGTCGTTGGTAATTTTAATTAAGGCAGATTGTGTGGAATAGCCGGGACGGAAACCAGATTGGAGAGGATCAAATTGGTTGGAATTTTCGAGGAACTTGGAGACTTGGGATTGCACCAGTCTTTCAAGAGGCTTTGAGAGGTTAGAAAGAATTGAAATTGGACGGAAATCTTCGGGTGAGGATGGATTAGGCTTTTTATTTAAAGGAAGGACAATGGCTTTTTTCCTTTTATAATTTTAACAATTTATTGTATTATATTCATATTATTATATCTTCGTATTCATATTTATTGTATTGTATTGATATTATTGAAATTGTGAACAAAAACAAATGTAATAATAAAAATACTTTTATTTTACAACATATATATTAAAATAGACCAAAACATTATAAATATATAGTTAAAAAACATTGCAACATATATGTCAAAATAAATAAAATAATATGTCCATATAAAAGAAACACTATGAAGAAACGATATAAACAAAATATGAAAAATTTTATTTTAACTTTATTTTGGTAGATAAAATAGTTTTATGGTATTTAAAATAGAAACGGTTTTGTTATTTGATGACCTTCATCACAATATTAGACCTTTGCAAATATCTCGGCGTCTTCAAAATATTTTATAGCCTCTTTTTCTGAAGACGCAATTCCCACAATGTGACAACACCCATAATTAAATAACACCTTTGGTTAGATGAGATAAGGGAGGTTATGTGAAATGAGATTAGATAAGGAGGAGGTTTTGACGCTACCCGCTATTAAATACGGTACCGATACTTAACATGGAATATTACATTTAACATGGTGACTACCCACGGTAATTTTCAAAGTTACATTATAAAAAGCCAATTTAAGTTATAATATGATTATATTATATTATTTTATTTTATTATATAATATTATTAAAAACTCTAATTTTATTATACAGGGTGTTTCATAATTGCACGGCACTATTTTAGGTATGTGTTCACTAACACAAAATAAACAAAAAAGTTCATATTAACATATATCTCAAACTCATTTATTAAACAGATATCAAAGGTTAGAGATCTATTATTTATTTAGCACATTAAGACTGACTGTACAAAGTTTAACGTTTTTAATACTAAATAACAGGTTTTAATCATCTGTTAAACAAATGAACGATAAGCAATGACAGTAGTTGCTCATCTGTTTGTCTAGTTCGCAAGCAAGAAGACCTAAGAAATCGGATCATGGAAGCAGCAGTAACTATCAAGCACCATCCTGATGTTATATGAAGAGCCAGAGAAGAATGGATTCGTTGCGCTGAATGTTGCATTCAACAAAACGGAGGCCTCTTTGAACAGTTACTCTAAATGTTGTAATAATAATAAATAAATAGTAATAATAAATAATAAATCTTTAACCTTTGATATCTGTTTAATAAATGAATTTGAGATATATGTTAATATGAACTTTTTTGTTTATTTTTTGCTAGTGAACACATACCTAAAATATTGCTGTGCAGTTACGAAACACCCTGTATATTAATCATTATTTCAGAGTGATATTGCCATCATTAAAAGAACAGCACAAATATTTCAAACTGAAAATTTCAAGACTTCTACAATTTTTCAAACGATCAACAGATACAAAAATATAATGAGCCCCAAGAGAAAGTGTAGAGGACTTAGTCATCGAAAAAAATAAAATAAATATTAATCATTAAACAGACCTAGACACTAACCACCATCCTAGAAAGAAGTATTGAAAGATTTGAGAGAAAAATCTTTTTCACAATAACGAAAACGATCTGGGATCAAAGTACTAACGTCAAGAGGAGAAGAACCAAAAAGAACTGCATACAAAAACTGACCAATTTTTCATAATGTGAAGGCAAGGAAGCTAAGAGAAAAAAAAATTAAATAATATAAGATAATTCATAGATGGCATCCTAGGCAAGAATAACTATAAATTATATCATAGATGGGCAATGGACATGTTAACTAACAAAACTAAATTACTTATATGAACCTATAGTCTGCTTTTAGACGGAACACAATAGTATTTCCTACTTGGTGTAAATGGTTTTGAACACAAATTATACTAAACAGAAACACTGAAAGTATATACCATATCAAATTATCAGTTTTAAACATTCAGTAAAACTAATCTACGACAAAAAAAAAAATTTCTATTTAAATAGAATTTTAAATAAAGTTATAATTTACCTTATAGTCATTATTTTCAGTGAGCTGAAGCTTTAAATCTCTCGTCAATGCTCTTGCCTCATTTAACTGCAACTGAAGTCTGTCTACTTGCTTCGATAATTTCTTCACCCTGAAATACAGTCTTGCTAAATTTAAATGTTCATATTTAAATATAATCATTTTGATTCTGATCTACATAATTTAATAAAATTACAATATGCAAATAGAATAAATTAATTTGATAAACTTTATTAAATAAAAATAACAGAGGAGAGGATCGAATTAATTATGACTTTAAAGAAACACAAAAGTATTTGATTTAATTAACTATTTATTAAAAATTTTGTCAGTTTATTGTAAAAAGTCTCTAAGTATATTTTTGAAGGTTTTAAACTTTTAAGTACAATTTAAACCTATGACCTCCTGTCCTACAGTATCCTTTAATAATACCCCTTGGACTCCACTTAGACAAACGTCTAACTTGGAATCCTTATACCAGACTGAAACGACAAGACACCGCTCGACGTTTCCGACTACTACAGCACTTACTAGACAAACGCTCTAAGCTCCCAGTCAATTACAAAAGACTCATATACATGACTACAATAAGACCTATTTGGACTTACGGAGTTGAGCTCTAGGGCTCCACTAAGCCATCGAATTCCTCTCGTATCTAATCATTACAATCCAAAATCTTTCATAAAATCCTCACTGCTCCCTACTTTGTCACAAATAAAATCATCCATAACGATCTTAATGTTCCTTATGTTTCTGACCTGGCCCAATCCAGATACCTATCCTTCCATAACAAACTTCAGAACCATCCAAACCCTCTCGTTTCTAACCTTGCTTCCTCTTCGATCCCTGACAACCCTCCGAGGCGTCTGAAAAGAAGATGGCCTCGAGATCTCCTTTTGTAAATATATTTTTAGAGTGCTACTAGTGGGTAGTTTCTCAATAAGTGGTTTCATGTTATTATATTCTTTTGTTCACATTTACTGAATGTATTTTTATTTGTAATACAGTTGTAAAGATTATCAATAAAACAAAAAGGACAATTTCGACCTTCCGAAAATTCTACTACTTAAAAAAGTAGTTGAACTAAGTGCATAATTTTTTTATTTCACAGAGAAAAATCCATCAAAGTACTTTTTGCAATTTTAATTACCTTATTTATGTATGGTAAAATGTATGAATAAATATATTTAATGTATCAAAGAGTATGAAAGCAATGAATGCGCTTACCTAAGATTAGCTTCGTCCCTCTCGGCTTGAAGCAGACCTTTCGTCCTGCAGTTGTCCTCTTGTAAAGTAAGTTTCTTTCGCAAGAGGTCAAGATGAAGGTCTCTCCTTTGTAACTGATCTCGAAGGTTCCTCACTCTCCGTTGGAGCTGGTATACCACTGCTGACTACCACAATAATACTTGGCATAAAATAATAAAACAGGTGTTGAAACAGTTATATTTTTTTTTTTACAAATGAGTTCAAATTTCAAGTGTTTTAAAAAACTTTTATCAATAAGATGTTAAAGATAAACGTTTTTTTTTCAAAACTGTTAAATAAAAGTTCTTAGCTTAAAAACGTTTTTTACTTTTTTAATACATAAATAAAAGTATTTGTTAAACTTTTACTTATTCTCTTTAAAATTTATAAGTATAAACAATTACAAATTATAATAGGAGCTTTATTATTATTACACTGCTCAGAACTCAGAGTGGAAAACTGATGAATTCCGATTCGTATTTAAATTTGTAGAACATTATAAAATACAAAGTTTTAGTTTTTAATCAGAAAATGTTAGAAAAGTAAAAGCTTTAATGTTATTGAATTAATGTAATACATAATATCTTGTTCCATACCTTGTAAACCTTTTAAATATTAACTAAGTTAAATATATATTAAAATTATTACAATGTTTTATAATGTACATATACTGATAATTATATTTTCTGTTAATAAAAACATAAAAGGATATTACTTTTTTCATTAAAAGCTATTCAAGTAAATGGTTTATAAAAACAGTTATATATATAAACTTTTATTAAAGAGTTTCATTCTCTTCAAGTGATTGCTTCGATCAGCCCTGATGAAGGCCTGAACTTCGGGTCGAAATGTCGGCAAATGTTAAAATAAATATTATTATTTATTTTTGTCATTTTTATTTTGACTGATCACCCCAACCATCCTTCTCTTCATTTTATTAGAGGTAAAAAAATAACTATTTCGAAATGGCAAATATCAACAAAAATAAAAGTTGAAACTTTTATACGTCTACATATATAAACAAAAATTTTAACTTTTAAGAGTTGACTGTTTCATTCGACCCCTGTAATAAAACATGTATTTTTATCAAGCATTATTTAAAAACTCCATTTGAACCTCTCCTATTAAACTAGTTTTAGTTCTACAAAATTGTATCTTCTGAATATAGATCTCTTTTATCGGTAAAAGTATGATAAAATGAAAATAAATATGCTGATACCCATAAGCAAAACAAATACCATGAACCAAACAAAAATTTAAATAACTTATTTAAAAAAATTCAAGTTATCAAATTGGGAAGGACCGTATGTAAATAAATTTTTAATCTGTTTTGGAAATATAAATTATTTATTTAAAATCAATTTGATTTTTTTTTTTTATTTATTTATTACCAGATCGGCCTGGTGGGCCTTACATGGTTGAATTTGATTAAATAAACGATATCATCTGGGTCTGTGAGAAATAATAGCTACAATAGTACTGCGTCAAATTTATTACGAGAAAATGAATATTTTTTAAAATGAGGAGTTGATTGGAGGGAAGGAGGTGTGTGGTCAAATAAATACTAAATTATATAAATAGTATTATTTAATTATTATGCAGACGTTTCGACCCGTTTTGAGTGTTTCAACTGCCTCCTGCAGTACCACATCCCACACCCTGATGAACACCTGCAAGGTGGGTCGAAACGTAGGCATAATAATTAAATAATACTATTTCTATAATTTAGTATTTATTTGACCGCACCCCCCAATCAACTCCTTCTCATATTACATCACGGTCAACTATCTCTACATCATTTTTTAAAATGAAATATACATTTATTACAAAATCAAATATAACAGACTGTAAAGTTTTTTTAATATAAGTTTTAAAAATTAAATTTGAATAGTAACATTAAAATTACATATTTTATAGTTTCCAAGGTTTAAAAATTAATAAATAAAAATCACATAAAAATAATTTATTTAATGATAACATTATTTAATAAAACAAAAGCAAAATTTATAGTAAAAATATAAAATATCTCTTTATATCCTATTTCAAAAGCTCATATCTATTGGAGATAGACTTTTTCATCTCCCGTCAGTACTCTTTTAGCTTTAAAGGAATATTTTAAAGAAGTTGTTTCATAAATAGTTAAACAAAAAATCGATATACTATTTTTTAAAGAAATATGAACCCTTACACAAGGTATTTTCATAAAATAAAGCCCTCACTGAAAGTTTTTTGGAATTGGCATCCTGATTCAAACATTCTACTTACTTTTTGACAACTTCACTAACAAAACGTTAGAGTTATCGATAATCAATCTCAGCTATGGGAAAACTATGAAAATCAATATTGACATTTACTTTTTAAATGTACTACAATAATATAATGGAATTACCAATGCTAAACTAATTAATTACACACCCCTTAAAACTAATTAATTTGATGCCCTAGGAGACGATGGCTAGATGACCTTGAGAAGGATCTGGCAAGGGATGGAATAATTGGAAATAGTTAGCACTGGATTGGGATATATGGAACCAGGTGTATGACCTTCAAAATCCACCTCTAACTGTAGTGCTGTCGAATTAAATTAGTAAACTTATTAATTCAGGTTATGGAAATTTCAATATTTTTTTTTTTCTTTTTATCCTTTGAGTTACAACAGTCAGTGTTCATTGACAACCAGAAAATGTGATTAAAATAAATAAATATAGGATGCCTGACATGGCTGAGGAATTATATTAATAAGTGGTTATTCTCCGGCCCTATTTCATGTTATTCAAAGAGACCTCTCATCCAGCTCCAAATTTGATTTTAATCTCCAGGTCATATGTTTAGGCATGAATAATCTAATATATAAATTAATATATTTTGAGTTTCAACCACATGCTTAAATAGTAAAATTAAACAACATAATAAATTGGTTAATTAGTTTTTAAATATTAAGTAAGCTAATTTCAAGTTAATAAATGTTCATTTTTGTCTAAATAATTAGATAGTAAATACTAAAATTGTCAAAAGTTATCTATAAAATTCTAAAAATTCATCTACAATGATGCAGAAAAAAATATAGTGACTTTTTTAAATTCTACAATGTTATTAAAAAATTTGTGCAATATACGTATCATTAGCGTGTAAGGGTTTTAAAAATGGAAAATAAATTTTATCTTTATAACAGAATAAAGCGCTAAAAGTTAATGATAGAAAGTCAACTTTTTTCTCTTCTTTTAAAAAAAAAATTATGTCTACATTTCTTTTATACGCACTACGCTTTCATTATAAAATGAACTATGCCTTTAAAAGACAGTTTATTCAACAAGCATGCTGATATTCTGCCTAAGGCCTTATTTTCTTACTTCTCTCAGAGGAATGTCGTATAATGATCGCTCGCGCTTATATCTGGGGTAAGACCCGTACAACATCAGCTGCAATACAAAGACGAAATGAACAAGAAAATCATTTTAAAAATAACTGATCTACTGGAGCCTTCTATTTTTATTAATTATTTAAATTTGACATAAAAGTAATCGACATTTTGCTTTGTTTTGTCTTACATCACTATTCCCTATTTTAACGTAAAAGATTTCTAAATATATTTGCATACTTACTGGCATTATACTCACAATAAGCAGGTAAAAAGGTCGACAAAAATCCGTCCCTTGAGTATAGCCATTTCTTTCCCAGAGAAGAGCACATTATAATACAAACGTTTTACATTTGGCATCAACACCAACCTACTTAGTTAAAAAGAGCTAACGCTTATTTTTTGTTGGTAAGAAAAATTAAATAAAAAGAATGGAGTAGGACGATGGGTAACACAAATCAAATCTATCTGATATAATAAATGGCTATATTTTCTCCGAGCAGGCTTTAACAACTATTTTCAACAATCCTCTTTGGTTACTAAAAATAACTGATTCCCCTCCTCACCTTATCAGCGAGCTTATCACTTTCCAGCTTTGCAAGCTGCTCAGCGCGAAGTAACATAGACTCTGTATGAAGATCCACTCCCACTTCTCGGGATATTTCCTCCATGTTCAGGGCTCGAGCCAGCCGTTCCAGAAATGTTACAAACTATAAACATAAATTTTCATAATATTTCTCACTTCTTCTTCGGTGCATAATATTTATTTTCAAGTTTATTTATTATCAGCCAATTTCTTTTTCACTTATGCGAATTGCATGCGTCTACTCGTAATAAAAATTTGTATTCTTGTCATCTCCACCTTATCATGTGTCAGCCACATGTCATCAATCTCATTTTTATTCAGTGACTGATGACATGTGGGTGACACATGATAAGGTGAGATGACAAGAATAAAAAAATTTATTACGAGTAGAGGCATGCAATTCGCATAAGTGAAAAGGACAGGTACATGATGAGTATTTAGACTTGAAAATGGCTCAACGAGCCGAAACGTCATAATTCGATGTGTAGTCATTAAGTTGACAAAATTTAAAAATTGGTGTAAAATTGGCTGATAATAAATAAACTTGAATATAAACATTAATTAAAATAAAGATATATACTAGTAATTATTTTAAAACATAACATAAATCAAACTATCTTTAAGGATATAAAACAAATCAATATTATTTGTTTAATACATATATACAAGTAAAGATTCGCCATCCTGTTTTATTTTGTTTTTCTACAAGGTATTGAATTTTTTTTTCTATTTCATGCTCATATTTCAGGGATTCTGGAGAAGCCACCTCTAATATGAGCATAAAATAATAGAAAGAAAAACTGACTCACTTGGAGAAAAAAACATATTATCTGATGAGACCATACAGGGATAAGCTTTGAACTTACAAGAAAAAAATCACTTATAAAATATATATATATATAATGAACAGTAGAAGCTATAAATATAAATATATTTTGAATGAGAACTCTTTATCTTGTTTTGAAAAAATCCATATATAAATGCGATTTTTTTTTTTAAACTGAAAATCAAAACCCTATAGTTCTACTAAATAATAATTATTACTTATCATCAGTGGTGATGTGAAACAGCACAAATGTTAAATGCTGTCTACCAGAACAGCTAGTGGTCAATAATGTTATAAGAAATTTAGAGGATGAGGGTCATTACCAGCATTCATCACCAATAAAATGTTTATAATTAAAAATACATAATACTATGAAAAACAAAATACAATATAATATTAGTGCTCTCACAATAGCTTTGTCCCGTCGGAGACCTTCTTTGGCTGCTTGGCATGCTGATAACTCAACTTCTGTTTTCTGGAGCTTCCCTTCCAAGTGCATTTTGTCCTCTTCTACTTCTTTTAAGCGTCTCATGTCATCCCCTCGCTGTTCTGTCAAACGACCAACTTGATCCCGCAGAGAACCAATTTTTTCATGAAGAGAATCGACTTGCTATAATGTAACATTAATAATTTTGAAGTACTTATTATATTTGTATATTTTAAAATTCAATCAAATTAGTTTTGATTAGAGTTCATCACAATTTATGTCCAAATTAGAAGGCAAAAGCATTTTAAATTTTCATATTTTTTATATTATAATTGATATAAATAATTATATAATTGATATATATATATATTTTTTTTTCATCATTATTTCAAATATATGTGTCAATATCTTTATTAAACAAGTCATTCTAAATCTTTAGGTAAATTTTTAAGTTGCATATTTAGCCAAAATTTGATTTTTCTGCATATTTAGGTTAAAAATTATTTTATATATAAAATATATGGTAAGAAAGAAAGTATTGCTATTGAGAACAATTTTCAATACAAGTTTCCAATGAAAATAAATGTTTGAGGCCTACAATCAGTAAAAAATATAAATCTTACCAGATTTATCTTAGCATTTTTTTCTTTTCTAGAAAAAACTATTAATTATTTACTATTTATAATAATATAGTTTAAATAAATAATATATTTTAATACCATAGATTTATCTTTTGCATCACTGAGAAGATCTCTGATTCTTTCCTTTATACTCAGCTCGTTACTTTCAACAAACCGAACTGGTGAACTTAATAATATAGCGAGTGATTCTAGAAGATGCCTTAATTCAGTGTCAAGGCGCAGTGATTTTTCTTCTTTGTCCTTCAATTCCTCTAGATAGAATACATAATAAAGTCAGTTACGTCTAGTATATCAACTCCACATCATACAATTATATCTTTAGAAAACATTAAATCTTAAAAATTAAATTTGTTGTGAAGAATTTTTATTTTACATAAAAATATCTTAAAACTTCCATTGATTGAGACTTATTAAAACGTAATATAAACGTTACATTTTTCTTATACCTCAGAACATATGAAACTATCTTGTTATATTTGTCCATTCACCTGTTCTTTGTAATTATATTTGTTTCCTTATAATTTATACACTACTAAAAATCTGAAATGCAAGAAAAAGACATGGAAACTTGTTTTTTAAAATTTGAGAAACCGGTTTTAAGTGAGAACAAGTACTATCTTTTAGTAAGTAAGTACTATCTTTTGCCAATTCAGGTAGTTAAGAAGCTGTCAGTAGTGGCTTTTAATAATTACCTTTCAGAGCTCTGATGGTTGCTTCCTGAATCTGCATATCTCCTGTCGTGACATGCAAGCTGCGACTGAACCCAGTCAGTTTATCCCGCAGCTCTGAAAGTTCTCTCTCATACAACCGACATTGCAGTTCCAACTTTTCTTTTTCCTATCATGTGATAAATAAGTACTATTTAAAATATGTTCTAAATCATAGCATTCAGCAAAGCAACAAATTCATATAAAACCTACTGTTTATTTAAAATTTAATATTACTTCCAATAATAAAACTAATAACTTTATGTTGTCAATATTATCATTACAAGTAGGGTTGAACAAAATAAATGACCACAGAAAATGACAAAGCAATAAATATATGTTGAAAATTAACCTCTAGTGCTTTCTAATTTAAATGTTACTCAGAGATAATTGAAAAATCTTACCAAGTAGTTAGACCGTCAAATATTACTAGTTTGAGATCGAAATCAAAACATTCTTACAAATTAAAGCAAAAAGGTCTTAAATTACTAGAAAATATTATTTACTCCAAATCAAGCAGTTTTTTTAAATCAGTAAGATGACATATGAAGACAGGTTGTACCAGAAGGGATAGGATAGATTTCATCTGTCTGATGTAAATAAAATTTAATTACATAATAAATTTTAATTAATACTTCATAAATTATATACAAACTATTAGTAATGAAATACATATGTAAGTACTGAAGTTTTGGCTTAAAATTGATAATTAATAAGCGAATGTTTATAATAAGAAGTGATTAAGATAAAAAAGCCAGTGTTGTCAAGATCAGCCAAGTTCTTCTCCATAAACGAAATTGAGTTTCCCTCTAAATTTTAATAGTTTCCTTTAAAATTAAATCACTTTTAAATAATTAATATATTGATTTTTTAAATTATGAATAAGACCCCCCTCCTTTTTTTTTAATATTATGAAATTTAGAAAATTTAAATTATTTTTATGAAATTATTTATATGAAAGTATGCAAATAAAAGGTATAACAATGATACATACAATAATAATAATAGAACAGCCAGATTAAAAAAAAATGTTTAAGGTAAATGTTTAAGCTATAAATAACAGGCTAAGTTCATAAACTCAGAGCTAAGATCATTTATGACCACTAGCGGACCCAGGATTGAATTTTGGGGGGGGAGGGGCTTCAGTCCGAAAGCTTTTTTTTTTTTTTTTTTTTATAAAAATAACAATAATCACTTTGGAGAAAAAGAAATAAACTAACTACCTATATGAAATGTTTTTTAAGTGATTCCTAAAGTCCTTTTAAATGTAATCACATGAACAATAATAATTTAAGAGATAATTTTTTATATTCTTTTCCATAAAACATGGTTATATTTTACCATTTTGGGGGGGGCTTCAGCCCCAAAGCCTCCCTCCCTCACTGAAGATCCGTCCATGTTGAAGAGCACCCAGAATTCCCATGGATTAGCGCTGAGTTTAGGAACTAGCCCATAGCTATTCATTACTAGGAAAATAAATAAGAAAAAAAAGGATGGTAGATTAATATCTGTCTTGAAAAATAATATCATCAAACGAACATGCCCACACTTGAACCCAATCACCGTTTTTAAAACTCTAGATGTACTTCATTTTCAATACATGTAGAAGGTAACGAAAAATCAACAGTAGTAAACTCTTGCATTTTGCTCATGCAGTATGACGACAATTAGTTAGAAAAAAAAAAGAAATGAATGGCTCACAGAGGTGTTTACGGGGGGGCTTCGGCTGAAGCTCCCCCCCCTCAAATGGTAAATGTAACATGTTTTACAGAAAAAAATATTAAAAACTATCTCTTAAAGTATTCTTGTTCGTTTAATTACATTTAATAGGACTTCAAGAACCACCTAAACACCATTTCATATAGGTAGTTCATTTCTTTCTTTTTTTTTCTAATTAATTATCGTAATTATTTCTGAAAAAAAAAAACTCGGTGAAGCCCCCCAAATAATCGGATCCGCTAGCTGTGCTAAAAACAAAAACTTCTGGGGAGAAAAATACCAACCGGACAATATGGGGAGTGTTGTAGGCGTAATATTGAAGTAATAAAACGTAAATTAATATCGATGTTATCATATTAGTGAAGTATATCTATATTCGATAATATCGGAAGATTTACTTATTCACAAATTTAGGAAAAAATAACAATTAATTGAAATAATAAGTATAATGGAATTCTAATTTCAATAAATACTCCGTAGTTAAAAAAAAAAAATGTAAACATTCTTAATCTGTTAAAAACTTTAAAATTAGCTCCCTGGTCGTCAATTTAGCTTGACAGTTAATTGATAAAGACAAAATTAACTAAAATGTTTTGAATGTGACCTCTAACAAGCAATCAAACAAATGATATTTATCATATCATCATTATTATAATATTTCAAAAAGTTAGAAAAAAGTTTAGAAGTATTATAGTTTCAACAATGGGCAGTAGATAGGTAAATGGTTTATCGATTGCTGACTGTATATTGTTGTTTCTATAGGGAACAAGCAGGGTAGTCGGTCACTTTGTATCATACTTACGTATGTTGTACACAGTTTTGTGTTAACTCAGCAAAACATTAAACATTTCAGTCCTTATGTTCAGGAGCGGATCAGATCCCTAAGCAAATATATAAATATCTATATATATATATATATATATATATATATATATATATATATATATATATATATATATATATATATATATATATATATATATATATATATATATACATTAGGCCCCGTCTCGAAAAGAGAAAAAAAAACTTTCAAGGAAACTCAGATTATCACTTAAAGAGTGGATGTTATTTTATTGAGTTTTTAAACCTATTCAACCATTACCAAAATCTATAAGTTTGGATACTTAAGAATCTTCGAGACCGTTTGGTATACCTAGCCCTACGCGATCTCTTAGTCAGTCTCTGCATATGTTTTTAATCAATTTCATACTGTAGAGATATTTAAAAAAAAAATTTAATCCATTTAATTAAAAGTAGTTTGAGACTAAAAATGTTGAACAAATACAAATTTTAATATGCCATGGAAGAGAAACATCTGATTATTTTTCTTTCTCAATCATAACATAATTATTTTGATGATTCTGTCAATTTTCATATTATACGTATAAATATTTGGATCCATAAATACATTCATTAGAGTAAAAAAGGACAAAAAGATAATATTTCAATATTCTAAAACAAAGCAGTAGGCCTCTCAAATACTAGCAAACTTTATGTCAATTCAGGAATCTTTTTTATTATTATTATTTCTCCCCTTTCTCACCTTTTAGACTATAGATAGATAGATAGATAGAAAGAAAATAACTTCTAAATTCTGAGAGACAGTCCCTTGGGAATAACAAAATTTAAAGATTACATCTGGCCAAAATAAAATCAATCGAAAAAAAGAAATAATTTAAAGAAAATATAAGGTAAACATCCTATATACAAAACAAACGAAACTATATACAAAACAATTAACACTATGACAAGACACTTAATGCTATTTGCACCGATAGACCAGCATACACTTTTAAGAATTAATTAAGAAATAAGCTTTGTGTTTCTGTTGAAAAAACAGAAAGCTGAATCTGAAAATATAAAGTGCCTGATTAATATATAAATACATTATCATTTAGCATTGATATTTGACAATGAATGGCATGCAATAAATGTATGTTGTCGAATGGTTAGCAAGTATCTGACTGTTTTTGGGATATGAATTGGAATAGAAGGGACTTAAATGTGGGTATGGATGGGGAATGTCGAATTTTAATAGGGAGGGAATCCCAGAAATTGACAGGAGTTTTGGAATGAAGCAGATCTGTGAGAAGGCATGTAAAGGTTAGAAGGTCGAGATCTTGTGGACAGGGAATGGACTGAGGATTTCAAACTGGAGAAGGTTCTAGGAGTAAGACGGACGATGGTTGTTGATGATTTGGTAGAGGAACGTATCTAGGAAATATTGTCTTCGGAAGGAGGGGAAAAGCCACTTTAACTCAGCGTAGTGGTGAGAGACATGGGAGAATCTATACGAGGCTTTTCTGGGGCCGGAAGAATGGGGGGGGGCGAATTATGCTGAGTTGAAAGTAATACCATCAGACACCGAGATTTTAACTCGTAAATATTCGGTTTATTATCAGATTCAGGCATCATTAAAACAGAAAAAAAAAATGAAAAACTATCATTCCATGAACATATCCCAAAATCGATAGCCTTACGTCATTATTTTGGATTCGTCCAAGAGTAAACAGTGTCAGTATAATAAAAAAGATACTGTTTTCCAGTATGTTTTTACGTTGATTTCTCAACTATCAAGACCTTCCACGAAAGTTAGACAAGTTTTAAGCTACCATTCTTGATTCGATCATAGTAATCCAAGTTAAAACTCTCTTGAAAGCTTCCTCACCTGCCTTATCCTGTCGATCTCCGCGAGGTGAGAGGCAGCCTGGGTGTGGAGGCTGTCCCTTTCTGCGGTGGCCCTGCCGAGGGCGGCTCGGCACTCCAGCAGTTCCTCTTCGGCGCCCCTAGCCCTTACCTCTGCCGCTTCCACTCGACTTCTTAACCTCCCCGTCTCCTGGATAGAACAGTCTCATCAGTATACACATATTCTACATTCAAAGACTATTAGGCAAACTTCAACAAACTATTAGGACTAAACTAGATATTGACCTGGACTAAGTGATGCGCTTTGCCAGCAGCCGTAGCCTCGGCACCCAATGCTGACTCCAGCTGCCGCATCAGGTCTCCAAGAGCCTTCTGGGCCAATGCCTTCTCCTGCTCTTCGGCGTTCAGTTCCAGTTCCAGCTTACTTACCTAAAACCAGCTTATCATTAAACAGAATAGTATAGAGGACAATTAATTAAGGATTATTCACATCCAACAGTTTTGTGGAAGGTGGTTAAGAATGTAATTATTAGGAGAGCGAAAGGAGTTGGAAGGTTTAATGAATTGAATAAGATACATGATATGAGAAAGTTCTTGTGACAGTAAAGGATTCATGGAGGCTTTCGGGTTGAAGCTCCTCTCCACAAAACAAAATTGAGGAGTAGAATATTAATTTTTGTTTTTATAAGCGATGGTTGTACCAGGAAAGGTAGGGAAGGTTTAAATTTTCCCGCGTTACGGCGAGTGGTGGGGGCAGATCTAAAAGATAACACTTAAGCCTTGATAGCGACTGGTTGTATCTGTCCATTACATCCGCAGGTACTGACCAAGCACCATCTCCAGCACAAGAAGTCACGGAAGGCCCTTCAGCTAAAAAAGATGTAGGCTGGTATATAGCCGGTAAGCTATTTTTTTGCACAATCATTAACCTACCAATCCCTTAAGATATAGTCCACTGTTTAAAATTAGAAAGTTGCCTTAAAATTTAGAATGTTGCCTTATTGAAACTCATGATTGGAAAAATTGCCTAAATAAGTGATTTCATCCAATCATAATAAATTATCTCTGAATCCATTACCTTCCTCTCTAGATCGGCAGCCTTCTCTTCGTGGTACCTGTTCTCTCTCTGAAGGGTGCTCATCGTCATGTCCGTCCTCGCCTGTCCGGCAGTCATCATTCTCTCCTTCTCCTCCAGCTCCTGCAAACAATTATTTCAATCAAAATATTAACTATCTAATAATTAGAAGCACTTCATGCCATTATATTACAGAATTATGAAACAGGAATACACTATAGTACGAGACCTAATGTTCTAAGATCATAGGAATATAGAATTTCCTATATTAGAATTATCCTATAGGTTAACAATTTTTTTTTTTAATTTGAATGGGAAGCCCGGTTTCCATTCTGTGCATCCTCCACGAAATAAAGTTAAATCCGCTCCGGCCGGATTTCAATCCACGCTGCTGGACTCGAGCATGTGCCCTCTTGTCCCCCATCTAGTTCTGGCTCTGGTTCAGAATAGAATCATAAGAATTTAAAATTACAAGAATGTTAGAGGGATTTGAATTGTAGAGTTTCCTTGTCGGTTGAGTCATATGCGTGGCTAGATTGTAGATAAAACTGAAAAGGGTAGATAATGATCTATATCTTTTTTCTCCATAACTTCTACCATTTAATTGCCGTATCCGAAACCTGGTTGAAACCCACAATCCCGTCCTCCCAGATCCTTCTACCTAACTATACTCTCCTTCGTCATGACAGAGTAGATCGCACGGGTGGTGGAGTAGGTCTCTTTGTCCATGACAGTCTCAAATCCAAAATCCTTCACTGCTCTTCCATAACCGATTCTCCGCACGTTGAATACCTTTTCGCCGAAATCCTCACCACCTCATCTGCCATTCTGTTTGCTGTCATATATCGCCCTCCTAGAATTCCTTTCGATGAATCACTTGAGACTTTATTGTACAACTTAATCCCTTCCTACTCAAACATCATCCTCTCCGGTGACTTTAACACCAATTTACTGGCACCATCCTCTGATTATTCCTACCTAACAAACCTCTTTAATTCTCTCAGCCTTTACATAGTACCCTACAATCCAACCCATCATACTCAGTATTCAGAGTCCTGGCTCGATCTAATTATCCTGGATTCCTCAGACAAACTCCTTGCCGCATCTCAGCACCCGGTTCCGTTTCTATCTTCCCACGATCTTGTCCAGATCTCTTACAATGTCCCTGTTCCATCCTTTTCTCCCCGAACAATATCCTTCCGAAACCTAGATTATCTCACTCACGAAACATTGTCAGAAGGTCTTGACGATATCCAGTGGGATCCCATCTACTCCTCAAAATCCATAGACACCATGGTAGAAATCCTAACCACTCAACTTCACTCTATCCTCGACCGACATGCTCCTCTTATCACAAAAACCATCCGATATCCTCCAGCTCCTTGGCTTACCCCTGCTTTGAGGGAGTGTATGAGAGAAAGAGATGCTGCAAGGCGACGGTTTAAACGAACTCGACTTCCTGATGATTTTCTCTCCTACAAACAGCTTCGAAATAGCACTCAATCAGCAGTACGCCGTGCTAAATCCCGTTACTACCATCATTCCCTATCCAACTCTCCCAATACCAAGGCTACGTGGGCTATTCTTAGAAAACTGACCATTGGTAATACACCCCAGTCTCAGTCCAATTCCGTTTCTGCTGATAACCTCAACGCTCACTTTGTCTCCTGTCCTCTTGCATCCACATCTCCCACGTCCAGTCTGGCTCCTATGTTCTCTTCCTTTAATCCTGATCACTTCTTTCTTTCCCATATTACACCAGATGAGCTCCTTAAATCCATTCAGAAGTCCCATACCAATGATTACGGTCCCGACAACATCCCAGTCAGACTGATTAAAGCCGCATTGCCATCCATTCTTCCGATCCTTTATCATATATACAATTATTCTCTTCAAAATGCTACCTTCCCTACATCCTGGAAAACCGCCCTAGTACGCCCATTGAAGAAGACTTCAAACCCATCAGTTCCTAATGATTTCCGACCGATTTCCCTCCTTTCAAACCTCTCAAAACCATTAGAGCGGTTAGTCCAATCCCAGCTATCCCATTTTTTAGAGGACAATAATCTCCTAAATCCCTACCAGTCTGGATTCAGGCCTGGTTATTCTACTCAGTCTGCCCTAATCAAAATTTCCCAAGACCTTCACACAGCCATAGATCAGCAGAAACTAACCATCCTTATTCTCCTAGACTTCTCCAAAGCTTTTGATTCAGTAGACCACAACATCCTCCTAACCAAACTTAAAAATATCTCTTTTTCTTCTAGTTCCCTTAATTGGTTCCAATCCTTCCTAACCGGTCGCTCCCAGTACGTTGTAATTCCTAATAACCCACCATCAGAATCTCTACCTCTGACCAGAGGCGTCCCACAAGGCTCTTCCTTATCCCCCACCCTTTTCTCCATCTATATAAATGACCTCCCATCCTCTATCCTGCACTGTCATTACCACCTGTATGCCGACGACATTCAAATTTACCTCTCCTTTAATCCGACAGATATCTCAGATGCCACTCAAAAACTTCAGGAAGATATTGACAGAATAAGTGCTTGGGCAAACCTCAATAGGCTCACTCTGAACGCCGAGAAGACAAAAGCCATCTTGATCGGATCCCCTTCACTCCTCAAATCCTCCCCAGTATCTCCCAATCTCTTCCTGAACAACTCACCTATCTTATTCTACACCACCGTTAAAAACCTAGGTGTTACTTTCGATCAATCCCTATCCTGGAAACCTCACATCTCCCAAATTTCCCGTCGCACTATCTCCACCCTAAAACAGTTCAATCGTCTACGATATCTCCTTCCATATAAGTCCCGTCAACTCCTAGTTTCCTCCCTTGTTTTCCCCCACTTCGACTACGGCTGTATGGTGTACGGTGGACTCCCGGGAGATTCCGAGGCCAAACTTAAACGCCTAATGAATTGCGCACTACGATTTGTTTTCGGAATCTCAAGGGATACGCATATTACCCAGTATTACACTGAGTTGAGGTGGCTCTACCCATCCTATCGCCGTCAGTACTTCCTAGCCACCTTTCTGTACCAAATTATTAGAACCCATCGACCCTCCTACATTTTTCACAGCTTACAATTCAAATATTCCATCCAATCCCGTCCCACCAGATCTCGTACTTCCGACCTCTATCCTCCTCCTCACCGAACTGCTGCGTTTGACAAATCCTTTGCAATACAAGCCGCCTCCCTCTGGAATTCCATCCCACCTGATATTCGACACGCTCAATCAGTTTCCTCGTTTAAACCACTCCTCTTTAAGCACCTACTCCTTTCTCAATCCGAATGATTGTGAAATATATCTTAGAGAAATATCTGAGCACCACCAGAGACTACCTCAATTTATTAAGGTTATTTTAGTTTCTCATACATATGTACAATTTACTTGTTCTTTTTTTTCTCTTTTCTGTATTTTTATCGTAAGTCAACTTTCATTGTAAATATACAATTCAATTGTAGCCACACAGACATATAATCTGTATTCATATTTTGTTCTTAAGGGACAACAGTCCCAGAATAATAAAACTATATGACTTACGGACAGATTTTACTGAATATGTTTGGAGTAGGATTACGTGTTTTTTAAATTATTAAAAACAAGAATAAGCTGCAGTTTGAATTAATATTGTTTTAATACAACCTGAGTTTAAGTAGAATTAAAACCAAAGCAATTCAGTAAAACCTAGCTTTTCAGTTTTATTTGTCCACGTTGGAAGGGATTTAGATTGAACTTAATTTATTATAGTTATCACGGGCGGATCTACGAGGGGGGGGAGAGCTTTGGGACTGAAGCCTCTCTCCCAAAAAATGGTAAAATATAACTATGTTTTATGGGAAAAAATATTTAAAAAGTATCTCTTAAAGTATTATTTTTCGTGTAATTACATTTAAAAGGACTTTAGGAATCACTTAAACACCATTTCATATAGGTAGTTAGTTTCTTTCTTTTTTTCCAAAGTAATTATCGTTATTTTTATGAAAAAAAAATCTTTCGGGCTGACCTCCCCCCCCAAAAAAAAAATTAAACTCTGGATTCGCTAATGATAGTTTTTAGTTAATTAATTGATGGATGCGAATAAGAAGAAATAATTTGTCATTGGAACTAAGAACTATTGCAAAGAACGCCTATGCCGACACTGAACGAAGTTTTATATTAAATCGTTTAACCGAATTAATCAACAACGAATAAAGCTACGTAAACTGTTCGGTTGTTGAGCTATCGTTCAGTGATTGATGTAGCCATTGTTGCGTGATGGATAACCGAATTATAATTACATTTATTCTAACATACCCAGACTTTTACATTGTTTGACAGTGTTATCCTTTATTTATTATGTTAGCCTTACTTTATGTATTTTGTTTATATCAATTATAGTTAAAATATAAGATTTTATTATACATTATAAGATATAATAGCTATTGTCCTACTGACCTGTATCCTCTTTCTGAGGGAAGCAATGACGACATTTTGCCTGGCGGCTTGTTCTTTGATCTGTTCCGTCTCTCCTTCCAATTGGGCACATCTTTCTTCTTTCTTCCTCACTTGCGATTTCGCCTCTTGCAGCTAATAGTCATATAAAACATAACGATTTATTATAGTTTATTAATAGTCAGATTTCTATAGGGAAGAAAATAAATTCACGAATATGCTTCCATTATACTAATTTTGTATAAATATAGATATATTTTTAGATATATAGTAAATATAGATATATTTTAAAGATTTTATTGTTAACAGGTATTGATTCATAGAATTGCATACAAAAAAAAAAAAAAAAAAAATAGTAATGAAATAAAAAAAATAATGAAAAGCATTTTACTGTGCAAAACTTTTTTTTATTTCATAAAATATCCCATAAAGCCATGATTCCATATTAAATTTTTAAAAATTCGGAATGATAATAATTATAAGTAAACCTGTGGCCCACTAGCGGATCCAGGATTTAATTTTGGGGGGGGCTTCAGCCCGAAACCTTTTTATTTCATAAAAATAACGATAATTACTTTGGAAAAACAGAAAGAAACTAACTACCTATATGAAATGGTGTTTAAGTTATTCCTTAAGTACTTTTAAATGTAATTACACGAACAATAATACTTTAAGAGGTATTTTTAAATTTTTTTTTCCCATAAAACATGGTTACATTTTTCCATTTTGGGGGGGGGCTTCAGCCCGAAAGCCTCCCCCTCCCCCCCCGTAGATCCGCCCGTGCCTGTGGCTATAGTTATCAAACGGGTTTCAGAATATTTGTTTCTTATTGAATGTAACAATATACCAGCACTTTTAAACTATTTTGTTATTATAACCAAATTGAATTTTTAAATTTATTTATAAGAATGTCTTAAATGGGTACGCTGCGAAATGTATTTTAACATAATTTGTTTCACGTAAACTCAATTTTAATTATTTTTTATCTTGTATTTAATTATTTTACTATATATTGGTTACTTATATAATTACTTTTTATTAAATCTTACGTATTTATTTTATTATTGTTCAATATTCTTTTGCATGCAAGAATGTTTTGAATGGCGGGATTTCACAAGAGAAGTCTACTTTTGCTTATACTTTTTATTTTATTTTTTGGAATAATAACTTTCTTGCAAAAACATTGTATAATTTTTTTTACAATCAGAGGAGAAGGTGTTTAATTAAAAAATGGAGGGTTTTTAAAATTTCATTTACTTCTTTATTTTTATTTTTTCAGAGAGCCTCAAATATAAATCCAGCATTAATTAGTTGGTTATATTATTATTACATAATGTTAAATTTAGTTTTGTTTCTTGGCATTCCAAAATGTTTCCTGTCACACGTTAAGATTACATGAGTCGAATAAAAATAATAATACATATACATAAATGTTTGGTTAGAGTTTTTCATTAATATTTAAGACATAAACCATCATGAAATAAAAATATAAATAAAAAATAACTAATAACAAATTAAGAGTTGAAAAATATTTTTAATTTTTTTGTTTTTTCAACTCAATCAATAAATTTTTTCTCATTTCGAAAAAAATAGATCAAGAAATAAAATATTTAATTCACGCCGAGAAGCTACAGGATAAAAAAACAATTATGTTCACTCGATAGTTCATTATTTCAAACAATTTTATATAAACAATATCTGATTTTATTTTCCTATACAATTTTCATGATGTTTTATCTAGTTATAGATGAAAATTTAAGGACAAGACTAAGTGATCAAAACGTTTGAGCCATTTACGTGTTAGTCTAAAAAACAACATGCTTTTTCGCTTTTTGAGTAGAACGTTTCCCATTTTCTATGCAAGAAATCGAATGGAGGGAAAACCCCCCAAAACAACAAAATTGTTTATCCCATTCAATAGACAACATGACATAAACTAAGCAATGGCCGGAAATGTATTTCTTTTCTTTTTTTTGAACTCGAAAGGCATTGAGACCAAAATGTTTCCAAATAGTGTGAGAAAATAATAAAAATATTGAAGAAAATTCAGTAGCAAAATAATTATGTGATGCCATATACATATTTTCTTGAAGCCCATCTTATTTGGGTCGAAAATTCGCATTTGCTGTGTTTGAATTAAAACAGTAATTTTTAAACGTTTCTAATGATATTGATACTATTAACATTTTTAAAAATGACAGATATTAATTAAAACAACTTTTTAATGTTCAAATTGATAAAGAAAAGCAGTGAGCAAGGAATCTTTTGTTGGTTGATAAGTTTTGTTGTTAAACTAAAAGTCTATTACAAATTTATTGAAACCGTTCATGCATTCAATCTGTTCAAATCGATCACATTAATTATTGCAAGTTATTGTCTTCCTAAATGAAAAATGACTATAAGTTGTTTGCTTTAGTGTGAATCAATGAGGCAATGTGTAACATTATAAATAGCTATTTTTGTCTCTGAGTAGCCAATGAATCGCAGCAGTAGCTGTTATTTTTTACCTGTAGAAGGAGGCTGTCCCTCTTGTACTGGAGGGCTGCAAGCTCGCTTCGCAGGGTGGTGTTCATGTCAGTCTGATCACTCATCTACAAAGGATGTCATTGCATTATAATTCGTAGTATACTAAGGATGAATTATAAGTTTTTTAATTTGTCTTGAAGCCAGTGATAAATTACTTTAATGACATTTTGTTTTGATTCAATTTATGTAGAGTGACATCTGTAAATAATAATGAGACTAGAATGGTGAAGTGTGGAGCTGCTGCATGAAGGGAACCAGAAGGATGGGATAGGATGGTACTGCCAGACAGGAGCCGGAACTAACCTCCCCTCCTGGGGTACAGAGGACCTGGAATATCCTGAAATCTTCCTCCGAGTTGCCGGTGGGTGTCATCTGCACATCGCGCTACTGACTGGCTAGGGTGATCGATTCCTCAGGCACGCGACCAGGCGGCCATCTTGCTCCTAGTTTCCACGGAGCTATCGTCGCCGAATCGTTACGCGCCCTTCTTAGAGTCTCGGGGTCCAGAGTCTAGTTCTCTTCAACTAGAAGCGTAACGCAATTCGTTCACAATCTTCGGAACAAAGCATATTTGAATATTCCTATCAAAGTATTAGAACATCGACTACAACTACCATACTATAATTCTTACTTATACATCATTCTTCGTATTAAGAAAAATTTCTTTAATTCTTTCTTTAATCATAATTATCATTGTACCACCGACAATCTTTACGGACATACCTCCCTTCACTCAAGCTTAAAACTAAATCCATAAGATCAGACCTAACAAAATACTCCCATTTATTTTATTTTTAATTTTTTTTTTATTTATTTTTTTTTTTTTTTATGATTCGATCTTTATGAATCCTATATCTCTCATTTAAGAGCTATTACTTCAATTTTATTTACCGGAAGTAGACCACACACATACGAACTGTCCATTTTTCAACAAGTCTACGATCATACATTCTATAAAGTAGAAGCACGATCTCTTTTCCATGTCTTGTTCCAGTCTATAAGGCTATTAAAAAAAAAAAAATTAAAATAATAGCAATCTTTAACGAGGCGTTTTAATTATGAAAGGAAATGAAGGAAGTAGTAAACCATTTTTAAAAAATATAAAAAAAAAAAAAAAAACATAATTTCTTAAAGTTGTCAAAATTAAAATTTCACCTGACTTTTAATAAGGTTTAATAAACCTAAATAATACAGAGACATAAAACAAAAATGTCTAAAAAGGAAAACATTTAATAATACGCATCCTATATTTATTTGAGAAATTAAAAATGTTTTATTTGAATAAAAACTATAAAGTAAAAGTATTCTTTTATTCTTTCAGAATTGTTGGCTTGGAGGGAAATAATACCTAAAACCAATCTGCCTGATATCAGGAACTCCCCTGCTGAATTTATAATAGCTTACATCTCAAGGAGTCCTTGCACCTTTAATTTAACTGTTAATAGGATGTACACAGAAATTTATTAGAAGTATTGTTGTTATTGTCATTATTCTACCTACTTTATTTTACTGTAATGTTCATTTATCTACCTCATTTTACTTTGAGTTTTTTTTTTTACCTACATTGTATATGTTTCTCATACCTACAGCTATCTGGTTCTTTTCTCAGCCCTGATGAAGGCCTGAACTTCGGGTCAAAACGTTGGCAAATGTTAAAATAAATATTTTTTTTTTATTTGTTACAATAAATTAGGCCATTTTTCACCAACTTGAGTCCCTTTGTCATTGAGTCCCTCCAGAAATGACGTGGGCGAAGCCCCTATAAAAATTGACAAGTTAATGTTCACTGAACATATTAATTAGAACATTAAGGATGAACATATTAGGAGGACTCATCAAGTTTTGAAAATGACCCTTAGTATGATCGAAACGTTAAATTGATGCGTAATAATAAAAAGTTGGTGAAAAATGGCCTAATTTATTGTAACAAATAAAAAAACTTCAAGACACCAAAAGTAGGAAAAATGAATAGAATAAATATTATTATTTATTTTTGCCATTTTTATCTTTTTGCTGATCACCCCAACTATCCTTCTCTTCATTATTCACTACAGTCAACCATCAATCAACAATTATAAAGTAAAAGTAGAGATGTGAGAATTATGAAACATTTGAATTTTTACAACAAGTGCTAGAATTTGTCTGGTCAAAATAGAATGATAAATAATATATTTGAGATATATTTTATGAGGAGTTGATTGGGGGGGAGAGGGGATCAAATTAATACTAAATTAAACAAGTAGAATTATTTAATTTTTGCCGAAATTTCAACCCACTTTGCAGGTATTCATCAGGGCGTAGGATGTAGCACTGCGGGAGGCAGTTGAAACACTGCAGTATATATTTTAAGTTTTTTTTTTTTTTAGTTCTGGAAGATCTTCAATAGATGATACTTCCCTAAAATATACTATTATGAGTTGATGCAACATGCATCATGAGAATACAGGATTGTTGGTTTAGAGGGAAATAAGACCTTAAACCAATCTACTTGATATCAGGAACTCCTCTGCTGAATTTATAATGGTTTACATCTCAAGGAGTCCTTGTACCTTTAACATAACTGTTAATAGGATGTACACAGAAATTTATTAAATAAGTAAACTGTAACTATTATTAGTTCCTAGAATTCCTTATGTATCCATAGGGCAGCTACGAATTTCTGCCAGGCATCTTGATCCTTAGCCAGCTCCTTGACTCCAGACAGGGTCTGTCCGACGCTGCGCATCTCCTCTAAAATCCTCCTCCACGTTTATATAATATAATAATAATAATAAACTGCAACTATCAAATTGAATATCCAAAAAAATAGTAATTTTAAAATTAAATATGGAGATGGGTAAGTAGCCAACTGATCAATTATAAGGATGAAACAAAATACCTTGACTAAAATTCCTGATAATTTTGTTCCTCCTTAAAATTAAATATACGATAAAATATCTTAAATATACAATTCAATTTGTTTTGAATTAAGACTTGTTTTGGGTACATTGTTGATTTGTTCTGAGGATACATGTTTTAATGCAAGAAACACACTGCATAAATAGTTTAAAGATTGATTGTCCATGTTATACTTTTTTAGTATAAAATAGTTTCAAAATATTAAAAATGTGATGCGTTGTTTCTGAAATAACTGATTTAATCATTCTTTTATAAAATTATAATAATACAGTTAGTGGATTATTTAAAAGTTAAATTTTTAAATATCAAATGTCATATGCATAACTGTAAAAGTTGACAATTTATCTGGTTATCTGTAAAAAAAAGATAATTATGGTATAATGTAAATTTGTAAATTCACATTACCACTGCTTCATATCTGAAGCATTTTTTTTTTTTTTCTCTAAGCTTGTTTTCTGTTTAAAAAAGTTCTGTTTTGTTTTCTTCCCAAGCATTAACTCTTAAATTTAAATTAATTTTCATATATATATACATGTAGTAACTTAGGATATCCATTATAGTCATTATAATAGGTCATGAAATGAAACAATTTAAACTTAAAGTAATCAGCTGAAACTATGCTTTTTTTTTTTGTTGTACGACTATAATTGATATCTTAAGTTATAATATATAAAGGTCGAATTATAAAAACATTTCAATATTATATATATATATATATATTAAACAACATTCTTTAGGTTATTCATATTTTTTGTGAGATTTTTTAATAATTATTATACCTAATCTATATATGATTATGTTTTTTTATAAAAACCTTTTTTTAATCTCACAGTCTTTTATTTTGCATTTAAAACATTTTTACAATACTTAAAAATTATTATTTTTTAACGCTTCACCTCCAAGAGTCATTTTCAAAAATTCTTTTTCTTTTAAAAAACAAAGCATAAGCCATATTAAAAACATTATTTCTAAAAATTTCTTAAAATATATATGTATGCAGAATACTACTCTATGGTTTTTAAAAGAAAAAGAATTTTTCAAAATGGCTCTTGGAGCCGAAACGTTAAAAAGTAATCATTTTTAAATATTGTAAAAATGTTTTGTTTTAAATGTATAATAAAACCTTGTGATATCAAAAAAGGGTTTTTATAAAAAAAAAATCATATATAAATTAAAAGTAATGTATATAAATTATAATAAATATTACACACATATATATATATATGTATATATATATATGTATCCATATGCAAATCTCCTTCCTTAACCATATATAAACAATTATTCTTCCACCGCCTAAGCAATCAATCTTCCAAATACGTGTAAGAACAAAATTTCTATTTAAGAGTTAGCACCATCATTTGACTGTTATATTACTGTTACTCATATATTAACAATATTCTTAATCAGAACAAATATATGAACACATTCACATATATTTATGTGCAAATTAATATGTTTGCCTGTACTTAATTTATTTTTATTTTAAGGTTGGATTATTATGTTATGTTAACTAATTATTTTTCATTTTCTTATAGTGCAAGACAATTGTAATTTTTTTTTTCACTGTAGTTATTCTTAGGGGACTAAATGTCCCACAATAAAATTTACTTTCTTCTTCTTCTTCTATATATGTAAATGTGTCATATTGTTTGTAATTATATTAATCAGGAATGGTATTTGGAGAACTGCTTAGAACAAGAAAACAAAAAAATATCCTTAAAAAAAAACAAACAAAAAAATAACATTAGAAATAATGTTTTTAATATGGCTTATGCTTTGTTTTTTAAAAGAAAAAAAATTTTTGAAAATGACTCTTGGAGCTGAAACGTTAAAAAAAATAATTTTTAAGTATTGTAAAAATGTTTTAAATGCAAAATAATAGACTGTGAGATTAAAAAAGGGTTTTTATAAAAAAACATAATCATATATAGATTAGGTATAATAATTATTAAAAAATCTCACAAAAAATATGAATAACCTAAAGAATGTTGTTTATCGTATATCTAATATTAAAATGTTTTTATAATTCGACCTTTATATATTATAACTTAAGATATCAATTATAGTCGTACAACAAAAAAAAAAAGCATAGTTTCAGCTGATTACTTTAAGGAAATAGAAAAAAAAAAATGTCAAAATGCAAGCCTTCTACCACTCTTGATGGAAACAGAATATTTTTATATAATAATTTATAATTATTTTATAACTCAATCCATTCTTAATACAATATTATAATTTCTCTGTAACACTTATAGCTCGATCACTTTTTTTATCTTTTTACTATGAAAGTAATTAATACAGAGCCCATTCCTAAATTTATTTATTTATTAAAATTTATGAGTAAATAAAGATAGTTATGAAATAAATTAAGAAAAGGCAGTTGAAAAGAATACTATTGAGATGGCTGAGGAATATATATGAGAGTAGAGACAGAGCCAAGTCTATTTTTATTTTAAGGTGCTCTTTTTCACAACTAAATCACAAATCCATTTATAATTTAAAATGGCGAGTAAATTACCCCTTATTTTCGCAAGATTACCCAAATCCAATGCTCCAAAGATTTTATTAGTAAGTAATTAACATATCTCATTTAAATTATTTTGAAAATTTGTATCCAATTTATTTGATTTCATATTTTGAATAACAAACATTATGAATTAATTTCACAAAGGACAATTACTGCAATTTTATTTCCAGCATTTTTTTCGTGATTTTTTTAGCATTTTTCAATATAATTTTCTAAATTTTAAGAATGTTCATAGCTTTAATATTTTAAAATTTGTTTAATAAAACCAAATAACCTTAAGTGAATATTGTTTTTACATTTTTGTGCAATTGCACTTTATCCATATCCAAATATCACAATACATTCTTCGAGTGTCTAACACCCGGAATTAGTAACATTTAATTTAAATCAGTCATAATCAGAATTAAAAACAATAATTTATTTCAGAGACAAAATAAACGCCCCATGTCAACACTAGAACCCAGCGTAAAAGCGAAAATGGATCAATATGGGGTAAGTCTTACAATAAATATAAATTTTCAGTTATTGTTATTTCAATATTCAGTCGTGAATATTTTAAAGTTAATAAAAAAGTATACTTCTGGCAAGAGCCAAATTAAATTTAAAATAAAATCAATTATGGAATAGGATCATTTATTTGAACAATAATTCGTATCAAATATTTGAAAAAATTCAATTATAATTTTTTTTAAAAATCAATTTAACAGTTCAAATTATTCATAATTATTATGTTGTCAAGATAGAAGAAATATTGAAGTAAATGTTAAATTTTTTTATAACTTGATTACTATATCCCAAATTTTTAAAATCTCAGTACATCTGATTAAGTTTTCCTATATACTTTTTTAATTATAAAAATTATGTATTTTTTAATTTTTGTAATATTTATATTTCCAATGTATAATAGTAAAGCAACATAAATAATGATCTTACTAATTGTCATTTTTTATTACCGCAAGGATTAATCAGTCATTTTCAAAAGCGTTACATATCAAGCATAAAGATTACTTGATATATTAATCTTTCAATATTATGATTCATATTACAATTTTTTTTTTTTTTTTTTTTTCATTGAAACATTAATTCAAATATACTGATTTTTATTTTCATCATATTTTTCTTTAAAAGAGTCATTAAGTATACTCAGTATTTTATATTATTATATATGATATTCTGTGATTGCAACAGGTATTTTAATAGATTTGATATATTAATAAATTATTTATTTATATTTTTCATATTAAAAAAATACCACATTATTAAATTTAATTTACCTTTCGTATTAAGCTAATTACATCTAAGATAAATCTAACCCAAGTTCCCCTAACACCTACCATTGCTGCTATTATGTTGATTTGTTTATTAAATATATATTTTTCTTATTTTACCAATTATTAGTTATATAACTATTTTGTTAATAATTTCTGTATAATAGTAACCTAACCATCTCAAATCTGTTATAAACTTTACTGCATTATTAATATATTTTGTTAATAAATGTGGCTATAACCTTTATAATTTTAAAACTATGTTCCTAAATAATTAAAACCCGAATATTTTTTAATAAGTTATAAAGTTATGATTTATTTGAAGGGAGGGAAATTTTTTTATTTCTGGTTTATATAAAAATTATTTATCTCAATTTTTCAACACAAACATTAAACATAAATGCCCATTATTATGCAAAAATGATTCAACCCACACTTTTGAATTGTTAATGCAATAACCTAGATTTTACGTAATGCAAAGATCTCAAAAAATCTAGCCAACTCCATGAATAACTCAAATATTTAAAATTGTAGGATGGATCTTTGTTGCATAACTATGGTCAATTGTTAAAGAATTTAATAAAAAAAAAAAAAAAAAAAAAGATGTCTGCAATCGTCATTTTTAGGTAGCACAGCTATTTCATACACAATATTGGAAGCTGTTTTACATTGGTAACTTCACCATAATAAAGATAAATATGGTTAGGTAAGCCAAGAAGAAAAAAATGTCTTTGTTTCAACAAAATCACACCTTTGGAGTTGTCTAAATTTTAGTTATCAACTGCTAAATCATAACAATTTATAAATAAAAATAAAAACAAATCTTTTAAATTACAATACTTTTTTTATAGAGCTGTAATATAAATTATCATAATTATAACAATATGAAATCATAGAAGTGGAGATGTTTGGTATGTGATAGTTTTAATTTTTTTTTTTTTTTTTCAGCTTGAAGATAGTACTCCAGTCTTTAAAAAAAATGGTACAACTGACAACCTAACCTACCAGATTACCTTAGGGGCCTGTTTAACTTCTTTAGCTCTAATAGCCATGAATTTGTCTAGATTCGTTTTCAAGAAGTGAATCACGTAAACAAACCAAATTTAGCAAATGTACAGAATTGCCAATAATATTATAATATTAGACCTTTTTTAAATAAATATGAATAGAAAGAAAGTATTTCATTTAAATTCTCCAATAAATACCTGAAATATTTATACATAGTATATGCTTGACAAAAAAATAAGAATGAAGTTTCTTGCTGGTCAAAGTACAACTTCTGAAAATATCACAGAACACTGGACTTGGCCAATGAAATTCCTGACTTTTTCCTGACTCATGTAAAAATATTAATCCTGAAACAAAAACTTAAAAATGAAAACCGTCTGTAATATTTACTGTAAGATACAATTTCAACATTTTTAACATAGATATTTGTTTTGACAAAAATCTACTTAAAATTTTTTACTTTCTTTTTTTTTCATCTCACCACTTCCTTCTGTCATATATTTCGTTAAAAATTATCATTTGCTTCGATATTTCGATGCATTAAAAGTCTCGAGGTGCATTTCCATTGCTTGAAATTTAGTTCATAATTATTCCCGAAAGAATGAAATAAACAGAATAACAGAAAATACAGGCATTAAGTTCATAAAATTATTATTGATGACATTCTATAAACTTGAGAACCTGTAAGAATCTGAGAAGAGAGAGATTTAGATAATAAAAAGATATAGATAAAAAAACTTTTTAACTCCAAGTACATATTGTTAAGAAATGTAAACAGATCATTACATTCTCAATTAGTAAAGCTTACTTTGTTTATAATTTCTAATTTAAGCATATTTATTTTACCAATAAATGACCTTTTAAACAGGAGGATCTTTGAAAAAGAGAGCAACAATAATTTTAACTTTTATGGATTTTAAAAATTTTATTATTGTTTTTAATGTTTGTAAATATTCGGCAACCTTGAGACTAGTCATAATAATCTCTCTTGTTAGGATCTCACGAAAGTATTCCATTTTTCTTTATTTAAATGAATTTTTTTTTTTTTTTAATGGTGTCTCAATTAAACAGCATGTAGGATGGTCAAGACTTATTTAACAACGCTCAGTTAATTTTATAATTTACTAATTATTAAGATTCTTGAAGGAAGTTAGTCGACTGTTCTACATATCATGGGTGATAAATATTCAGGACAGTCATTTTAAAAAGACTGCGTCCTGAATATTTATCACCCAAAATTATTAAGATTGCAGAATAATTAGTGATGATATTTTTGTTTTTTTAATAGAACAAAGTAATTCCATTTTACAAACATATAACTGTTTTTTATTAAAAAAATTATTTTATTTACTGTTTAATTTGCTGAGAAAAAGTAAAATTGAGATATGAACAACTAGAATGAGCCAGCAATAAATATAAATAATTATATTTTCCATTTTTTTAATGTTCCTTGGAAGAAGAAAATTTATACCTATGTATATATGTATTTATACCTCAGTTTCTCACTATATACACAACTTTAACCTGATATTAGAAACATATAAGAACTAAACAGTTAACATATTCTGACTAATGATTTAAGGAGGATATATTAATAAAATTTACCAGGATAACAATGTAACAGGAGAATATTAACAAGGATAGAATGTATTTGATATTTGTATATACAAATATACAGTGATTAAGTAGCTTTAGAAAAAAAAAACAACTGAATGATAAAAAAACATATTCATTTTTAACACTTTAGCAATACTTTAAACATGTACTAATATTGTCAATATTTAGTTTTACATATTCTTTTTCTCATAAAATAGTCAAAGCTATGGAGTGAGAACACCCAATTACTCTTTTAATAATAAACAATAGTTCTTAAATTATATATTTTAAAAAATACAATAGTAAAATGATAAGATGTTAAAGGACCAAAATGGTTGTATATCTGATAATATTGATTAAAGGAGAAATTATATAGTATTATCATTAATTCCTCAATGAAGGATATTTAAAAATAAAATTATTTAATATCAGCAGAACCCGACACAAAATAACCATTAAACCACGTGCAATGAATGAAAAATAATTAATAGTCCTTTTTTATTGTTTCCTTTTTGATCTATAAGGAACATAAGTGAACCAATAATTCTTTATCAAAGCTAGCGTGATTCAATTAATGTTACTATATAGTTTTCACAGGACAGGATAATTTATTAACTATTTGAATAAAAATATTAAAAGATACAATTTTCCATCAATAAATATACATATAAAATGTGAATTTAAAAACCAGTTTATTCACTTGGTAAAAAGTTATTGAGTAATTTCATTTATCAAAAAATCATTCTAATGTTAACAAAAAAAATAAAAGGAATTTATTCGCTATATAAACAAAAAGGAATGCGACCGAAATAAGGAACATATTTACATGGTGTATATTACAATTATAAGATTTAACAGATATAAACAATTGTTTTCAACATTAACATTCTAATATTAAGTTTATAAAAATATATTTGTTTATCATGAGAGCGGTTTCATGCCATAAATATTAGAAAGAACATAAAGAAAAATATTAGGACACCAAATATTTTTATCATGAGCCATCTATTCGAAGAGATTGACTGAAAATATTTTAGGATTTCTGAGTGAGCAGCTTCGACATTTAATTCAGTGTCATGGACGTTCGCATCAATCCTAAAAATGAAGATATATAATTAATTATCGTTAGTATTTAAAGGAATCATAAATAGTACAAGGAGTTAGCCATTTCAAGCACCTTGTTCCACAACTATTATTGCATGGTCTATTCATGTTAGTGATATTATTACTATAATATATCGAAATGGTTTCTAACCCGGACAAGTACAATTTTAAATTTCACTATAATTTATTTGAACTTCAATTAAACTATCTTGCAAACCAAAATGGAACAACCATATAGTTTCAAATACATGAAATCTCTTGAAGATGGCTAGATTTCAATTACAAATCATAGATGACTAGAGAAAAGTTTAATAACTTAAAAACTTAGACAATTTTATAAATACATTTAATAAAATTTTTACTAGAAAAAAATATGGATTAATGAAAAAAAAAAAGTTAAGTATTTTTCAAGTGTTCAAGTATGATATTTGGTAGTTTGATTATATTTACATATATAGATATATGAATAAGAATAAATATTTCAAACCTAAAGGAGTTTATAGGACATACTCATAAAGAATTCTCTCTGACCGATATAACTGAGAATTGGTAACCTATTATTGGTTTTACAAGTAATAAAATATTATTCTTCATGGGGCAGCTGAATCTTACAAACAGAATCAGGGCTATTAAAGGCAATTAAGATTATTTTTCATCAAAAATTAAGATCAGCGAAGTTATTATTTTCATCAGCTATATATATAATATTGAATGGTGTTTTGGTGGATCTAGAGAAAGGAGCAAGTGCCCCTTTAAAGAAAAGGGTAATTATAATTTTTGAAATAATTTTCTACAAACACGATAGTTCATAATGAAATAAGTAATTATTTTATATTTTTAAACTCATTTTCCCTTAATGGAAACACAAAGAACCCTGAACGACCTGTAGAAGCAGTTTAATAAAGTTACTAATTGTAATATACAAGGCATAAGTATTTATAAGAAATATAACTATCATTTTAAATAGGTATTATTATTTTTGATATTTGAAAAGGAATATAATTTAATAAAGCAAATACAGAACGTGCTATTGTTTTTTTTTTGAGCCACCCTTTAAAGACAAATTCTAGATTTACACACAGAATGATGAAGGCTATGTCTTCTATGCTACAGTATATTTAATATTTATCTGTTTAATCTTTAAAGTTGAAACATATAATAAAATAAAATAGTTATCTTTCTATAAAAAAAATATTAAAATAAAATAAAATCCACTCACCTATCTACCATTTCTTCTTGTTCTTTTACCATATGTGCTAGTTGTTGAAAAATACCGCCCAACTCCACGATAGTAGATTCAATATTCTGCATCGTTTCAGCTCTGGTAGTAAGGTATTGATCCTAAAACAGTTTAATTATTATGTTATTCATGAAATATAATAACTTAAAATATGAATCAAAATCACATAATTATAGTACAATATACTTAAGAAAAAGTGATGCAAAAATGACTATTACATAATGATGTTTATTATTAAACTATTAGACAATATTTTTTGTTGAACATAAAAGAGAAAATACAAATTTGAACTAAAGAACATTGATAAATAAACTCACTGTTTCATCGTAAGACATTAGGAGCTGTGACTGCTGCTGCCTTCCCCGGCTTGTACCTTGCATGTCTATGGCAACCTCTCGACCCAACAGATATGAAGATTCACCAGGCGGTGGGTGTGCAGGTCCTAAAGGCGCTTGCGAAAACTGGTCTTGTCTCCTTTTAGCCTCTTTAAGATTCTATAAAAAAAAAAAAATAATAATAATAAAAAGAATTATTCCATAGATCGAAGGAGACATAAATATTATTAATCATAATTTAGTAAAAACTGTAGCAATACTTAACTAAAACTACATTTTTTTTTGCATATGCAGAAGTCGGTATCCAACATCTTGCTACCAAGAATAAGTTTGATTTTGACAAATATTGAGTTACAAATGTTTTATTTCTAACATCCGCCAAAGCAGGACGTGTCTAGGTGGTCTGCATCCATTTTAGCTTGATCACATAGTTTAATGTTAACTCCTAGGATCCCCAGCCACACCTATCTTGTGGAGATGACTTTGTAGATAGTCGTGACCAGTGGCCAGGCGGAAGCAGGCTACTGCATCTCTTCTTGTTAGGTCAGCTAGGATCGGGTTTTCCATCAAACATTTTTTTTTTTTCTCCTTCAATATCATCCTCACCATTCACCGAATTAAATCATAAGATTTTGGATGGAGTAGTTGAGGCAATTCTGCTTCTCTCTTGACGAGACTATCTGCTTCATCATTTCCTGGAATCCCGCAATGGACAGAATCTGTAGGACCACATTGGTGCCTCAGAGTGTTAGGTTGTAGAGGAGGGATTCGCAGCAAGATATCACTGGACAGACATTCATTCACGTTAGTAAAAGCGAGGATTGCTGCTTGAGAGCTCTCTGAACTTGCCTTCCTGGTAGTTTTCTTGGGGCTATGAGAATCACAGTGTTAAACACTTCAGGCAAATAAAAAATTTACCAATACAACCCATCGAGGGCCTTGGGTTCAATACTTTATAAGGAAGTACTGTTTTTTTTAATTAAGTCATGCACAGAGATAATGTAACTGAGATCATGCTCAACCACTAGTTGTTCTCCCTTAATTAATTATTTAATTAAGAGTAACCACTTTGCAGAAGCTGGATGTGGCGCAAAAGGGTTCCAAAACTCCAGGATCAATCCATGGCTGGTGCAACAGAATAAATAATTACCTGCCACAGTGTTAAGACTGATCTGACAGGACTGGGTTTGGACGGCGACTGGTGGAAGGAAGTGTGTAATAAGCAATTGGTGGTATCGGCATCGACCCTTCGAGTTTGCTAAGCCTTTTACCATTACTATTATTATTTTTAAATAACAGCTTATTAGAAATTAGACTATTTCAAAATTATTTACAAAAAATAACGTTTAAAAGAAAGAATGAGTTCCATTCTAGAAAAATAATGCAAAAACATAAATTCCAAAATGTTTAAAAATTAGAGTTATGTTTAAAAATAGATTTGACAGAATCATGTTTGGCAGCAGTACATGTAACGCTGCAGATGCAATATTATTTCAAGTTTTTAGTTAAATATGAACCTTTTTTATCATTAAAAAAACAATCTCAATGTTATTTATGTTTTTTATCACTTGAATTCTATTAAGGTTTAAGTATGCCTTTTTTTTTTTTTTTGCAAGCAAGTATCTAATTTTCCAGTGAATACTTTCTAAGATGCAATACAGGATCATTTAAGTAAATACAAAGTTTTTATTTGATGATACATTGCACAGAATGGATATCTAAACCATAGAAACACTTTGCATTATAGCATTTAGATTCAGATGAAATGCATGCACAGAAAAAATGAAATCTTGAAAAAACTTAAACTAACCTCTGTCCTAACTTCCAGTACATGCTTGAACTGCGATGACATGGATGCCAGCTTCGATTGCAATGTCAAGACAACACTGGACGAATGAGAAAATAAATGTTGTGTCTTACTACGATTTCTCTTTTCATTTTGACTTCTAATTACTTCCTGAAGTTTGGCGATTTGAGAATTGAGACTATTTAGATCTTCTTTGATAATATAAGTTAGTTCTTGTATCTCAGTAGGTCGGTCATTGAATAAGGGTTTCCTTTTTGCCACTGAAATAGATAAAATAATAAGTCACTAGACCATAAAAAATTATAAAAATATTTTTAAATGAAACACAAAGATTAAATAACTCTTGTAGAATTCAGCACAACAAATCAACCAAAAAATATATAACTTTGAAACAAAGTTTTCGAAATGTGTGAAACTTGGTATTTATTTTATATGTAAATAAATGTAGTAAAAATACAAAATCTTGAAGTTTTAGATAATGAATCTTCATGGTTTTTAAAAATATTTTTTTGTTGTGTAACTGATTTTATAAATCAAAGTTACGTACACCAAATCTCAGACATTTAACTCACTACTGTATCTTTTTGATAATACATTAGATCATGAAATTGGGCCCATACATTCTCACAACATTTATATAAAACATATTTTTATTTTTGTATAAGTAAATTCAAAATTTTAAGAGTGGCCTAAAGGAACAAATCAAATTAAAGCCCTTGAAACTCTGAAAAGAATGACACTATTATAACTTTCTAGAATAAACATTTATGGAGATATTAAATTTAGCATGTTTAAAAAATATACATTTTTTAAAAAACTAAATATGGAATAAGGATATTTAGCATCACAAGACCAGATAAAAAGACAAAGAAATAGAAGACTAGTGTTACATCTGGATGACAGATGGGCCATAATCATATTGTTCATAGAATGCCTAAGTTAGCCAAGCGCATCTGTCTTTTGACAGTTTAGGTATAATTTCCAATACAAACTAATCAGAACAATCAAATAGGCAGGGATAAAAATACAATTTAATAACTTTAGGCGTACCCAGCTAGTTTTAGCATTCCGAGAACAGAATGATCGAAATGATCTTAGCCTACTGTCATCTATTTAACAGAAATGTTAAAATTAAAAAATATTTTATCAAAAAACATTGATTTGCAACAAATTACTATTATATTTATTCAAAAATAAGTATGTACTACTTTTAACTTTATTATTGATAAGTAGGATCAATGTAATTCTGATTTTAACATGAAAACTTTGATTGTTAGACTATGATCCATGGTGAGTTATTGACCAAAATAACTGTTATTGTACATTAGATTGATAAAAGATAAAGGAGACAAGTAATTTGAAATGAGAGGTGTAATAAGAAATTAAAATTAAATGGTAATATTCATAAATAGTAAAGTAGAAATAACTTACATAAAGTAAGTTTTTCAAGTTTATCATAAGTGCTGCTGATATTTCGCCCAATACTTCGGGCTAACATCATAAATTCTCCATAGTTTTGAATATTCTGTGCTCTTGCAGGATCTTGAGCTGATACAGCTCTAATGACAGTCCTTCCCTGAAGAGACCTGATTGCATTGGCAAATTCAGAGGTCCTATCTCGAGACATCTTAGGAGGATCTTTAATTAAAGAAGATGAACTGGATGAAAAACCATTTTCTCTAAAAGACTGAGATGAGAAAGATGGAGTTTTTTCTGCAAGAATCAGAGGTTGCTGATCTGATTCAGAACCTATTCTTCGCCTTCTGGCTGTCATTGGTTCATTCGACCATAATTTCTCTTATATTTAAGAAAATATGATCGTCCTTATCTTCCTTGTCACTTGATAGATAAATCAAACATTACTATTATGATAGCTGATACTTAAGTCACTGTACTTAACCATAAGGAAAGTAATGGAGAATAACATTGGTAGATAATGACTAATGGTTGATAAAAAAAAAAGAACACTGGTAAATATTGTACAATTTACATTTACAATTAAGACATCCACGTAAGTTAAGAACTGCTCTCTACAGCTGCTTCATGGAACTACGAGCAAAGAAGTTAAGACTATTTTGAAATTAGCTTCAAGTTACAATTGAAAAATATCTTCTATATTATATAACACGTTATTTTATTTTATATCACTAATTAATATTAACTATAAACAATTCATGAAACTACATCTATAAACAAAAAAAAATCTTGTTTTTTATTAGATTAAGAAATTGTCATTAATTTTAAAAACGGACAAGTATGATAGTAAACTATACCTTCACATATTTTATTCTAAAAAAAAATCATTTTATTATTTAAAGTGGTTTCAGCAGGCTTATTACCGAAATGAATGTACATAATTGTCTTCCCACATTTAAAAACTTCCTTATTATAACTATTTTATTAATGAAATACAAAATAAAAGAATCTGAGCCGTTTTATACAACAATATTTTTAAAAACGTAGACAGAAGGGGGCATTTAATTTAACAACAACCAACCACACTCTGTTAATCAATTATTAAGAAATTTATTGTTCATATCTATTGGTATATTATTTTAATTTTTTTCAACGTTAAAACGGGTGGAAGATACCCTAGCTACCTTATCTCTATCTGTATTCATCCATAATTATTGGTGTTAAAGTATGAAGCCTCGTGCATATTACCGACCCTTAGGTGCTTAAAGATTAGGCGCCTCAGGTCAAAGACGCCAATCCTCTTCAAAATGAAATTTAAGTTGCTTTATATTAAGCAATATCAGAAGTTTATTTCATTCAAAATGTTTCTAATTTAGCTGCTTTATTAATAGGCTAAAATTAGTTATTTTCATATACTTTGTATTCTTTTTAAATTTCTAATAACTGGCTAGAGCTCCTCTGCAGTTCAGCGTCCTACTTGTTCGGTTCTGCTCATGCACACAGAACGCGATATGTCCCGACTTTCTGCGATACCTTTGTCTGCATTGCTGCAGAATATCGCGCTCTCTGTGAATGCGACAAGGGAATAGAATGTAACATGATATGGTCGTGGATAGGAATATAGTATTGCTTGGGCATCTCGTTCTGTGTGCACGAGGAGTTCCTGTATCAAAAATTACTTCAGTTTTGATCTAACAATTATATGCATAGATTGCTGGGAGTGGGGTAGCTCAGTGGTAGGGCACTGGTCTTCCGATCCTCGGCGTCCCAGGTTCGAATCCCGGCTCATGGCAGAAAAATTATTTATGCTGTTTCATCAGCCATGGGGTCAGAAGACCCTTCTGGGGCACACACAGCCTCTATAAGTGGGCACCCTTGATTAAGGGGGAAAACCTGGCGGTTGAGCGTGATCTCAGTTAAATCACTTCCTTGCACAACAGTTGACAAAGAAACAGCGCATTCCCCAAATAGTACTGAATCCAAGATCCTTCATAGGTTGTAGTGTTACAGATATGCATAGATCTATTTTATTTTAAACTACTATTTTTAACGACCGGAAATGTCGGTTCATGACTATTTTTAATCTCTTCCAATTTATATCCGTACATATTAATTAAATACATCATTAACTGGTCTCGACCTAGTTATGGTTGTTGCTACTTATAATATTTAACAAGGATGAGAAAAGAATAAAATGAGCTGGATTGAGGAAGGATGAGGCAGGAGGATCGCAAACCTGTCGAAGGGCTGGCCACCAGATTGCATAAGAGCAGTGGCCTAAATCTATCCGCCTTGGAACACCACAGAATAGGAAATCATACCGCCACCAGACTTCATAGAAGAATGAAATTTAACTAACGAGTATTAGACTCAGGCTTTGTATATAGAGGTAGGGATTATCCACTCTATGTTAGAGAACATGTATACTTATTAATTATCTCCCAAATCTGCAGGAAGAAGTATTCAGAAATAAGTTAAAGAAAAAGGGGCGAGTAGAAGCTTAATCAGACAATAGCATTTTGAAGAATTCTTGACGTCTTAATTGAAACTCTTTAAAAATTGATATAATGACATCGAAGATATTATCAATTGGTTATAATCTTTAGTGTGGATCCAGTATGCCTTTTAGAAACTTTATTACGATGAAATAAAATCTATATATACACATTTACCATATTATATATCATATCTGAATATAATAATACTGTTAAAAAAAATATTATTCCTTAATAATATGAATAGTTGTGTGCCCGTGACAGCTGTTAGTGGATAAGGAAACCTTCCTTCTTGTAGAAATAAAGCACTAGTTTACAATATATATCTACTACAAAATAAAGGAAGAAGATAAATTATATCCTTTTGCAATTTCAAAAGTTTGAATAAAAAAAGAATTATTTTAGTTCTATTGAAAATTCTTTATTTTTACCTCCATTAGTTCATTTTATGTTGTTAAGGAAAAAACATGTAGCAAGTTGAAAATAATAGTATGACAACAATAATTTTCTAGACAACAATAATAATAGTATCTTCTTCCTTATGAGGAATTTTTTAGGAACACCTGCTAGGTTAAGAATGGAAAACTGACCAACCGAATCGTTCACGATCTATATCAGTTGTGTTGATACGTTTAAATTGGTTGGTTCTTTATATCTAAGAAGTTAACGATTATTGTTCAACTAGTTGTTTATGTTTTGTCGAGTTTTGATAAGAAATCGTCTCTAGAAGTGTTTAACAAATTGACATTTATTGAAGTTATAGATACAATTTAATAATTTCAACACGTGTCGTTTTTAGACTGTTACCATGATTTCTAACAAATTCAAAAGGAAGAAATACAATTTATTAAATTTAGCCGAAGTTCCGGAAAAGCGAAAAAAAATCAGAAAGAAAAGTGTTAAAACCGAAAATCAGAAGCAACAGGTGGTGAAAAATCTGGGAGACAATAATGAAAAAGATGAAGAAATTTCACCAGGAGATGAATTTGAGACCAATGCTGATGAAAGCAAGGAGGTTTGTTATAATTATGTGACACCATTGTCAAGTTATGGAGGAATAGTTCATGTTTAGTAATGTTTTTAAGAAGGCATTTGATGTCAATTTTGCTCACTGGCTGTTTATATTTAAAGCATTTTTATAATTGGGACCATACCTAAAGGTAGGACTTGTGCCTACCATTGATCAAACCTAAATGCAGGCTTTTATGTTAAAAAGTTCTCTGCCTATATTTTTGGCCTTCAACAGTCATGCGATTCTCATAATAAGGACCTATCGCCGTGATGGAGGTTTAAAACTTAGACCAAAATGTCAGCACTTATTAAAATAAGTTTTCTTTTTTGTATTTTTTTTTTCCCCATCAAAGCTGCATCTCCCAACAATCTTCTTCAATTAATTATATATTCAACAATATTTTTTACCATTATTCTTATATTATGTTAAGGTATATTTTTCTTACTAAATTTGAACAATATTATTTTCAGGATGATCCATTTCTTCTTCACCTTAAATATGAAATCAGCCCTCAAATTCATGCAGTTCTGTCCGGGAAATCTCCAAAATTCACGAAAGAAATCATTAACTGGCCATCTTTAGGGAGACTACTTTATTTAAAGCCTGATGTTAACTTGGATGGTGAACAGTCATCATCAAAAATCGTTTTGAATGAAAAGCAAGTATTCGCCTCTGCGAGAAAATTTCCTGATGTTCCTAAAAGTTCAGACCTTAACAACCTGCATATCAAATCTCAAATTGTCTCTAACATCGAAGAAAAACTTAAGAAATCAGAAAACGGAAGCCTTACCCCTTTGCAGGACGAATTGTTATCCTTAATTTGTAATTATTATGTAATAATTTTAACAAGTTTATAAGTATTTCTATAAAATGCTGTTTGATTTTTATGATATAGTTTTTATTGTTTTTTAGAGTGTGTATTATCCTGAGGTTAATCAATCGAACATTGAACAGGTTCGTCTAGCATATTCCATCCATGCAATCAATCATATTGTCAAAACACGATTAAAAATTTTGCATCACAATGCAAAACTGCAAAATCGTCTCGATGTTCCAGAAGAGTTTAGAGACCAGGGTCTTGTTAGACCTAAAGTTTTAATATTGGCTCCTTTCAAATCGATAGCATACAGGTTAGTCCCATCTTTATATTTATTTATTTTGTTTGGTTGTTTACTTGGGCTTTAAGGCATAAAACCCTAGGGTCATCAACGTCAATTCTTTTTTTTATTGTTTTTCATCATGAGCCTTGTAAGTTTATTTCACTCATTTGCCTCAGGTGTAACAATTTTGAGGTTAGAAAGTTTCATGCGAAATGTTTTTTAAGTTAAGAAAACAATATTTTACTTAAAACTAGTCAATACTGTGAGGCCATGATGGTAGAGCGGATTGAGACATTACTTGCTTTGATAGGCTCTGTGTATTATAACTCTTCATCTTGAGTCTATCTTCAAGGTCCAAAACCAGCTTGATTGAATTTATTTCTTGAAGGACCTATCGAATGAATCTGAACTTTCCCACTGCTTAAAATTGGTTTGGTTTTAGACCTCTATTAACCAGGGGTTCTGCCTAAATTCTCTTGAAAATCTACTATGCAGATAATAATGTATATATTTCTATTCCAACTCTCAGTAGGAATGGGGTTTTGATAAACAAGGTATGGTAAGAAAGGTAAGTTCTTTCTTCTTAGAAGAAGTGGCTAATCTCAATTTCTTTAGTAAAAATTATAAATATCTTTAGTAAATACGCAGAAGGTTTCAAAACTTTGACTTTGGTAAATTGGTGGATTAAGATGGTGCAAACTGTGTTTTAATAGTTTCTATCTGGATATCAAGACACCATCAAGTTCCCACGGAACTTACTAGGCCCTGCGTATTATAGCTCTAAAGGGTTCTGATTTTAAGATAAATCATAATTTTTGTTGGAAGTATCCTAGGTGCCACAGGATACTTATTACATGTTATATGTGCTTTTAAAAATTTAAATATTCCTGTTTATTATATGTTAATTTAATCCCAAAATCTATTGAAAAGATAAACTACAAAGAATTGCTCTGAGATACCTTGGGCACCTCAGATAGTAAAATTAAACATATTTTGTGGCCATATTTTAATTTTCTTGTTTGTTAATATCACCATAGTGATGATGTAGTTCTTATCCAGATCTAGCTTTTTTACTTCACTCTTGGTATACAAGAGAACTATAATCCTGGGATTCTTTTAGACCAACCTATTAGAACCCAAATAGTTCATGCTTATATACTTCTTTGGCTCATATTTAAGGATTAATCTATCGCTAATATTATGGATTCCAATGATATTTATTGATATGTTTATTATATTTTAAAATATAAAATGATCTTTAATTGACTTTAATTTATCTTTTTCAGTATAATTTTGTCCTTCATTTCGATCCTCCTCGGCAATGGTGGCAATATCATGAATAAGAAGAGGTTTATAGAAGAATATTCTGGAGATACATTAATTATGCCAGAGAAAAATCCTAAACCTCTTGATTATCAGCAACTCTTCTCTGGTAACACCGATGACAATTTTAAAATGGGTTTGACTGTTACAAAAAAATGTTTAAAGGTTTGTCATTTTATCTTAAGTATTCTTCTAAGTATTACAGTTACATTGAATAAGTGGTATCAATGTTATTCTAACAACAAACTTTTATAAATATGAAACTATGAGTCATTGCATTTGCAGATGAAAATGGGTTGGGGCTATTTAAAAAAATAACATTTGTTTATTTAACGATTTACTTAGATACATTGAACATTGAAAAGTAATTATAATTACAAACTATTCGTTCATAAGTCCTAAAGGAGATGTTTATATAAGGTGTATGTATAAATTTAAATAACTTATTAAGTTTACTCTCCCAAAAAAAATTGTCTTTATTTTTATGACGTTTCGGGATCACTTTATTATCCCATCTTCAGACCGTATCTCATCTTTCTATTATCTAATTTTTTTTTTTATATATATATAATTGTCATAATTTTTATTTTTATAAATCATCCTGTTAAGGGAACATAGCCAAGTTTCCATTTAATTTAATTTAAATTAAATTAATAAGCAAGCAGCCGTCTCTTGGAGAGAGAAGCAACAAAGACAGTACAGACATTAAGAGTTCCTGCAGGAATCTTGTCCACTTGAGACTGTAGAAATAGCTGGCCAGCCATCATTTCATATGTACAGCCTTTTTACAAGAGAGATGGAGTAGATACTCCAGAGACCTAGCAAGGGGCCAGGTGACCGGGGAGAGAAAGAAGAATGCAGCAAGTACCAAAATCAATTAATATTCAGCCACCACCCACCTAATCCACAATTAAAAATAGTTTGTAATATGTATACTAAGTTTATTAGTACACTAACTCTTCGTTGTAATACATGGGGCTTTAATAATTCAAATTATAATACAAATAGAATATAGCAATCTGTTCAACCCCATAGTTTAATTATAATGAAATACCTTTACATACAGTCCACAGCAGTCAAAGTAGAATCATTGCCCTACAGCATGATTATTAAGTCAATATCCCTGACAGCCGTAAAGGAATGGGCTTAAAAAAATAAACACACTGTTAGTTATATTGTGGACTCCTCTAGAGAGAGCCTTGTCAGACACTGAACCATTCTTGGAATTTGGCCCTTGGTGCATGGTTTAGTTCAGTGTCTGATTAGGCTCTGCCTAGAGGAGTCCACAATATAACTAAGGGATGATTTATAAAAATAAAAATTATAACAATTTAAAAAAAAAAGAAGAAGAAAATTAAATGATAGAAAGATGAGATACAGTCTGAAGATGGGATCATAAAGTGATTCTGAAACATAATAAAAAAAATAAAAAAATTTGTGAGAGTAAACTGTTACTTAAATTTATTCATATACCTTACTTTAATTACAAACAATTTAAAAAAAAAAAATGATTTTACTCCAAAAAAAAAAAAGAGAGATAAGACTAAAAATACTCTATGGAATAATAAATAAGAATTATAAACATATAGTTTTTTTAAAAAAATGATTTTGAGATGAGATTTTCGTGATTATCTTGTTTTATATGTATACTCTACAATGTTATTTAAATAAGAATTTAATGCAAACATTCTAAAGTCAAGATGCCGTAATTCTTATCATTATATTAGTCATTTCATAATTATTTTAAGTCAGACATGCAAATGTCTCTGGAATTGTAAATCTATACTACTATTATGGGACTAGGTGTCCCTGATTAAATTTATTTTCCATTTATTCGTTTACGAGAATGCCTTACCATTCTAGAGAAGTGTAGTTTGTGCCCCTACAGCTAAATACTGATTATAAATTGTTTTGAATGCTTATTGTGCTGAAAATGGATCATGTTGGTTATTATAAATAAAATATCTTATTTTTCTAATAAACCTATTTTGAAAATATGTATTAATTTATTTTCCAGCTCTATGCAGATTTTTATGCCAGCGATATTATCGTAGCTTCTCCTCTCGGGTTAAGAATGCTTATTGGTACGGAAGGTGAAGGAAATAGAGATTATGATTTCTTAGCATCTATTGAGATTCTTATTATGGACCAAGCTCAAGTCTTCACGATGCAGGTTGGATATTATCTTAATTATATGATTTTTTTTTCTTTAGTATAATCTTATCTATAGTATCTTAATCACTGTAACCCAGTAATTTCCACAAAAATGTTTTCAAAGACCTCATTCAATCACTAATGGATAGAACCCCCTAAATCCTGAAAATTGTAAAAGTTGTTTTCTGTCATACTAGCTACATACTTCTTCATAAAAATTATTATGTTAAGTAATATGTAGATATATTTTAACTCTCTGAAAATGATGAAAATTATTCCTGAGATTAAAACCAATCGTATTTCTCTATATAAATGGGTCTATGTTGTTGACCAAAAACATATATCATAAAAGATATAGTTGGTATGTTCGAAAAAGTGTTTAAAATATCATTAGATTCTATAAACTTCATTGAAAAATATTTTTCATTTAATTTATTATGGTATTTGCAAAAATAATTTTTAAAAATTAATAATAAATCATGTCTTGGGAAGCATTGCTGTAAGCAAAGAGTAAACTATGAAATTTTAATGATGAAATAAAGATGATGGATCAGCATTGGTCAGAACTATATTTTGAGGAGTTAAGAATCAAATACTTTCTAATTCAATAAAATAACTGTCTCTAAACAGTTTCATGATTAAAGATCTAATATTTTTTTGTAATGATACAGTTGTCTTAAGGCTGGCTTGTACAAACTATTATAAATTAGTAAATCATTCTAATAAATATATTCTTGTATGGTTTCAAAATTCTGCTAATTAATAAAATTTAGTAGTGACTGCACTTTTTCATGAATAAATATACAAATATTTATATATCAATAATTTATAAATTATTATATATCAATCCTAAGTCCAACATATTATCCAAGACTGCCCAGTATTTAAGAATATAAAGAAAAATTTGAATATGGCTCAGAGTCTAAAAGAAAACCTCATTTACAACGAAAAAGCCGTGGACAAAATCTTGCAATTTTTAAAAATGATAACATTCTACAACAGAGTATGAATAGGAAGTGTTGCCAATGCCACTGCAGGGTAGAGGCAACTATAAAAGCAAATAAATAAATAATCCTAAGTTCAACATTTGCTTGTAGGAGAGATGATAATATTATTTATTTTGCATAATTTTGTCAGTAATCTATTTATTCATGTAACCGATAAGCTGTTAATAATAAATATGTAAGAAGAGTTTTGACGGTTAGAAAACTCAGCTGTGTGTGTAGTTTGGTTTTTCTGTTCTAAGTCCAAGTGGCCAACAGTTTTTTGATAGAGAAAAGTCGTATTGGAGTTGATCTATTAGCTCAGAGATTGTGAGATACATGTGGATTAATCTGTATCACCAATATTTTCGTAGAGAAGAGGTCGTCCTCACACGGCTGAGGATCGGACATACTAGACTGACACACCTCCACTTCGTAACAAAAGATCTTATCCCCAGATGTCAAAAGTGTAACCAATCACTAACTATAAAACATATTTTGGAAGAGTGCTCTTTTTACACAGCAAGATTAAAAGATCTCGGAATACCCCAGAATATACCAGCATCCCTGGGAAATCAAGAAGAAATCGTTACCAAAATCATCAAGTTCCTGGATAGTGAAAGACTTAAAAAACATATATGACAAGCTTATAATTAATGATCCTTTGCAGATTTATTATTATTTTTTATTTATTTATTTTTATTCTATTTATTTTTTTTTTTTTCATTTGTTCATTTCATTCAAGTTCATTTGTCTATTAATCTCAATTCATTTATTGATTTTAATGCTATTTTTTTAAAGTATATTTATTTATCTTATTCTACCAATCCATTTCTTTATATTTTTTTTATCCTTTTTTTATTATTTTTATTTTTTGTACCAACCATCCGAACAGTAATAAGTGGTGTTATATAGTTGATCGGGCGCTTATGACCTGGATGTTTTGCGCCTAGACATCGAAACAAACAAACAAATCATTCGATTATTTTTATTTAGTTTTGAATTTACAAGGTTTTTTATATATTGATTGTTTTTTCTACAGAATTGGGAACATGTTTTGCATATCATGGAACATATGCATTTACAGCCTCAAAGATCACACGATACTGACCTCTCTCGAGCTAGGACTTGGGCTCTCAACGGCTGGGCTCGCTATTACATGCAATCTCTGATTTTCTCTGCCAATCCTCTTCCCGAAATCACTGGCCTTTTTAACAGTAAAATGAATAATTATAATGGAAAGATCATCATTTCCAATCCTGTCAGTCCTGGGTCCATATCACAAGTGATTGTCCACGCCCCACAGGTAATGCGTCTTTTAAACTTCATTAGTTCATTTTAAATTTTATTTATTTATCAGTCTAAAATCTATTTTATCCTATGCATCTTGTTAAATCTTTAAAGCTAATTCAATAATTCTATTTCCTTTAATGATGACTGAAATAAAACATTTGTTGATAACTTTTGTCTTGTTTTCAGATGTTTCATTATGTATCCTCTTCAACAGTAACTGAGGCGATTGATGACAGGTTTCAGTCATTTATTTCCGATATATTACCTCGCTTCAAGGAGTCTAACCAAAAACATGTTTTAATATATATTCCATCATACTTTGATTTTGTGCGACTTAGAAACTATTTTAAAAAACAAGAGTTATATTTCGTTCAGATTTGTGAATATACCACGGTGATTTATTCTTTGGTTATTGTATATATTTCTTTTTAGATCTTATTTTCTGTTGTTTTATAATGATGTGATTTAATTTTTAGGAAAAGAAAATAGTTCGAGCGAGGAGCAAGTTTTTTCACGGAGAAACACAGTATCTTCTCTATACAGAAAGATTTCATTTTTTTAGAAGGATTCAACTCAGAGGCATACAACATTTGATCTTTTATCAACTCCCATCTTTTCCATCATTTTACAGTGAAATTTGTAATTTTTTACAGGTAAGCAATCTCGTGTTTAAAAAAATAATATTTTTTTATTATATATCGATTTGCCATAATTAGTTGGCAGCCTGAGGGCGAACTCTTGCAATATCAAGTTGAAACTATTTGTTTTTTCCAACCAATATTAACATATATTTATATACAAAAGAAGATAGTGTCATTTTTCAATATAGATAGATAGAAAGTAAACTTTATTCTGGGACAAGGTCCCTTATGAATAACAGATATGAACAAAAAAAATAAAAACTACATCTGGCCAAAAATTACATTAGTCAATGTTAAAGAATATATACAGTATCTTCAGTGAAATTATATTAAAACAAGTAAAAATAACACCATTTTGAGAAAAAACGAAATAAAAAAAAATTATTTAAATGAAAAGAAAACAAAATAAAATAAGCTTGAGTTGATTTTTAAAATTAAAACTCAATCAATTTTAACAACCATTCACCTCAGTCAAAATCTGTTTCGCAATATTTATTTTATTGTATAACGTCATTTTGGGATGTGAGAAGGAATTGGTAGAGATGATATTTAAATGAGGACAAGGAAGAGGCATGGCGGATTTCAGATGGCAAGGAATTCCAGAAGGCTGTGGATCGGGCAATAAAGGAATATTCAAACGTCTTAGTTATATGGGAAGGGATATAAAGGTCGGAAACACGGGATCTTGTTTTCTGGGAGTGGACCACGGGTTTGAAGTGTAGAAGACTGTAGATGTAGGAAGGGTGTCTGGTGTTGATTGTATATTTGTAGATATTTAATGAGTAATATTGGAGGATTAGAAAAAAAAACAATAAGTTTCAATTTTGTGCCACATGAATTCATCCTTGTGCTGTCCTTTGGTTTCTGAACCTGTCTTAGCCATCATTAATCTAACTACATGATTTATTTAAAAATCTGACAGTTGACTATTAACTAATTGTTAACAGATATCATGTAGGGAATATTATACTCTTGGTTATAATTATCTATCATTGTTTGCTGATATTTTTGATCTTGTGATTGGCAACAGTACTTGTTGCATTTTGATCAATTCAAACTAGTTATGCCCAAATGGGTTAAGAAAATGTTGATCCAACCCTTTCTAAAAATTTTTTTCATTGTAATTGATTTTAGCTATATATTAAAGTGAAATATTGCTGCAAATAAAATGCTAAAAATTAAGTGAATTCTTTTTTTGTTTTAGGATGTTAAGAAGGATGGTGCAGCTGACCATGGACTTAAGATGTCAATAGATGTACTCTACACCAAATACGATGTTACCCAGTTAGCAAGTATTGTTGGTACTGAAAGAGCTACTAGAATGCTTACTTCTGAAAAACCCGTTCATATGTTTATGACTGAGAACGCAAAATAGTCATTAAAATGTTATGTTTTTAATTTTAATTATTAAAATTGTATATAGTTAATATTGTGCATATATATTATATAATTTTGTAAATTAAATATATATTTTATTTGAAAACAAGATTGCCGTTGTATATTCCCAGTATTCAGGTTCAAAAACATTTATTTGATTTTATCTATAATAGGATATATTTTTTTAGATTTAATCTGTTATACCACATTCTTATTTTATACCAATTATAAATACAAATAGAAGGATCCAAGTCAGGAATGACTGATGAAGACATAATAATCAGGAATTGTAGGACCTAATGAATGAGCCAGATGCAGTTAGTCATCATAAACAAATAGTCAATATTATCTTATATAATAAGCAATTAATACTCTGGAATAATCCTTTAAATTCAAAGTGTACAATGCAGAGATAAAGCCAGTGCTCTAGAATAAAGTATTGAAATATTTAAGAAAAAAATCCTCTGCATTATAATCAAAGTGATCTGGGATACGAGTACTAACATGGGGATGAGGAAAATCGTTTAAGAGCTGCTTACAGAAACTGGTCAATGAATATCTCATGATCTGAAGGCAAGGAGATTAAGATGGGTGAGGCATGTAACTCGAAGAATTCCATCTGGAAGTCTACATGACAATGGCTCAAGAGACCATGTGGAAGACCAAAAGGCAAGTGGATAGATTGAATCAACAAAGATGCAATATAGCTGCATGCAGATAACTGGAAAGAAATAGCCCAAGAAAGGCAAAGGTAGAGTAGGCTTGTTAAGATGGCAAAAGATCTAGGTCTATAATGCCAACAGAAAAAAAAAAAAATCTAGGAAAAACTTATAATTTTTTTTAGCAATTCAATAAACTTATAAAAAAAATAATTCATAGAGAGTTATATTTCCTTAGGGAAATTTATTCAAATTATTAGATCTTTGAAAAGATATTTGGATTAGAAATACATTATCTCATATATCTCACTTATTGGATTGGTATGTAAAGTTAGTGAAATTAATTCCTTATGACTAGATACTCTCATGTCCAATAAGTTTACACTTGCTCTTCATCCAGAATCCTTAAAAAAATAATTAATTTTGACATACTTTCTAAGCATGTAATATTCTCCCTGTTTTAAAAAGTGGTTCAATTGCTAAAAATGATAGCTACTTAAATGTATGCTCATGTTAAGAAAAAATACGTTTTAAAATGATCCCTTAAAGCATATTTTTTCTATAATTCTTTTTAACAGGCCTTCAAGGACCACTTAAACATCATTTATTTTTCTTGCAGAATAATTACCGTTATATTTAAAAAACCTTTCCAAAATTAAATTCTGGACCCACTACTGCTGCTTTTCATAATCTGAGATTGGAAGTTTAAATTTTGGTGAACTTTAGAATGAAGAGAAAATAATTAATAATTAATTATAGATTATTAAAGAGTCACTATAAATTTCTAGAACAACTTAAATAATAAAATTCTTGAGCTTTTTAATTGTTAAGCATTTTCAAACCTATGTAGTTAATTTATATACTTAAAATGTGAACGTTATTACAGGAAATGATGTAGCAGATATATTAATAAAGTTTTAAATTATTCTTCAAAATTCAGATATTTAGTCTTCTCAAAGGATTGATTATTGGTCCCTTTTAAAGGGTTAAAAAAATTCCCGCCGATTCACGTTAAGTGGGCATGGAAATATTAGTTAGAGGAATGTATTCTCTTCCTATAACGAAAACAATAATACCTGAGGATTTTTGGGGCTCAATAATAAGTAGTTAAACAGCCGAACGAATTTGGAACAGCTGAAAGAATTTTTATTCGTTTCTCGTTTAAACGCTCAAAAAAAATCGAAATACTTTCAAAGTCTCGTCCTTTATTATTATTACCTACGAACGTGTCTTCTTTGACTTCAATGTTTCTGCCCTTACAAACAATAACCCAACCACACAAGACCATCTGGGGATCTACATGGATTCCTAGATAAAAAATTGTTCAATCATCCACTATTCTACGAGGCTGGCTCATACTATTCTTGTTTTAACCATGAAATAAGGCGCTGTTAGTGACAAATATACGCACCTTGTATGAGAGTTGTGTTCCACTGAGACAAGTTGTTTTAATACAAAGGATAAATTTACAATTGTACACATTTGATAAATTATTTTTATATTAAATAGATTGTTTATTGAGGGAGGCTTTAGACATTGAGCTATGACTCATAGGAATGGAAAAGTTTCCATTACAACATGTACCTTTTTTTTTCCACATAAGTTTCTGGTGTTATTCACTTATTCAATCATACTTGTGGCCATGTACTAATGGAAACCATCTATGTATTCCAAATTTAATGACATTACATTTAAATAATAAATTAATAATTTTAATATAGTAATTAGTAATGAATGATATTATTAATTTTGTGATTATTATTATCAATATATAATAATTAGGTACAATATAAGGAAAGAATACAACAGATAAATACAAAATTAAAAATTGTTTTAATGAAATCCATCCCATGTTTCTAGCTAAATTAGTGTGACTTGAGATTGACACAATGAGAATGTGATTTTTTTCGGCGAAATGTTACCGCGGCGAAATTAAGATCTAATTAAGTTACTATCTGTTCATCGCACAGATAGTATCTATTACATTCGTACAGAATATTCTCCACATATACAGACAAAGATATCGCAGATCGCTGGGACATATCGCATTTTGTGTGTCGATCCTTAAAACTTTGTAGACATGGAAAAGAAAAATAAGTTGACAGCAAATGACAATTAGCACTTATTCACCTTGGATCACCATAAAAAATAAATTATACACGAATTGGAGACTTGAATGTCTCTGGAGCAGAGATCTGCTACATTAATACATCACGTTAGGAGTGCATCCACTGGAAGATTTCTCCAATCAAGCGTTTATGTTAATCCTGCAAGAAAAGTTCAGGAATGATGATCACATTTACAATATATGCCAAAAGACATTTGTAAAATTGTTCAATAAAGAAATTTATTATTATTATTATTATGCACGTATTAATACGAAATAGATTAGATTAGTTTGATAAGTCACTGTCAAGCCAGATATTGTCACTTTTTGCGACACTATTACGGCTGTAAATGATATCCAGCGTTTGACTATTCTGCAGTCTATATGATGACTGTTACTGTGAAATTTGCTGCCATGACGGCAACTATCAATGAGTAATTGAACCTTGAAATTTAAATGGAAATGTGATTAAAAACTGTTGCAGTGATGTAATAATTATTTTTTTCTATTATCTATGAAAGCTTTTCTTGGTAAAGTTATTTAAAGTGTTCAAACTTTCCTTTAAATACTTTCAACACAAACACTCGACCTATGACGTCGTAAATTAGTTAATTGAAGTAGATACTTACTAACCAGATAATATGTTGTTTTCAGGCGATATGTGATTTTTTTTAAAAGGTTAAGGTATTTTATACAGTATTTGTTATTATTGATTACAATTTCATTTTTAATATTGAATGTTAATATAGTATTCATAATAATATAGTATTCATAACAACAATAGTATTCATTAAAGCATTTGTGTGAAAAATTATAGATACCGTAACTGGGTTTCATCTCTTACCAATGATGTCAATAATTTGTATATTTTTTTTAAATAATTTTTTCGTCAACGATACTTTCTGGGAATGCCACTTGGAGTCTGTTAGTGAAAAATAAAAAACGTTGTAATAAATTGAGAAAGAAAATTAGAAAATTGTTAAATGGTTGCACCTATTGTCATCTTTAATAGTATTTAATCATATAATTAATTTATTTAAGAACTAATGAAAGCCAATAGTTTTTAATTGTTTAGAAAAGGTTATTCCCGAGAGTATGGTTATTGATTTTAGATAAAATTATTAGTGTGAGATAACAAGATAAAAGGTGTAGATAAAAACCTCTTTGCAGTGTTGTAGCCGGGTTAGGCCAGTCATAATCAGGTGTTCGGTGTTTACACTCGTATATCTGTAATCTTCGGTCTGTTACCGGTCCGTATTGATGGCCTTGTTATTTACCTGATATTAGAACTTTCATGAAATAATTTGTTTCAAACCGGCAGTTCACCATGGGTGCTCATGTTTCTCGTACGGATTTCGAATGGGTTTATACCGAAGAACCTCACGCCTCCAGAAGAAAAGAAATTTTGGGTGTGTACTACTTTATTATCTTCTGTATTGTTATTATTATAGCCTGTGATTATCAATTAGCGATTTGAACTCTCAAATATACCGTACTAATTTATATTTTTTATGTTGTTTTCTCAGCTAAATACCCTCAAATCAAGAAATTGTTCGGCTATGATCCTAAATTCAAATGGATCGTTACTGTTATGGTATTTACTCAATTCCTCATGTTCTACCTTCTCAAAGACTTACCTTTCTGGATAGTGTTTCTTGCTGCATATTGTTTTGGAGGTGTTATCAATCACTCTTTGATGTTAGGTAAGTGATAATGTTATCAATAGTTTGGTTTTTCTTTGATTTTGTGTAATTCTCTTTGCAGTCATGTTAAGCCTGTGTTAGAATATTCCCATCTTAATATATCAATGTTTTTATTACCTGATGATTAGTTATATAATTTCATATTTCGAAAATGTTACATAATAACTAATTAACATTACCCAATTCTCTTCAATCTTCTCCATTAGTTTTCGATAAAATAACTATGCAGTTGTTGCAATAATTTTACATCGTAATGCTGATGTTTATCTCTGTACTTTTTAATTCTCATTTAAAATAGTTGATTTAACATATACAATTTTCTGTATCTCTTTAAGGATTAAAATCCTTCATAACCTTTATTGACACTAATTGTTTATTAAAAGGATTTGAACCTCTGTCTCTTCGTACCTAGGAATAGGGTAGCCATGTCCCTATTTCCCATGCCAATATTAAATCCAAGATTTGGCAGGTAGTTATTTGCTCTGTTATATCAGTTGTTGATCAACGCTGGAGTCAAAAGGCTATCCTAGAGAACGCTTAGATTCAATAAATTGGGTAGTGGAAAAACCTGGTGGGAGAGTCTATTCCTGACTAAAACGTCTCCTATACAACCTCTGGACTAGAAAGACTGAATTTAGATTTTGGGCTCAGACCCATCTTATGATGACTTATATCTAAGTGGTTTTCCTGGTGTGTAAATATGAAACTGGAGTTTGTTTATAAATGGCTCTGGTTGTTAGCTACCGTTGAACTGCATTATTGGTGCCATATTGTTTTTTGGATAGCTGGAAAAGATTTTCAAACCACAATTCAGCTTTCAGTACTATTGCACAAGTATTTCTCCATTTTGTTGGGAACTATTGCCATCACATGATCATGCTGTATATGGAATACTGAGTGTTTCCGAAAGTTGACGGAGGGAGCTGAACCCTCTGGTAAGATACCAAAGTCTACTGAATAGGACTCATTAGTGGTTTATTTATCCCTTTTGAGTGAGGGTAGTAAGCAGACATTGAAAGTACCAATCTAATTAAGGTTTCCTTTAGTTTTTAATCATGATCTAAATAAAGGGAGGTTATAACATGAACTCATCAATCTTTGACCGATCTCGGAACCTCGTCTATCTTGGCCCACCTGTCAAAGTGGAACAACAAATATACAGTAGTACCCAAGTTTCATGTAACAGCATCATGTTAATAGTGTTGAACATTTAAAGTTTTACGCCTACAAACTACGATGTTTGAACAGCACTTTTCTTGTACTATTTAAGGTAAACTGTTACAGACTCAAATCACATGCTATTCGAATCTTTGAGTGAGCATTCTCTTGTTAACTCACAGTTCTATGAGCAAAATATTTAAAAGTGGCAATTTTGACATGAGAAATGAAGAGCGTGGCTCGGTGGGATCAGAAATGTGTTATCTATTATAAGCTGCTAAAATCTATCATCATACTGAATGATATCAACAGCAAATGATTGATTTGAATTTAGTATTAAATGATAAATGACCAGTATATCATAAAAGAACACAAAAGTGATTTTATTTCATTCTATGCATCATCAAAACCAGTGAAAAAAATTATTGAGGCGTTCAGTTGGGCAATATTAGTGCATTTGGCTTACTCTTCAGACTTGGCTCCGTCCAACTACTATTTATTTTCACCGATTGAGCAGGCACTTGCTCAACTGCATTTTTCTTAAGGTAATGTATAAAAATGGCTTGATTGGTTCGCCACAAAAGAGTAACAATTTTTCTGGCATGGCAGTTATCTATTGCCAAAGAGATAGAAAAAATGTATAGCTAGTGGTGGACAATTTGTCGAATAAAATATTTGTTAACATTTTGAGGCAATAAACGTATATTTTCTAGGTGAAAGTTCCGGTTTCAAATTTACACACCTGGTACTTGAAATCTAATTTTACTTTCTTTTTTCTAAAATTAATTCTTAATTTTCATTTTAACAGTAGTACTGATATTTTTCTAAATAAATAATTAAAAGTAGATTTAAAATATTAATAACTTCCTGCAATACTATTTGTTATGTTGTGTGAATTACAGACTATCCTGATTAGGATTACAATGAATATGATTATAGTGATAAGTTGTTTATTGTTACAGTTTTATCAGCGTAATATGACTATAAACCATTGTTTAGAAGATGGGCATTAGTAATCATTTTGTCTTAAGGATAAGGCACTTCTTGATGACACTAATTGATAAGGATGATGTGATTCCTTTTGATTTTAATTAATTTAATGAAATAACTCAATTTAAAACTGATGCTTTCCTTCCCTGTGATCTTCTATTATTTAAGTTTCATTTACCATTTTCTTTTATATGCTTATTTAAGCATAAGATCTTACTGATATTATGTAACTATATTCTACAGTTTCATCCTTGTCTAATTTGGATTATACACACCTGTTTCATTAAAATGATGAGAACAAGACCAAATACATCTGATTGTCTAAGTAACATCCATAAAAAAAGATTGTGAATAGTTGTTTATTAGTGTTGAGTTACTAATTAATAGAGCATACAAATCAGTTTTATTGTTTTATAGTAACTAACATAGTTTTTTGTAAGGTTGCTTCATTCTAAACAGTTTTAAGAAAGATTCTTTCTTCCTGTAGTATAAGTTTGTTAGGTGATTATTTCTTCCTTAACCTGATCTTGAAAGGATAATATAGTTATCTAACCGAGTCTGCCTTAAATTGACTTCATTAAGCTTAAACCTATGTTCATGCGCTTTATTTATAATGATTGGCCACAATGTATTTTCGGGAAGCATCAATATGCATTAAGAAGTAGTTTTTCCACTTCCAGAGCCGCTGTAACCAAATAGCTGGACCAATAATGACGATTCTTTGCAGAATTTCTTTCTTGACCTCTGCGAAATTTGCCTTAAATTTTGATTTCTATCGGAGGGATGATTTTAGGAGTCTGCATAAAACAAACAATCATACTTTTGATTTTGTAGACATTGATGTAATTGCACTGAAGCTTTATCATCCAAGTGTGATAAAATTTATCCAGAAGGATGTATAAAATAATTCAATAAAAAAATTTCAAATATTTTTTGTATACAATTCAAATGATAATTAACATATTAAAAATTGAATATCATCTTATAAAGAATTTATTAAATTATTTGTGAATTAATTAAAAAGTTAAAATAAATTTAATAGTTTATATATTGTATTAAAATAAAAAATATACATTGCTAATTATTGTGTTTCAGATATTAATTTATTATTCTATATGTTGTAGCTATTCATGAAATCGCTCATAATTTAGCATTCGGACACGCTAGGCCAATGGCAAATAGGATTTTGGGTATATTTGCAAACTTACCTATTGGACTACCTTTCTCTGTCACATTTAAATATTATCATTTGGAACATCACAGGGTAATATGATTGATTATTTATTTTTATACCTTTCTTAATTATGTTTTATTTATTTTTAAAAATTGTCAATAAAAATTTTTGAACTATCCTAAGATTCTTAAAAATGTAAGCACAATTTTATTAGAAAGTGTGGTTTAGAGCTTTTCTGGACAATCCTTAGGCTTGTTTTTGTTCATAAATACAAACCTTAGATGATATTTAAAGCATTAAGTATTTGCCTTAGGCATACGGTAAAAATTGAATAAAAAATATATAGTTCATATAACTTTAAATTTGATTTACATTTATCTGAAACTTAAGTAAATAATTACTGTTAATTACTGACTGACTTAAATTTGACTCTTGAAAATTTCACAATAGTCACTAAGTATTTAACTTATTATTTTTCTTTCCTTTTCAGTATCAAGGTGATGAAAAACTCGACACAGACATTCCGACATATTTTGAAGCTAAATTATTCTGCACAACATTTGGGAAGTTTGTTTGGCTTCTATTTCAGCCATTATTCTATGCTTTCCGGCCAGTAGTCACCTACCCGAAGTCACCTACATTACTTGAAGTTATAAATACAACGATTCAACTTAGTTTCAATGCTTTTATTTATTACTATTGTGGTTAGTATGTTATAATTGCTTCATACAATTGATGACTGTTTTTTTAAACTGTTTATAGACGAATTCATATCCGAATCAAATTTTAATTCTTTATTCACATTCTTGGCTTTCAATTTTATAAATAGAATATACCAATTGCAAGTTTAAAAAAAAAAAATAAGATTTTCTATAATAAAAAATATAGCTGCAGTAATTGATTAGAACCCTCTATTATTACAGAAATAAAAGAATCATGATGAAAAATGCAAAAAAAGTATATTTAAAAAAATAGTAAGTAATAAATATTTGAGGAAAAAAATGATCAGTTTTTTCTTTCTAAAATAAGTTCTAACTTAACTAAAGCCATTACGAATATTAAATAAGTGTTTACTTTTAGATAATATTTTTTCCAATCATTAGGTTTGTAAACGGTTAATATGAAAGAACTTTGTTTACTATATCAATTGTTTTATTAATTTTTATAATATTCTTATCAGGAAAGGCTATTTGCTAAGATTATATTTTCAAGTTTTTTTTTTTATTGTGATTTGATTATGATTGCTAAATAAACTTAACTTAAGAACAATGGGTTTCACTTGGTAAAATGTTTGTTAAAACAATCGAAAATGGTCATTGTTTTAATGATTTAAAAAAATTTGATTACCAATATTAATTTAGAATTTTTAATATACTTAGTCAATATTTATGAAGTATTTCAACATTTCTCAATTAATTTTTATTCCATCAAACTACATTTATGTTAGGTTTAAAATTCATTCAATCTTAATATATCAATCATTTTTTTAAGTAACTATTTTGATTTTTTTTTTATTTCCAGGAGGTAAAATTCTTTTCTACATGTTGGGTGGCTCTATGATGGCTATGGGGTTCCATCCTGTAGCTGGCCATTTTATATCAGAGCACTATATGTTCCGCAAAGGATTCGAAACATATTCATACTATGGTTGCCTCAATTGGATAACATTCAACGTAGGCTATCACAACGAACATCATGACTTCCCTGCAGTTCCTGGTTCAAGGCTACCCGAGGTAATGATGTATAACCTTGCTATCTCTCAAGGTCGTGATTTATGTTGTTTTACAAATGTAACTTTGATATTTTGAGAACTGATAAGATTAGAATAACAGTAGTAATATTGGACCATGAAAATAATTCATAGGAAAATCAGAATCATTATTGTAGTAATGATTCACGTTACAATGATGGAAATTTATTGATTTTAGTATTGATAGGATTAGAGTAATGAGTGCGAGAAGTTTTATTATAATTGAACGATGAGGTAGGTTCATGTGATCAAAATGATTACTCTCTTAAGTTCAAATTAGTACGAACTGTTTATTTTATTTACCCAACTTGATTGAGGTAAATATGAAAACATTGTCATTGTTCTTATTGGGTTTGATGACCTTATAAATTTTAAAAGTCTTGAATGATGGTTTTCCAACTTATTTCAGCCATTTTGGGAATGTTGAATCTATGAGTTCATCTCAAAAGAGAAATCAAAGGATGGATTTAAATAGACAACACTTTGAAAACATTATGAAAAAAAAAAAAAAAAAGGTTCAAAGAAACTTTTTAAGAAACGCACTAAGCTGGACTTAATAAAAGTAGATAACTTAGTTAGTTTTTTCTCATTTGCTTCTTTGCTCTTTGATATATATTTTTAAATTGTTTGAATCTTTATAACAAATGTATCAAATAAATCGTTTGGAAAATAGTTGATAAAATACCTACAATTTTATGTTTGAAAATATCATGTTATTGGCATTCATGTTTCTTTTTCTCAGAAACTAAGATAGTTACAGATTTAAAATTTTCCACCTTACTTTTAATGATATTTGAAAAAAAAAGTATAAATTTTAGAATTCAAAAATGTTTTCTTTCGTTTTAACTTAAAATCCTAATAAAAAAAAACCTGCTGCTTAATGCTACTGAACTGTAATTGATGAACATAAAAATTTTCAAGTCAATAGCTTTAATGGTTTTTAAGAAAAAGGAATATTTGTATTAAAAAATAAATAAAAATAATAGTTTTACAGAAGATCCAAAAAATTGTTTATCTATTATATTTAGTCAATATTAAAAGGAAATAGAGACATTTTACAGAAATGGAGGAAAGCCAAACCGAAATAATAAAAAAAATTGTAAAATTATTTTATCGAGGTAAATATGATCATAAAAGTAAAAATTCCTATTGTTTTTGATGCCTTGAATAGTCACATTGTTTCTGTCTGCAATCATTAAAAAAATTGTATAAGCACAGGATAATAAAAGCTAATTTTATTTTCAAAGAACTGACTTTCTTCAAGAAATAATGTTTCTGTTGTTTTTTTTTGTTTTTTTTAGAAGAAAAAAATACTTAAAATATATCAAGAATCCCGATGGCCCAATGGGAGCCCCAAAAGCTTATTATTTTTTATTTATAATATTGTATTAAAAAATTCAAAAATATATAGTTGTATAAAACTTTAGTCTCTGAGTTTTGTTCATAAACATATAAAATTAATTGTGTATTTATGACAAACTATTGGTTCTTCTGTATTTGCTAGCACAACTTGGTTCCTTATTGTCATAAATATATGAGACATGTATAAAAAGATTCGGTAAGTGTTGTGGTTTAATAAATTTAAAAAAATCCTATTTCAGGAGTTAGGTCTCCAATAATATTTATGAAATGACACTTTATTTTATTTATATTCATAGCAGAACAAAAGTGCAGTAGAGTTTTGCTTTATTTAATTTATTTTATATTTTCCAGGTCAAGAGGATAGCTAGTGAGTATTATGACAATTTGCCCCAGCATAATTCTTGGGTTTCTGTCCTTTATGATTTCATCATGGATCCAGATATAGGACCATACGCCCGAATAAAAAGGAAGAGTCGTGGATTGAAAACATAAATTAAACAAACTGTATTATATATTAAATTATTTATTCAAAATATTTTATTTCTTGCGAATGGTATTTATTTTGTTTGTTTAAACATCGCCGAAGCTATGTTAATTTTAGGAAATATTATCTCTAATAAATTTCATTACATTTTATTTTGACTATTGTGCTAACTCAACATTCCTTTGAAATTATTTTGATATTGTGTATGTTATTCTCTATATATCAATATTACCATTAGTCTCAAGAGATTTTATATAGTTATACCAATGTGTTAACTAAAAATAGGGTATATAGCTTGTCTGCTAATCAACTTATATATTATGTGTGCTCAACATTTGTATTCTTTATGTGTACTCAACATCCGTGCTAGTTCGAATTGTTTAAATCATATTTGCTTACAGTGTAGCCGTTAAATGAAATTCTAGTATTTTTAACACTGCATCATCCTTTTTAATTATTTTAGAACGAAGGTTTATCTTCAATATCCCCTAACGCCTCAAGAGTCCCTAGCTGAGGAACTTGATCTTGTTCTTATTTCCTTAATCATTTACATATTTGCTTAATATATGAATCTGGTGTAGTTTAACTATGTATTTAAATATTTATACTATTCAACAAATATTTTGAGTTGATTCCATCAGTATTTTTTTTTTTTTTACTTGTAATGCAAGTATCATTTCTCAATCTCAGCTCAAGATAAAAATCTTAAGTTAAGTAAAAAATTTTTTTTTGCTATAGTTTATTTTAATATGAAGCTATTGCAGAGCATGGGTTTTTTAATGTCTGGGTTAAAGAATTCTGTGTAATGCCAATATCAAATTTATTTATATTACTGCTGCTCTGTTTTTGATGATATTAATTGAGTCATATTAAAATTTTTGTGAATGCAGTCTAGACACTCCTCTCTTTCTATCCCTTAGTTCTATTTCGGTTTGGTACATTTTGAGAGCATCTTTCAACTTTATCACTTCCTAAAACAGAATTAATACAAAATTAACTAAAAAAAATGTTACAATATAAATTGTAAGTTGAAGTTCTGTGATTTAATTTAGAGATTGCTGATTTATTTAAATATATATTATTATATACGTAATAGTGACTGATTGTATTATGTAATTAAAATTCAACATGATGAAGCTTTATTTTTGTAAATTGTATAAAATAACATCAGCATGATTATTATTAACTGATTCTGTTCTTGTTTTATTTTTCTTCTCCTTTCATTCCCTATATTTTTATTCTAATATTAAGTTATTTCGACATTCCTTTAAATATCTAAGTTGATCTAATACTTATTTGCCATCTACGATTTTCTAAACCCATTAAACCATTTTTTATAAATCTTTATTGATAAGTAATGGTTAGTTCATTCATGAAGGATAGTAATAGTTACTTGAAAAGTTAATATAATGATGATTTCAATGAAACTCGAGCAATTGATTTTGATAGTTTTATATTTAGACTAGTTCAGTGCCAAGTTTTTTTATTTGCAAATCTTTTTTCCAAAATTTTAGTTAAAATATTATTCAGGCCATATTCAACTATTTTTTTTTTTAATATAGCATAATTTTTTTTATAACAGCTGCATCATACAAATTTATCTAAGATGCAAATTGTTTTTGACGAATGCATGCGGTTTTTTATTCAAAGTCATTGCAGCGTGATGTCTATTGGAATATACATTTTATATAGAAATATAAAACACCGACACAAATCCTTGGAACATTCTAATTAGCTAATAGTAACTATTATTACCTTTAAGTAAAAATAAGAAAGTGTTATTTTTATTAAGGTTTTCTATGGACAGCCAGTATTCTTGTCAATATAATTTAAGGTTTTTAAACTTATTCTAATTAGTTCTTCACATTTCCAACCTCCTTTGTACATGATAATAAAAATATATTTTACAGCATCAGCCGACATAATTGACAATAATGACTGCCTATCTACCCCTAATTTTTGTAAAATATTTCTGAACCTTGGCCGTAGTGTCGAGGCTGTTTTCTGCTTGCTGTAATTTACTCGCAGTATCAACCTTCCTTCTTTCCAGCTGTTTTACAATCCTTATTAGCTCCGCCTTGAAAATAAGTTATCTCAATTATCATCTCGAATGCATATTAATAATCAATACAATAAATATGCAAATCGATACAAGAGCGAACCTGAGTTAAAAGTTCCACATTCAATTCCGTAATATCAGTCCTTGCCTCTGAAAGGACAGAAATATATTTTAGAATTATTATTAGTTTATTGTTTTAGATAATTTAATTTATATATTGTATAATTTTATGTATAATCAAACTCGAGAAACTATTATTGAATGATTCCAAAACTATGGGCGAATCTCTCAAATATTAAATATCTAGACCAACTTTTTCCCAATGCAGACATGATGGGATAAATCTTTCTAAGGCTCTTGAAGTGAGGTGTGCTGTATGGTGTCAGAATGACTGTTATCTGGTTATTTATTTATTACTATTTAAGAGAATAAAAATGTAATTTTCAAGTTTATTTATTTTCAGCCATTTTACACCAATTTTCAAAATTTTTTGTCAACTTAATGACTACACATCTGATTACGACGTTTCGGCTCTCAAGTCTAAAAAATGTTTACAATTTATAGTCATATTTAAAACATTACATACTTCAACATATAGAGATTCATTTTATATACCTAAAATACCAATCATGTACCTGTCCTTTTCAACTTATGTGAATTGCATGCGTCTACTCATGTAAAAAAAAATTATTTTTGTCATGTCCACCTTTAATTATTTTATAACATTATTATTACTCAATTTTAGTGTATGAAATGTTTTAAATATGACTGTAAATTGTAAAAAAAATTTAGACTTGAAAATGGCTCAACGAGCCGAAACTTCGTAATCAGATGTGTAGTCATTAAGTTGACAAAAAATTTTGAAAATTGGTGTAAAATGGCTGAAAATAAATAAACTTGAAAATAAATAGTATGCACCGAAGAAGAATTGGAGAAATATTGTGAACAAAATTTAATTTTTGAATTTAAAAACTATTATAATCCCTTATTTCATTAAAATACTATTAATTATATACATTATTTTTCTGTTAGTGTTACAGAGCTTGTCGATCTTTTGATGCCTTCTCCATCTTTGATTATTTATTTCCAGTTATCTGCATGCAATTTTATAACATCTTTGTTGATTCAGTCTATTTATCTGGTTTTTGGTATTCCAGGTGGATTGCTCCGAGCTCTATGCCCGCCCATCTTAACCTCCTATCCTTCATACCGTTTTATGATATGCAACAACTCCGTGTTTTCGTACTGCTTTATTGGTTTTTCTGCTCCTAATTTTTTTAACATTTTACACATACATATTTATACAGCACATACATTTTTTTTTTCTATTGACTTGATAGTTCTATACATGTACTCAAAAATTGATTTAAATAACTGATATAATTTTCTTCTGTTCATTTCTCCTAAAATTTGTGTCTTCAGGTTTTATTTGTTATATAAATTAGACCATTATTCACCCACATTTATTTATTTGCTATTTTATTAAGACGTTCCGACCATAACTAGGGCCATTTTAAAGTCTTATTGAGTCTTCCATTAGATATTCATTAGTAATGTCGTATTAATTTGTTCAGAGAAAAATTGTCCGTCATTTCTGAAGGGACAGTCCCTCCAGAAATGACGTAGGGGAAACTCTTAAATAGCAGGACAATTTAATTTTTCTCTGAACAAATTAATACAACGTTAATAATGAATATCTAATGGAGGACTCAATAAGACTAGTGGAGGACTCAAAATGGCCCTAGTGATGGTCTAAACATTGTAATAAAATGGCTAATAAATAAAATGTTGATGAATAATGGTCTAATTTATATAAAAAATAAAAGATATAATTTTCTTTTATTTATTGAAGACTTGATGCTCTACTATCATAGGAATTTAATTTTTATTTTATTTTCCTATTAAGTATTATTTTGAAGGATCTCGTCACCTAAGTTTTGAGGTCTGATAAAGCAATATGTTGTACCCTTAATAATTTTTTACTTTCACTTCTCTATTTATGAAAATATCTATTTCTCACCAAATTACAGTGGTATGATGCTTACAACGTACCAGATTTTAAAAACTGTTTATTTCTATATTTATTTTATTTATAAAATAAATATAGAAATAAACAGTTTAAACCAAAATAATTTGATACTATATTTTATTGTAAAATGTTATGCTCAAAATAGTTTGGTTAGAGTTTGGAAATTAAAAGCACTAAAGCAAAAAGAGAAAAGAACATGCTTTCGTCCATAAATATGCATTTGGATGAATACAAAATTATAAAAACATTGAAATAATCAAACTTACCAGGATTTTATAGTAACTCTTTATGGTTAAAAAAAGGTCACTAATTCGAAGCATCCCCTGGATTGAGGTATTTCATATTTACAAATATATATATCTGTGAAGATCAATAAAAAATTTAAATGTTAAAAATACCAGCTTTCAAGAGAACCAATTGAATGTTCAGTAGTTGACTATAAATCAGCATTTCTTCTAATTCCTTTCCTTCAAATTTAAAGGAAATGGAAGATTATCAAGTATTATAAGTATAATTATTAATATACATTTTATACTGTTTCCTTTTTATCTACTATTTCAATCTTGAGAATAACATTTAAAAACCCAATCACTCAATTTAAGAGATTTAAGCACAGCTAAGGTATTAAGGTAAAGTTAAAGCGCAACAGTTGATAAAATTTGCACTATAAATTTATACAAATACGGAGATGAGACATGAAAATCTCTTTGATAATATTGAAGATTCTTCCTAATAATATTGTGACATTTACCAATCATTATACGCAATCTCTCTCGGTCAACTGCAAGCTGCCTTCTCTGACTCTCCTTGAATTTTATTTGTTCCAAATACTTCTTGTACGTCGGATTATCAACAGGGGGAGCCTTGGCTGTAAAAAATCATGGAGTGGTAAATATTCTAACAATTCATTGACAATAATAAAAGAATAACAATGCTAGAAGATTGGTTACATACAGATATTCTTCAACAATTGTTTTCTATTACACACTTAATTTACCATCAAAACCATTATTTTGTCACATTAATTCCAAGACACTAAGCATTGGAACAATACAAACACCTACCTTTCAGTCTAATCCTTACATGTTAAGGGCTTTTGCTAAAATAAGAGTGTTACAATTAAAGGAATATTTTTTTGATTTTTCTAAATTAAAAAAATTAAATTTAAAAAAGCATGGGGAGGGGCTTTAGGGTTGAATCCCTCCTCTTTATCAAAAATAGAAAAATAATTTTTGTTTTCATCAGTCCATATTTGTTCCTGTGAGTGAAATGAGGAGCTAAATACTACAACAATCACAATATTACAATCAGTATCGAGAAAAAAAATATCCTCTAAAAGTATAATTGGTCTGTAACTATCGTTTTTTTGAATAAATAAAAGCTCCTCTCCTAAAGTTAAATCCAAAATCTGTCATGACATGGTGTGTTTCTGAGTACGCAGATTTTTTTTTATTGTTGTACAGATTAATTATTTTATATCATATATTTTTCTTGATTCTAGTTTTAAAATTTTAAATGAAATATTTTTTTTCTATTTCTTCAAAATCGTGAAAATTCCACAGGTGTCGTTAATAAAATAACATATTAATTTATTTAGAGGGATTTTAAAACTGATATATCAGTTTAAGGTAAGAATAACCAAGATATATGGCTTAATTGAGTAAGAAAAGAGGCAAACACTGTGATAGTGTTGGAAAGGGTTGAACAGAATGTTGAAACTCTGGAAAAATTTCTAAATACATAACTCGGATTTTTAAGTAAATAGAACTTACTATAATTTTAGAATAATGACTTCATGAAGATATGATAGCTTACTTAATAAATCTTCTTTCTGAAGGCGATTTAATTCTTTTTCAAGCTTTCGAATCTCTATGTCCAACTTCCTGTTATCTTCTTGTATGGTTTCTCTAAAACAATAAAAACGAGAAATTGGAAGTTGTTTGTTTATCGAATTTAACCTTTTTATTTACCCTTAATAAGACTTGGAGAGTAATATACATAAAAAATTCCCAATATATTCAATCCAGAACACTAGCGGATCCAGGATTTAATTTTTTTTTGGGGGGGGGCTTCAGCCCAAAAGATTTTTTTTCATATATATATATAACGATAATTAATTTGAAAAAAAAGAAGAAAGAAATGAACTACCTATATGAAATGGTGTTTAAGTGATTCTTGAAGCCATATTAAATGTAATTAAACGAACAATAATACTTTAAGAGATAGTTTTTAATATTTTGTTCTATAAAACATGGTGTTATATTTTACTGGTTATATACTTAATGGTTATATTTTACCATTTTGGGGGGGGGGGCTTCAACCCGAAAGCCTGTGATCCAGAACTAAACCCAAATCGCTATTGGCTTGTGAATGCTGGAAGTGGCGTTCTCCTTCCTTTTCGACCTCGACCTATGGTAATAGAAATAATTTGGTACAAGCGGATCCAGGATTTAATTTTTTTTGGGGGGGGAAGAGGGAGGGACTTCAGCCCCATCGTTTTTTTTTTCGTAAAAATAACGATAATTACTTTGGAAAATTAACTACCTATATGAATACTAACTAAATAAATACTAACTAACTACCTTTATGAAATGGTGTTTAAGTGATTCCTAAAGTTCTTTTAAATGTAATTACACGAACAATAATACTTTAAGAGATAATTTTTTTATATTTTGTCCATAAAACATGGTTATATTTTACCGTTTGGGGGGGGAGGGGGAGGAGGCTTCAGCCCCAAAGCTCCCCTCCGTAGATCCGCCCGTGAGCACAAGTATGTTTCATCGTAATATATTTGTAGATATTTTTTACTTTAAATACTTATATCAATCGCTGATCTCAAGCATTAGTAATCCTGATAATTATAAATAATTCTGGCATAGATTTAAACCTGTAAGCATTATCTCACGTGCCGATCGCGCTGTCAAAGATTATCAATGAACAGGGTTTCACGGCCAAGTTGCGTCATCAAAATTTTTAGGAGGGTACATTTCGACGGATTAATAATTTTTTAGAATGAAAACACGGGAACAAAGGAAAAACCTGGAATATACCGCTAACTTTTAATTATGTATGATCAACGATTTTTAAAATTCTACTTTCACATGCACCGGTTTTAGGAGTTGAGGAATATATATATTTATATCGAGGCTATATTAAATAATCAAAACATTACTAACTAAATCAAGGCAAGTATGCTTAGATGGGCCGGACATGTAGTCAGAATAGAGAATGAATGGTGCAGAGAAAAATATTGGAAGCACACTTCAGTGGGAAGAGGAAAAGAGGAAGACCGAGAATGGAAGGATGAAAAGTGGAGAGAGATGCAAACAAGCTAGGAGTTCCCAATTGGAAGAGAGTAAAACAGGACACAGAGAAGTGGAGAAAAATAACTCAGGAGGCCAAGGGTCATGCTGGCCTGTATCGCAGGGGAATTAGTTTTGCATATATATATATATATATATATATATATATATATATATATATATTTTTTTTTTTTTTTTTTTTTTTTTTTGATTGGCTATACAGACCTTGTAGATCTTTGGCCGCCTGATTCTTCACCTCTGCCTATCTTGGGCTACTGCTTTCCAGTTTGCGGCATAAAGCTCAGCCGCATCTTTGTTTATCCTATCTATCCATCTGGTTTTTGGCCTACCACGTGGTCTCTTGCCTACTGCTCAGGTTTTCAATATATATAATCACAGTTGCCAACTTTCAAAACCCGCCTTTATTCAACAGATAAACAACCTCCCAAAATAAACTTAGGTGGGAAAAGCAACATTGTTTTCTATTCACTTCTCTGAAGTTAACATTTGTATTCGTTTAAGGAAATATTGCTATATAGCCTTCTCCTACTTTATATCATCATATACTTTTCTAACTATCCCTATTTAAAACACCACAAGTACATGGTTAATTGAGGAACAATACAACCAATCGCTCATGCCCATGACACTGTTCTTTTGGCTGCAGTATTGGCTCCCAACGTAATACTGGGACAGCATCAGAGGCTACGAGTGTTTATATTCTGCCTTAATACCCACACTTTTCAGTTCTATTACGACCACGGGAAATGGATAGTGAAGCTGCATCTGCATTGTTTCCTCAGTTAAATTAATTATTAATAGTAAAAAATAGACACCTTCTTCATTAAAGATAATGCAAACAAAGTAACGCCTTCAGACGTTTTTAATTTGTTTGAAAAATGTATCTGTTTTTACCGCTGAGAAATGTTACAACTTAAATACTTTATTTAGTAGAAGGTCCGATGAGAGGGAATGCAGCACCCACGGCTAAAGACTTAGAGCCTGACCGAAGTTTATTTTTTATCTCCTAATAATTTTTAAATAAAGCATTACATATATTATCACTACATATTTTTGTTGTATACATGGTGCAGGGAAAGTTAGGCTTCACTAATGAATTTAATATTGGACGGATCTCTGAGAAAACGTGTCTCTGGAGCTGGAGTTTCTCTTTACAACTGGAATTATTGCGGGAAAGAGGATTTGCTTCTGTCCGCAAACTTCGAACTTACATATATTTATTTAATATAATTTAGTCAATAAAATGAGTCAATGTATTAAGATAATCTCGATAATTACGAAGAATTTTAGAAAATATTTTTTAAATATTTAAGCTTTAACCCTTGCGTTAGCATCGAATATCTATGCATTCCTATTACTATTAAATAGCCGATATTTCGAAATATATTTCCTAAAATACTAATTTTCTCTCATTTATTTTGAATGTGCGGTATACATTACAAATTTATGTCATTTCTATATGATTTCCAATCGACTATGCGTACTATAAACATTTTTACGCACCAGAATGATTTCGAAACTTAATTTTGTTATGTACTTAGAAAAAAAAAATCATACAGAAACAAATCAATGTCACAATATTGTTGTGATCAACACGTCAAATTTTTAAAATCAGTTAATTATAAGCATAAAATAGCCTTTTATAGTACGCTTACGTTTGCTTATTATAAATATGTAATTTAATATATTACACACAATTTCTACAACGGATCGAGTTCTCGCTTCGCTAAAATCCAAATATCGGATTGTTTTTATTCTTATCTACTATATAAGGTAATAAATATAAAAACACTTAGTATGTTAATATAAATTGGTTAGCAAACCTTGCTTTTTTATCCAATTTTAATTCAGAAAGGAGCCTTTCCTTGTCAAATACCATTATCTCCATCACTGACGATCGAACAAACTACTGTTGCTATGTTGATGAAATAAATTCCTAACATTAATCAAACAAGAACAATTGAAGCGTTTCAAGGCAACAATTATCAAAGAGACAATCCCTAATATAATATATTCTTATATAAGAATAAATATATATATTTCCTGATTTAAAAACGAGACTGCAGTTCACTAACGGATCCAGGATTTCATTCAGGGGGGCATCAGCCCGAACGATTTTTTTTGTATGTATATATTAGGATAATTACTTGGGAAGAAAAAAAGAAACTAACTACCTACAAGAAATTGTGTTTAAGTGATTCTTGAAGTCCTATTAAATGTAATTAAATCAACAATAATACCTTTAGGGATAATTTTTTTCATAAAACATGGTTATATGTTACCATTTTGGGGGCTTCAGCCCGAAAGTCCTCCCCCTCCCCCCCTCATAGATCCGCCTACGCTACAGTTGATGTAAGATGTACTGACGACTCTATGGTTTGGAATTGAAAGCCTTACCGCCAGTAGTTTGACATTAAGTTTTGCTACCTTAATAAAAATTATTGCCAGTTTATAGCTAAAAGACACTATGTATATTTTTGATGGAGCTGAATCTTATTATAAATTTATTAACGTACTTAATGAAGTACATTTTTGAAAATATCGATGCTTAAACACAGTAAATACATAAAAATAACGTAGGAAGCCCTTTTATAAATAAAAAATACTAACACTAAATGCACAATATTTTAATTTCAATAAGTTGTTTAGTAAAATATTTCAAAAAAATTAACTAGTTTTTTTTTGGGTGGAGGGAAAGGAAGGTGGAGTTCAAAATAATAATACTTTATTTATTCTGGGACAAGTCCCTTTAGAATAATATACAGAGACAAAAATGTGGGCTTTGAAACCTCAGAGAAGTATCACAAAAAATTAAAATGAAGAGGCATAATAAATAAAAAAGTATAAGTTGTCTTCTAACTTCTCAATTAAAAACAAAAAAATGAAATAAAAATATTTACAATGATCCTAGAATATATATATATTTACAATTTTATGTCGACTGAACGGATAGGTGATTGAATAGGGGAGATTTAAAGGTGAGGAGGGTATTGGAGCGACGGATGCAGGAAGGGATAGAATTCCATAGGGACGAGGATCGGATAATGAAAGATCTGTCGAAGGCAGCTGTTCGGTGGGTTCTTATATACAAATCCGAAGACCGAGAACGGGTTTTACAGGAGTGAACAGAGAATTTGAATTGAAGGAGTTCGGAGATGTATGAAGAACGATGGGATTGGACGAGTTGGAAGGAAGCACTTACGACAATAGGAAGGATAAAGCCACTTCAGCTCTTCATAAAAAACGGGAGACAGATATCCTGAAGATGAATCGTACAAAGCAATTTATCAAGCGCTTTAATTTTGCCTCGAGATCCTCAGAGACGTCTCCATATTCCGTTCGCAACAGTCAAAGAGGGGGAAACATTAAGAAAGTGGTCAGGAGTTTAGGAGTTTCAAATGGAATTAGGTGGTGGAGGTAATTTAGACGTTATAAAATGGAAAAGAAACAGCGGGAGATGTTGGATACATTGTCTTTTCAGAAAAGAGTTTGATCAAAAGTTATTCTAAGGTTCTTAATGGTGGGATAAAAGTTGGTAAGATTATCATGTAGGAGCAGGGCCGGGATTTTAGAAACAGTTTTAAGGAGTTGATTGGAGCTTACCAAAATTGCCTTGGTATTCTCAGCATTCAATTTCAACTTGTTAGCTTTCGCCGTCACAAATTTTGTTTAAATCGTCTTGAAGTTTTTTGGTGGCTGCTAAAAGGTCAGAAGGGGGGAAGGTATATTTGGAAATCATCTGCATAAATATGGTATTGTGAGTGATAGATCAGAAGAGGAAGGTCATTAATGTAAATAGCAAACTGAGTAGGAGATTCAGAGGAACCCTGAGGACACCAGTATGAGAACTGTATAGAAAGAGGTCTATACACTTCACCAGCAGAAGTGTATAGGAGGTTGACCTGGGACGACTATATACTGGGATCGGTCAGAAATGAAGGATTTGAACCAATGAAGGACACTGTTGGATATAGGAAGATTTTACAATTTAGTAAGGAGGATGAGTATAGTAAGTTTTTGGTGTTCAATGGAATTTTGGAGGTCATAGGTTATTTTGAGGAGTGCAGATTGTGTTGAGTGGCCAGATTCCAATGGGTTTGAATAGGAAATATTCTTCTAGGAAGTTGGAAAGTTGATTTTGGACAAAGCGTTCCAATGGTTTTTAATGGTTGGAGAGAAATAGGACGGAAGTTGTCAGACCAGAACAGTTTTTCAGAAAGATGGGAATATGGACAGGAAGGCTGGATTTTAGGATAGTGGAGAGTAGTTCATCATAGAACACAAAGGAGAAAAATAAGTCTTCCAGATTGAAATTGTGATGTTCAATATTGTAAGTAAGAGAAAGATAAGAAGTGGTCATTGAGGTCATCTAGAGTCACAGGAAAGGAATTGAGATTATTGGATTCTGGTAGGGATAGATTAGGAAGTATTTTCCATTTGGATTTGGAATCAGGAGCATTGGAAAGGGCATTGTGGAAGTGGATGGATTTCACAAGTTGGAATGTGGAATGAGTTCCATTGCGAAGTTCTTTAAAAGACGAGTTGTCAACAGGCAAACAGGTTTAGCAGTATTTGCGTCTTATTTGCTTTATTTCAGGGGTCAGCCAAGGAGCAGTGGGACGGCGTAAGGTTCTAGTTTTAAGAGGAGCATGGAGGTATAATATGGATTGTAGGTTTGAGGTAAGGGTGGAAACCACAGGATCAATGGAATTGCAGGAATATATGGTATCCCATTGGACGGAATCGAGGTCAGGCTGCAGGGATTCATAGGAAAGGAGGTTTAAATTGTGATATGAAACCATTTTGGGAGTAAAAGATTTCACGGGTAGGTCGTTTGTAATTTGGATTAGGTCATGAGATGAAAGAAATGGAACGGGATGTTGAGAAGAGAAAAGGATTTCCACCAAAGAGACAGAGATGTAGAGGTCCAACCAAGTGTCAGAAAATTGTGTGTGGTGAGTGGAAGAATAAGGGAAAATATCAGGTCAGTAAGGAAGTATTTTTCAGGTGATTCTGAGAGCATATTTACATTAAAGTCACCTGAGATGATAACATAGGATCAGATCTGTCATGATGAAGGAAAGAGTAATTGGTGAGAGAAATTTGTGAGGAAAGAATTAAAGGTTTCATAGATCACTTCGCCAAGAAACGTTTGAATTAACATTAAATAAATTTCCTACTGTACTTTATTTTGAAGTTAATAACAGGATAACAACACATAATTATTTCATGTAAGCCATTGATGGATCCACAGAAGGGAGCTTTCGGACTGAAGCCCCCTCAAAATATAAAAATATATATAAATTTTCATTGGTCCATATTTGCTTCTGTGAGAGGCCTGAGCTAAATACTGAAACAATCAAAATATATACTGTTTTTAAATTATAACCTATATACATTATAAATGTATATACATGCAGTTGGATGTTCGTATTTCAACTTTTTGAAAGAAACTAATTGGACACCCTCTAAAGAAAAATTAAATTAAAAAATTGCCCTCTTATTGGAACAAATATATTTGAGCTAGTTACGTCCTTGGTTAGGTGTAAATAATGCTGAAATTTTCATTTATTCACTACATTGAAGGGTTTATTGCAAAAAGTTATTAAGTAACATTTCCTAAGAATAAATGACTATCTATTTTGATCAATTTTCCTTTGTGAAAACAGAATATTGTTCACTTAGAGCAATTATTTTTTATTTAAAAAGGTTTTCTGTCATTTTTATTTAGTAATGTGTTTTTTCATTGATAGATATTGTCGTAATTCATAAAAACGTATTCAAAAGTTAAGCTCCATCAAAAATATACTTAATGGCTTTTTGCAATAAGCAGACAATATTAAGGGCATATAATAGGGTCAAAGAATCAACACTGATAATATTTTGGACTATTTGTAAAAACTTATTTAATAATGTTATTTTAAGGACTTATTTATAAAATAACTAATATAACAGAATGTATATGTCACCAAGAAACTGTACAAATATGCTTTTCATGCAGCAAACGCAGTTCATAAAATCAATGATCTACTGTACTTCAAAAAGAAATATAATTCATATTACTGGTTACTATGAGAAAATTGTGAATAATGAATGATTAACAACACTCAAGCCAATTTAACAAAAGGGAAAAATAAATAAATAAATTTCATTTATTCTAACAGTGTTTAAAAGTTCTTGTAAATCTTCATACCTTAAGTTATAGCAGTATAAAATACGAAAATAGAATTTTTTTCAATGAATCCATGGAACTATAACAAAAGGCAAGTGTCAATTATAACTAAATTTCTTAGTATTATAACATAAAAAAGAAATTTAGTACTCACCAAAAGTCGAGTATACAGATTTTCCATCAAGTCATTTTTTTTTAAAATTTATTTTAAATAATGTTGAAGATATCCTAGATTTAATCAAGGATAACTTCTCATAATTTATTTAAATATATTCACTTTTAATTTTTCCAACAACAGATATGAATATGCGAGTAGTTATATAGAATGAATTCATTTAGTCTCATTAGCACATATGGATAATATCACTGAACTTTTTATTTATTGTGTGCCACTTATTGCATGATAATTTATTTTAAATACGACCTTCAATATTTAGGTTAAATAACCTTATTTAAATACATATCTGTCCAGTCTATGTATCATATAATGTGTTCTTATAACAGGCACATTGTCTTATTGTGAATCGCTGGCTATCTCAACAGGGATTGAAGACTCAAAATTAGATGCATTGCTTTCTTCAGAATAGATATGAATAGTCATTATATCAGTTTCGACATTTCTTACAGGAAATATTTTAGGATTATCAATTGATACATCTCCTTTTTCTGCCTCGATCCATGGGAATTGCTAAGCAAAAAGAAGTGAAAGAATCAATGAAAATGTGAAGTATTAAAAAAAAAAAAAAAATTATATATATATATATATATATATAATTTAGACATTAAAATTAAATTCATTAAATTTAATTAAATTAAAATTAAAGGCTGATCACTTATATTGTCATGTTATAATTTTTTTTTCCACCTTCACCTTACAAGATTTACTTATTACAATTAAATTTCAAACTTTTATTGTGTGATAAAAATCAGTCAGAGAGAAATCTCAATCGCTACTTTATTATTAAATATACAATTTAATATTACTAATTTATTATTACAACAAATATACAAATTTATTATTACCACTTATTTAATATTTTTGTAATAGAATAACTTGTATTAACTTAATTTAATTTATTTGAAACATTTCAGAGGTGCGATCATTCGAAAAACATTTCACCGAACTTGTATACTTCCATTCCTCTCTAGAGAATAAATAGAAAATATAAATTGTATATATGAATGTTATTACCTAAAATAAGCATTTTATTTATTTAGAAATATAATAATCTGTCACGTGGACATTAATTATACTGATATATGAACACATTTACACCACTAAAATAGGCATAAAGCTAGAAAAGAAACATAAGGTAATTATATTATAAATGGAAAAATCCAAATAACATTTCAGTCTCCAACATATAGGTGAGTAGTTAACTTGCTAATGTTTCGCCAGTTCAGGCAGAAAAACCATGATCACGTACATATATAATTATACATTTCTATTTTATAATTCATCATCAACGATAGTACTATTCTATACTGTAAACTTCACTAGGGATATTACAATATCTTCCTGCTCTTAATGCCACTGAATGCATCTATTGTTTGTTTTTTATTATTTTTTTATTCTTATATAATTAAATCTGTACCTATAGTTAGAATTAAACAATGATGTGTCTACATATTATTCATTATTCAAATACTCTGACATTTTATATTATCAGCTTTGTCTTCCCTTTGTTAGCAGAAACACACCTCATTTTAAAGAAGAACTCAATTTATTTTATTTTATTTTTTTTTTCAAAAGTGTATAATTATAATTTTCCCTACTGTACATAGTTTTGTATATATATATATATATATATATATATATATATATATATATATATATATATATATTTTTTTTTTTTGTATATAGCTTGTTTAACTAATATTTTCTTTAATTTCTCTTTTTTTATTATTGTTTTATTTTGGCCAGATGTATTCCTTTAATTATGTTCTATTTTGTTATTCTAAAGGGACTTCTTCCCAGAATAAAGTTATTTTCTATTTCTATATACAAAAAGAAAAAAAAAAAACTTTTTCTTTCTGCTTAAACGTGATCTTGGTTTCTCTGCTCAGATGATGGCTGAATTGCCGAAATGTTGGCAAGTTTACTATTCACCTGTATGCTGGAGACTCGTGGCTTTGTAGTTTGGATTTTTCCATTAATATTATAATTATCTTATGTCTCTTTTCTAGCTTTATGCTTATTTAATTAATAATATTGATATATACAATTTATAATTTCTGTTTATTCTCAAGAGAGCAACGGAAGTACACCAGTTTGGTGAAGTGTTATTGTTATTAAAAATAATCAACACTTATTTTTCCACATCTCCCTAGTCATTGAAGTGTTCAATGGAGAGTGCGTGAGATATCGGAAGGGGTCAAGTCTGGTGAATTTTCAGTTGAACAAGAAAACCAGTGTGTATTCTGAATGCTCTTTATTTGACTTGAAACTTGATATGTTTACCATAAGAAAAAAATATGAAGTTAACCCAAAATTTAAATAGCAATGACATTTTGAAAGCTACTGTCATAGCAGCAAAATAACAAAAGAGGTTAGACAGTGAACCAATCCTTGTTTCCAGGACCATCTGTTTGAAAAATTAAGAATTATTAAATACCACATCTGGTATAAGTCCCATCCTCCGTATAGCCCTTGGCCCCAGTATGAAAGTGAGTGACGGTCCACCTAGTTTCTGTTGTTCAAGGGAATTTCTTTGCAACAAATGTGAAACTATTTTTTAATCTACTATATCATCTGAGTTAAAAAATATTTGTCACAAATTGTTAACCTTTTATCAGACATTTTTTTTAGCAGTTGCATGAAACTTTAAAATTCATATTTACATAAATGATAAGTATTATGTTCGTTTTATAATTTTTTACCAACAGTTTTTAAAAATCAATATCATTATATTATGCCTTGTTTACATCAATCCAACTTGTATTTTTGAATTACTCGTGTTTTTTTCACCAGATTGTGTAATAAAATATACCGAAAGTAAATACGGCGAACAATGGGATAAAGATGTCCCATTCCACATCTACTTGCAAAAAATTGTTATAAGTAAATAATATATATATATTTTTAATCCTCAATAGGAGTAACTGAAACTATTTCATTTTCAAGTTAACAAACCAGGAATTACCTGAAATGTGGGATCTTCACACATTGCAAGGGATGATACTTCAGTTGTGTGTATAAATATTTTAAAAGTAGAACCTTTCGGCAGTGATTTCATGAAGTTAGAATTGACTGATAATTTCAAACAAAATGCCCTGAATGATTCTTTCAACTGGGAAAGAAAAGAGACCTCCTGGCTGTGAAATTAATTGAATATCAAATAAAATATTAATAACATAATAATACTGATATAACATCCATTAAGTGACGTGTTATATTTACCTTCCAGTAGAAAAAGGTGATATATTTTGCAAATAAAAGACAAATTTTTCAGCCAGCAAACCTTTATCATTGAAAAAACATACGTCTACTTGTTTTAAATCTTGTGCAATCAACAAATGTTTAATAGCAGTCAGGGAATTCGTAATATATTTGTTCAGTTCAGGATGCACTGATACCTAGTGCGAAGAAGTGTCAATTAGTAAAGTATAACTTTTTATAGTACTAACAGTTAAAAATCTTAAATCTTAGTACTTTGCTCAAGTTATTAATATTTTTTTTTACATTCCCCGAATCTTTAACAGATTTGTATTACATTAAATAGAATTAGAAACATAAAAAAAGGCACAGTAGGAGTCATGAGAATATCTTGTATGGTTGATAATTACACAAACTATAAATGATTTATAAACCATGAGCAAATTAAAATTGGGTACTACTTCACAAGTGACACTACCTCATGGTGGTTGGACCAGAATCGCTTTGGGGATGGAATACCGAAAGATAGTATATAATGGCAACTGATCCCCAGAACTTCCTCAGAAATAAATTCTTGAAGGTATTTGATTATAATTCGAAAAAGAACCATCCTACTGACAAGAACCCTGTGTTTGTTAAGGCCCTCATCCCAACAACAGAAGGACCCGTTGAAGTTGTGTGATTGGAGCAAACAGAAGTTGCTAGTTGTGATATTTTTTTTTCTATCAGCTTTACAGACCTTATAGATCATATAGTGCCTGCACCAGCCTTTTCTACCTGTGCAGCAACTTTGTTGATCCTATTTATCGATTTAATTTTTGGCTTCCCATGTACTATCTTGTTAACAACTACAGAATTTGTTGTGTAGAGGCTTCCGGATTGCTATGAGCTCTATGCTCTACCCAACTCTACCTTCAAATTAGAAGGTACAGACTGACCAGTTTTTTAAGTAGTTCTTTACTGGTCCTTCTCCTCCATACATACGTATTCTGATCCCTTGATCTAATAAAAGCAGTGGTAATGATCAACAATCTCAATCTCTCATTAATTATAACATAAGGTAACTTAAGACTTAAGCAAACCTCAGTGTATGGGTGACGATATACCTCTGAAAATGATAGTCAATACTTTGCTACATTCAGAATTCCTTATTGAATGCATTTGATGTGATCCTGATCTTTGTCATTTTGGAGTGACACTTGAGAAGCAATACTGCCAAAGGCTTATAAAATAATAATAATTTATACAGCTTACATGGACAGGTACACCATACTTTTTTTTCAACCGAAAAATTCCTTCTGGATATAATTTTCTTGAATGGAGCAATACATGAATAGCAACTTCTAAAAACTCTACAACTATACCTGGAATATCTAAAAGAATGAGGAATAATATAAATTTTTATGAAATAAGTCAGAAAGATAAATTTGACAAATTAAAAAAATAATGAACCTAATGCTTGTTCCATCTTATTATCTTATCAAATCCAATGTTAATACAAAAATTCGTAACCTTCCAAAACCTGGAGCCAAATTTTTAAAATTTAATTTATTCAAATTGGCAGCTTACAATCGACCTGATTCTAATATATATTCATGGAAATTTTACTGGTTAGTGAAAACTAATAATTTAAATTGATTAAAAAATATTACTTTCGATTTATCCAAAAGCCGGCTACCTTTCCAGTAAGTTCTGCTCCATAGAGGTCATAATTGGATCGCCAAACAACTTTAATAATTAATCATTTATCAGATTATTTAAAAAATATAGATCTATCTTTAATATTAGCATTAGGCACAACCGTTTTAAGGCAAGAAAATAATAACAAAAAATCTTTGTGTGTTGTTTGGATAATTTTAAAGTATTTAGTCGGCAGAAAGAGGGATAACCCGGGTTATGTCATGTCTACAATAACATCGTTATTGTCACATGAAAGTTTGATTATAAGTTAACTGAGTAAATGAGAATGTATTTAACGATTTATTTAATCTACCAGTAATAGAGAGATACGTAAATTATATTTACATGATATGATCAATGCTTCCTTATCGAAGGGAACTTGGGTTGTTCTTGAATTATTTTTATCCATCAAGAATAAGCCGTAATTTTCATTATTGTGATATCTGGCCAGTCAGTATAAAATAGTCGTTAAGAAAAAATATTCTTGTGTTGATGATAATCAAAGTGAAATGCCTCCAATTAGGAAAGTTCAGTTGGATAAAGCTGCTTGGCTATGGTGTGAAACTGTGGATCCTGACAAAATAAGTGAAGACAATGTTGATACTGCATACAGAGGGAATGTACCCAAGTGTAAATTAGGAACTTGTCGGTAATTTGAATATCAATGTTTGGTGTTTGTTATTTTTAATGGAATTTATTTTTTTATTTTTTGTTCTACTGAGATTTGTTTTAAAAATAAAAATAAAATTTTTTAATGTTACAATGAATTTATTTTATCATTATTGAGTGATACTCAGCTTGATCACTATTTTTTCTTTAGGCGAAATTGTCGTGGAAATCCGTATTGCCTCTCAGGATTGGGAGAATCACGATGGCTCAGTGATAATGTAGATGAAAGTGAAGATGAAGATGTCGATCTTCAGATACGGCAACCCGATACTTTTGTGGGTTTGAAAAATTTAGGAGCCACCTGTTATGTGAATAGCTTAGTTCAATTATGGTTTCACAATTTAGCATTTAGGTAAGAAACTCATACTAGCGATTTATTTTTTACCTTTGGTTTTTTACTAGTTAATTTAAATTGCCTTGTAGGAAGGCCATTTATTCTTGGAATCCATTAGAAGATCCAATGGAATCAGCTGAATTGACGGACGAGAATGTTTCTGTAAAGTCTCCTCGTACTGTAGTTGGTCATCTTCAGTTATTGTTTGCACTTATGCAGTTCAGCAAACAGAGATCGATAGATCCATTAGCTTTCATCAAAGCGCTGGATTTAGAACCATCAATGCAACAAGATGCTCAAGTATAGTGAATTTTAAGTTTTGGGATGTATTGCCCATTATTTTGAAATTTTCTTCAGTTTGTTTTTTTTTACATCTTTTATGTTTTTTAGGAATTCTCTAAACTTTTTATATCGCTCTTAGAAGAATCATTAAATCAGCAGTCTGATCCAAAAGTTCAGAACTTAATTATTGACAATTTTAGAGGAGAATATTCTTATATTACAAGGTAATTACTAAGTTCCTTTGATTTTATTTATTCTTAGCCTTTCTAGTTCTCGCTGTGCTTATATTGTCAACTATTTGTGTAGGTGTTCTAAATGCCAAAAGGAATCTATCAGCCCCTCCATGTTTTTTGAATTGGAATTGAATATAAAAGGTAATAAAACTCTTCATGAGAGTATCAGTGAGTTCCTAAAGGAAGAAAAACTGGATGGTGTGAACAAGTATAGCTGCAGCTTTTGTAATGAAATGCAGGAAGCCACACGTTTCATTAGTCTAAAGAAATTACCTGTTGTATTAAATCTACAATTGATGCGATTTATCTATGATCGGTATAAGCATTGGATCTTAATTTCGTATTATTATGTAGATTATCATATTTAATGATATAATGATGTCTTTCAGGCAAAAAGGTCATAAAAAGAAAATCAATTCTTCTCTTCAGTTTCCGGATACGTTGGATATGAGTCAATATATGACAGTTTCTGAAAATGAAAATACACCTATGGTCTATAACTTAACGGCTGTTCTAATCCACAAAGGCCCCAGTGCTTATTCTGGCCATTATGTTGGTTTGTACAATTTATCTATTTGCTAGAGATGTGAGGCTGAAAAAATATCAATCGAAATTACAGTATAGAAGAATAATTGAAATATGTGTAATTTATTGAAAAATATATGTATTTTATTAAGTTATCAGCTCTAACATTGTACAATATCTATTCTTTTATTGTATATTTAAAAAAAAATAGCAAAAGAAAAGTTCTTAAAATCAGCACTGAACTCACTGATGACATTGTATCAATCTCTAAACTGGGCTAAATGATGCCATCGATGAGCTCAGTGCTGAACTTCGGAACTAAGGAAATTTAGGAAGAAAAAAAATCTAAAAAAATACTAATATAAAGTTTTTACAGGGTTTAAAGTATAATTGAAATGCAATTAAAAGTATACTAAATTAATTTATTATAAATGTTTTTATTAAATAATAGAAATTAAATTAAATTACATGTTTCTGTTTATTGTCAAATTAATTAGATTTATTTTTTTTTAGTTCTTTTCGTAAATAAATCAATCATCGTGAATATTTTTGAGTTCTTTTGTAAAGAAATAATCAGATTTTATTTTATCATTGAAAAACAGCAATTTAAATACTGTATATTTAATTTAATTTATTTTTAGCTCATATATGTGACCAGTTGACTGGAGCTTGGTATAAATTTAATGATGAACAAGTAGAAAAAATGGAAGGAAATAAACTAAAGCTAGGTAGTGAAGAAGAAGATGAAGGTAAGAGTGTAACTTTATAATTATAAAATTACAAGATAATAATATCAATATTGTTGTTTCTTAAATATCAACTAAAAATAACTTATTATATTTAGATGGTGCTAAGAAAGCTAAACAAGCGCGTGTTGCGAAAGGATTTCTTGCTTCTAGTAACGCATACATGTTGGTATATACTGCTCAGTCAGTTCGAGAAGTTTTAACACCTTTGACGGAAAACGATTTACAGCCACATCTTGTAAAGCAAATTCAACAATCCAATGATGAATTTGAAAAATTAATTTTAGAAACAAAAGAAGAAAAAGTAAGTTGCAGTTTCTTGATAGTAACTACTTACATATTTTACAATCTCATTATCATTATAGCAACATGATTGGCAGATCTACGGGACACATGTGACCTTCCAAGCAATTTTATATTTTCATTAAAACTTTTATGTATTTAAATAAATGAAAATTTGCATGTTTCAAAATTTTGTGCAAGTGCAATGATAAAATTCTGTTTTTTTTTTTTTTTTATTCTATGATCGTAAACACCAAATGTTATTGAAAAATAATAAGTGAAAGAAATTGAAATTACGTAGAAGAAATGATCAGAGCTGTTACAATACGTATTTTTACATACTGCAGGGATTTTTATTAAGACCTTTTGTCATCCCTCTAGCAACCTTTAATTAATACTATGCAAATCAAATCACCTGATTAACAGCAACAAACATATTGAGTGCTTATATGAGTTTTAACTGAAACCCTTACTTAACTTAATCTCCCTTCAGAAATTCTATTTTCAACTCAAACTAACAAATCAAACTTCATTCATTCTCCTGATTGAATGATCCAGATTTCACTTATATTTTATGAGACAATTTCGAATGCCTCATTTTGTAATCTATCATTCGAAATTGAATCTGATAGTATCACTCTTCTTTTAGGCAGTAAGTGATTTGGGTTGCATGTACTAGTGATTCGTGTGAATTAATTTTACCATGGTTAGAGCTTTAAAAAAAATGCTATTTGTTTATTAAAGTTTATGAAATTTTATTGATTTTTCAAAAATTAGTAAATTGGCAATATATCCTTACAGAAATACTCTGTTTTTAGAAAAATAGAAAGGAGATCGGACAAGTTCAGAAGGCAACAATGGCAAATCTTGTAAAGGTGATGCCTGTTGATGGACCCGGAACAAGAGATTGGGAAGTGATATCCGTGAAATGGCTCAGCATGTGGTTGGCCAATTCGAAAGAAGATTTTGAACCAGTTGATAACAGTCCTCTACTTTGTTCTCATAATAGATTAAATCCTGACCTCGTTTCGAATGCGAAATATATCACAACAGCTGCTGTTCGTATCAAACTTGTCAATGTTTTTATTGTTTATTTCCTCTATTGATATATTTTACTTTAGGCCGATTCAATTTTTGGAAAGTATGGAGGTGGTCCTAGATTGCCAGCAAGTGAAGCTCTTTGTCGGGACTGTATAACAGCCAAATGTCGCAGGATAAAGTTCAGAATTAAACTTACTGATGACGCCAAAGAGCTTAGCAATTTGCTCAAGCACAAAGAAGAATTGTAAGTGAAATAATCTTTTGAATATAACATGTCTAGTTTATGGTTTAATAACAGTCTTTTGTAATTTTTAAAAATCATTTGTTCTAATTCAATCCCTAATTGAATCACTAATTTATCAAGGCTTTACATGAACATACATGACATAGATTTGAGAAAAAACGGTTATTCAAAATTACTTATTTTTTAATGTTGTCCTACTAAATGTTCGATTAGAATAAAAGTAAATAAAAGAATAAAAGGACATTATGTAGGCTGACTGTCATATTGTTTTAAAGTTTTCCTTCAGTAGCTTCTGTTAATATGTTTCACTATTTTTATTACCATTTAAATTATTATTATTTATATTATTACTCTTATTTTTGTTTGTTTGTTATTTATTGTGCTTGTTGAATTAGTTTTTTGTACCTGTCTTTTCAGAGATGGAAGTGGTTTCTGGGTTGGCAAAAAATCATTAAAAGACTGGCGTAAGAAAGCTTTAACAGTTTTTGAAGAGACTGAAGGCGGAGTAATGAGGGAAGTCGAAGACTGTCCTAGTCCATCATCCGATTCAGATGCTGTGCCCCGTCGGAATAAAAGGTCTTGTTCCGAATCTGAGTCTGTATCTATTAATTCTAGTTGTGATAAAGCAGGGAACGGAACTGAGCCCCATGTCAAAAAGTTTAAAGTCACTGATAGTTGTACTGTTCTTGACCAAAAGATCGTTGCTAAACTGGAAGTCGAGTCCATTTTTGAATCTCTTGAAAAATTATTATATGGGACAAAAGAAACTTTAAGTAAACTGGATGACTTGACACCCGAATTGATCTCGGAATTCAAAAAAAAGTTTTATTCTAGTTGGAAAGATTTGGATTTAATGTTTAATAGGATCTGTGATTATAATTCAGTATGTTCTCCTATTAGTGAATCTACTTCTCTGGTTACATCTACCAGTGGCGCTCTGGATGTTCCTACTTGTGAAACTGGTAGGGTGAATGGGGTTTGCCATAGTGTTGAAGAAGATTCGTCTGCCAGGAAACGTAAATTTGAACAAGTGAATGATAAAGATGGTGTCAATAGTAGTGATGAAAACAAAGCCAGTAAATCAGATGACGAAGAAGACGATAATGAAAACTTCAATGAAGACATTGTATGCCAACACAGTGAGTTTCCCAATTTTCATTTGTTATTTATTAACTTCTTATCATGTTCTTTTAAAATATTAATAAAAAATATAAAAGTAATAAAAAATTAATCTTTTCCAGATAATTTAATACCAGAAGAGAGTTTGAAAAGACTTGTTTCCGAGTCTACTTGGGCTAAGCTTAAAAGTTATTTTCCAGACTGCCGAGAGTTTTCAAAAGATATGGAACCTTGCCCACAGTGCCAGGTAATTTATTATATTTAAAATTTGTATTAACGAATAATTGAAATACAGTTAAAATTAGTTAATTAATTGATTTATATATCTATTTTAGACCAAAGGTCACCAAATATACATAGTTTTTTATCTCCTGTATTCTTTATTCAATGTTTCGGCTTCAGGAGCCATTTTCAAGATCCTGCAAAACTAATTTTAATTTAGTTTTTACCATTCAAATACATCCTTATCAGACACATATTATTTAACAACCATAAGTAATAACAATTAGTCCAACATTTATTTTTAAATTTTTAATAAATTTATATCATCCACCTACCATGCACCACGCCATTTGGCGCCAAACGTTATTACTTATGGTTGTTAAATAATATGTGTCTGATAAGGATGTATTTGAATGGTAAAAACTAAATTAAAATTAGTTTTGCAGGATCTTGAAAATGGGTCCTGAAGCCGAAACGTTGAATAAAGAATACAGGAGATACAAAAACTGTGTATATTTGGTGACCTTTGGCCTAAAATAGATATATAAAAAAAATATGAGAAAATTGCACCAAACCTGAAGGATGTGACTAGAAAATTAATTAATTGATTAACTACCAAAGTTATTTGGTAAGTAACTTCTATAATTCTTAGGCAATCTAGGCCTAAGAATAAACTTTTTCTTTCGTTTCATCTCATCAGATCTAAACTTTTTTTTTTGTTGTGTCCACTCCTTCCTTGTCTTTTATGCAATAATGATAGTAATGATGGTAGGAGATTAATACAAGAGTTAATAAGCCCCCTCTCTCCCTCCGGCACTGGAACACTAACTCGTATTTATTTTTGTATCTTGTAACTTCAGTTCATAAACGTGTGTGAAAAACAGCCAGCTCAGCAACCCCGCCTCCAATTCTACAACTTTGAGACTTCCAATTCTTCGACTGTAAGAGAGTTATTTATTGATTTAACTTACATGCTCCATGCTGTGAGAGCATATGGTCTTTAACAATCCAGTAGTCTAGTATCCCCTGAAAGATGCCAGGAAAAGATTTATGAGTGTGGCTAGTTCTTGTTAAATCTTTCAGCTATCCTTATTGTCTTATGATAGAAACCTGCTAGAAATGAGTTAGTCATTTTTAGTATGCACTTTAACCAGTACTGGGTTGAAGAAAAGCCGAACAAAATAATTATGACTTTTTACTATTAAAAATGGTCGATTTGGATATCTGTGTATATTGACCATTTATTTTTATGACAAAGAAAAACGTTGACAAGGTAATGATCCTACTTTTTTTCTAATTTTTACTAGTGATTATGAACAAAATCTGATGGGCTTGGACAGCTTGTTCAGCAGCAGGATGAGGTAGTCTTGCTCTTGGTCCACAGGAATCCTCTTGGTTTGATTTTTCATCGAGAGTATATCTTGGTCGTAAATTATAGGCAGTCCCCACTCCAGTCTATCCCGTTCTCCAATTCTTCCTTAGATTGCCCACAAGTAATTTGTTGAGGTGTAGGAATGATTTTTTTTATTTTGGTCCAGATTTATTTCTATTCCCTTGAATTTTCTTATTATCTTTATTACTATAACTAGTAGGCCTGTGCGAAAAATTCGCACAGCATATTGTTATCAAATGCCAAATTAATAAGAAAATAAAATAATGCAATGTATCAAAAGATAAAGGAATCAATTGTTACTTTATCGATAAAAATAATCGACAAAGGAAACAAAATTAATTTAAATCTTCATTTTTGTTTGGAACCAACATATTTACAAATTTCAATAAGCTGTATCTTTGCGAAAAATTGTCCGATTTCAATGATTTTTTTTTCTTTTTGTAGGGAATTTATTAATCTTTTATATAATCATGGGCATAACCTAGGGAAAAGTGTGTAATTTTTTAGTAATTCGGAAATAAAGTTTGTTTTCTTTCATAACTTGTTTACTTGAATTTTCTGGGTGATTGGACTAAAGGAGAAGGAAGCCTTCGAAATTGGTGGCTCAATCTTCAGATTTAGTGAAGAATTAACGATGGTATGGCTTTCCGATCAAAAACACCATCGATAAATAATATAAACTAAAGAGGTTCCTCTCTTGATGATAGGGACCTCAAGTCGACGAAATGAGACATGTATTCAATGCCAGTACTACAATTAATATAAGGTTGTCTGAATGCGAACCCTATGCCTTGTGTTATCTCGAAAATAGTACGTTTTGGGCTTAAAAACGCAGGATCTGATAGTTCCGGAGGAACTATCCGGGTCTTGCTGTACGCATCAAAATCTTCAAGATCCAATTTATCCTGTATCGATCTACAGAACTACCACCGTTCCAGTATTGAGGCCTAGCAAAATGTTTATATCGACTTTATTTATTTTAGAGAGAAAAACAAGAGTGGAGAATACGATTCGCTAACCCCCCGTGAAATTCTGAATCCAACTGTACCCCACTCATGGTATTTGAGCATGACAGGAGCTTATATTTAGTACAAAACTGATTTCGAGCCTTATTGTAATAATATATGTGGGGATTGTGTTTGAGACTTGGTTGTTTTATTTTTTTTTTCGTGAATTTAACTCATAGGTAAATTGATTTGACTTTAAAGTTACATGTACGATGAACCATCGATTTTACAAAATGTTTGTAAAAAGTGTTCTTGTCTACTTGCCTTTTCTGTCTAATTTCTCTCATTGGCAACATTTCTATCTATTACTTAGGTACTTTTTTTTTTCAGTAATCTTAGTCTCATTTTTTTTTGTTAACTATATCTATTTGAAGTTAAACTTATCAAGTCTATTAATAATTATGGGTTTCAGAGATTGGCATCTCAAGATCAGGCAACTCTGGATATAAGAAGGGATCAAGCTTTGAAACAGAAAGAAATGCTGCCATCTCTCTTGAACAATCGTAACAGGTCTAAACTAGTATCTGGCACTTACAAGATTGTAAGTGTGCAAGAATTTTTGAAGCCTTGGCGAAGATTCGTAAGGTGAGTGATCGTATTTACTTTTTAGCGGTTTATTTTGGTTGTTGATTTAATTAATGCTTAAAATACCACAGCAGTCTGCTCATCAACTATCCCAGGAATCCGCATTGGCATCTCTGACTCCCATTCAAATCCGCTTTCAAATTTGTTATAAGTATCGATACAGAGCTAAAACAATTATCTCTTTAGAATGGCAGCTACGTTATTGTGAAAATAATTATCATCTAGAGTTGGGCCTAACTGTATACTTCATCATAAAAATTCCTGGATTTTAATCACTCATTTTTTAACATATTTAAAAAAGATTAAAATAAATAAATGGAAAGATTTACTTAAAAGAACTTCATATTGCACTCTACAATTATAATGTTAATGAAACTCATCATGATTTAATTTTTTCTCGAATTATTATGATTAAATAGTTTCCACATATTAAGAAATCATGACTTACTGAGTGTTTAATTCAGTTTTTGAGAAAACAAAATGGGTCTTCAGGAAAAGATTCTCTCAAATGGCTTAAACTTTAAAATGTTAACTTTTTTCTTCCTAGAGAACAGTCATATCAAGAAGATAAATATAATACTATCTTTTTATAACAAAAATTGCAATAAATAAAATTACGGAATATTTATTTTATTTTCTCATGATAAAGTTATATTTTGTACAGAATAACTTATTTGGCATGTTACTGTCCCCTCTATAGCATCAATTTTAATTTATTTTTTGTAATAATTATAATTTTATTAGTTAGTACATGCTTTTTTATTTGTACTTGCTTTTGTCTTCTGAATGATTTTTATTTTATGTTCTCTACGTTTCTATTGCTTTACGAATGGAGTAGTGCAGTCTAGTTTGGATGATCAAATATTTAGTTGAATTTGTAAGTATAAAAAAATACGTGCCACTTATTGTAAAACAGATATCTCATGTGCATCTGAATAATTGAGAGGCTTCCACCAGTATCTGCCATTCATGCCAATATTATGTGTTATGTGACATGGGTTTAATTTATTATTATTATTTTTTTTTTTTCATTTTGCTCAAAAGTAGTTAAAGATAATGGGGATAAGAATATAAGTAAAGTAAGTAAGTAATATAAGTAATATAGAAAGTAAGTAAGAATATAAGTAATTACTTATATTCTTACTTATCCCCATTATCTTTAACTACTTTTGAGCAAAATGAAAAAAAAAAAATAATAATAAATTAAACCCATGTCACATAACACATAATATTGGCATGAATGGCAGATACTGGTGGAAGCCTATCAATTATTCAGATGCACATGAGATATCTGTTTTACAATAAGTGACACTAATTTTTTTATAATTACGAATTCAACTAAATATTTGATCATCCAAACTAGACTGCACCACTCCATTCGTAAAGCAATAGAAACGTAGAGAACATAAAATAAAAATCATTCAGAAGCCAAAAGCAAGTACAAATAAAAAAGGATGTACTAATAAAATTATGTGGCATGGGTTTAATTTATTATTATTATCTTTTTTTTTTTTTTTCATTTTGCTCAAAAGCAAAAGATAATGGGGATAAGAATATAAGTAAAACCTTGCGGATTAAGAAGAATTATATTTCATGACTGATTTGACCTACTCTTTGGGCTTACTAATCATTCAATTATAATAAAATCAAATTTTGATATGTATTGTAATTATTATTATTATTTTTTTATAGGACTAAAAATTCTTTAATATATTCTTACAAGGTAGCATGACATTTTGTAAATATCTTCATCTTTCTGTGATTAATTGAGATATAGATAGTCCTCGCCCCTTATCTAAAATGTACATACAAAAGTGCTCGGACAGCCAGACATAATTGGCAAAACATTGTTGGTGAGTCATATTTATAAAATTGTCCATCTGGCATATTTCCTCCTGGATTTATTAGGTCATTCTTAATTTTTTCTCTGTAAGCATTATAATAGTTGTGCTCATTATGTTATATATTGTTAGCTGATGACTTATTGTGGTGAATTAATTTTATTTATGATTGGTCTTCCTCTACAAACAAGGTAGTTGGAAAATTAGTTTTGTAATATAAAAGAAATTGAAATATAAAAACAGATTATTTGGCTCTTATAGCTAGATTTTTTTTTGCTATTCATCTTAAGAAAATCTTCTTCATTTGAAAGCTTATTACAAAATATCCTTCCTTAATCTTCCAAAGTTTGTGATTGTTCCTTCATTTCTTATCTCTCTCTGGGGCAATCTCACATTTTCATTATCAGGAAATGTATTCATTTTTTTACTTTCCCGGCTCGAATTATTTTATCTGCAACTTAACCCTTGTAATTAGAGAGAGGGTTAGTTGTCTTTACTTAATCATTCAGTATTTAACTAAAATGAGAAAAATTGTGTCCTGTCATCCGCATTATGTTTAGTGAATGTTGTTGATAATATTATTTCTAAAAATAAAAATAAGTAGGAATAGAAATTATTTATCTCATCTTTCTACAATTAATTATTATAATATGTATTTCAGTAAACAAGTACCTGTTGATAAAAAATTTTTATTTGGATTTAGAATTGTAGGTTTTTATAAAAAAAAGAAAGTATATTTTCCAAACAAACTACAATAAAAAATTGTGGGTAAATGGTTGACTGTCATGAATAATGAAGAGAAGAATGGTTGAGGTGATCAGTCAGAAATAAGAAGGCAAAAATAAATGATATGTTTATTTTTATTTATTTATTTATTTTTTTTAATGATAAAATAATTATCATTTATTTTTGCTTTCTTATTTCTGACCGATCACCCCAACCATTCTTCTCTTCATTACAATAAAAAATCACTTCATGTTCAACCACATTACATTATTTAAATTATCAGTTAAAATTTCATATTTTAGAAAATGCTATTTATTACTTTTTTTATCACTTTGTATAGTAAAGTTAATTTAATTAGTAGTAGAAATAAACAGCAATATTGTAGGTTATTAAATATTTAAAATCAGACTTTAGTAAAAATGAATGGACTATAAAATAATTAATGTTGAATTATTTAATACGAAACCCCTTGTCTAGTAGAGTCAGTTCTCTCAGAGACTATCATGTTTTCTAGCACCTTAGGTGAAAAAAAAATTCTGCAACCCATAATTTATTCTCCCTCCTCTCTACTTACATCATAAACCATTGTCAACATATCATTTACTTTTAACTATTTATTTAAGGATTAAATAATATAAAATTAACCAGATTAGTGACTAAGTTTAAAAAATATGAATCTTCCTACATATAAAAATTAACAGATTTACCAGTAACAGTACTCACCATTCTGCCTTAAAGATATTTCCACCTAGGAGGTTTATTTGAAGGAGCCAGCTATGAATATAGGTTTCTCAATATTTCTACTGCGTATCTAATTGTATATATTTAATGTTTGAGATGATATGACCAATAAAGAGCTGCTTATAGAAACTGGTCAATCAATATCTCATGATATGAAGGCAAGAAGGTTAAGATGGGCAGGGCATGTAGCTTAGAGAATCCATGTGGAAGCTTCTACAGAACAATGAATTCCTCAATAAAGGATTTAAAAACAAAAGACCACGTGGAAGGCCGAAAAGCAGATTAATAGATATAATCAACAAAGATGCAATAGAGTTGCATGCTGATAACTGGAATAAATAGCCCAAGATAGACAGAGATGTAGAAGGCTTGTAAAAGCTTCAAAACATCTATAAAGTCTGTAATGTCACAAAAAAAAAAAAAAAAAAAAAAATGAGAATAAAATCTGCGGGAAGAGCTGTTTTTGAAATTTAGTTTTTTTCTTCTTCTCCCCACCTCACCTTTTCGGCTATACGGAGTTTTTTCCCTGAGATAGGAGAAGCCCCCGACACTGAGATTTGGAGCAACACATGTTTTATATAGGCTTTCGTCTGCTAGGCTATCTCCCTCACTCCATTGAAGTATAGGAGGGTCAAGGAATCTACATTTGTACATTCTTAAGGGAAAAAGTCAATGGAATTTGATAAATTAATATCGGATAATCTAGGTACCAACCTGCACAATTCCTGAAAAATTTATCAAAATCATATAAACCATAAATTTTATTATTGTCACATTGATTTGATCACAGATAAACAGAGAACCAAATTCGTTCCTTGTCTAAAACTAGTGTTTCATGAGTGAAAATTTTCTATTGTGAATCTATGAATGTTTTTCTGTTTCTAAATTAATACAAAGCTTACCTCTGATTGTAAGGAAGCAAACTATACATTTTAATGAGATTCGACTGACATAAATGACCAGCTCATCATAAGTTTGGTTTAACAAAACGCGTTTCGCCTTTTTCATTTAAGTTCTCACTGCCAGTTTGAGATTTTAAAATTATAATATTTCATTGAAGGCATATTTTCTTGGGTTAAAGGTTTTCGCAATTACATTTTTTTAGGCTCGAAAGTACTTATTATTTAAAAGTTTAAGAAAAATCCTATGTCTTGATCCATTTAGAATAGAATAGAATAGAATAGAAAAATAATTTTATTCTGGGACGAAGACCCTTCAGAATAACAAAAAAGTACAGAAATTAAAATTTTACATCTGGCCAGATAAAAACAAACATAACAAATTAAGATAATGATAGGTCATTAAAGAAAAGAAAAGAAAAAAAATATTGGTTATACATACTATATACAAAATAAAATATAAAAATCTATATAAAAAGCTCTTGAAACCATACTAAGATACTTAAAACTATTTACGATGTTAAAACATAAATAAACCCTTTTAGAAAAAATAAAAAATACAGAAAAAATAAATGTATATTCTTCTTAACAGTAAAATCTGTTTCTGTTGAAACAGAAAAAAAAAAAAAAAAAAAAAGAGAAAAAGAAAGTCGAATCTATAATAAGTATTGAGGTCATGAGCTATATGTGAATATGGTCTAATATATAATGTGTAATTTTACATAAAAGATTAGCTGGTGCCTGACTGTTTTTGGGACAGGAATTGGAATAGGAGGGTTTTGAATGTAGATAAGGAT